ATTATAATCAACAAATTTACATGTCCTCGATATAATTGACAGATAAATGCTGACATGGATAACAGCATGTGTGGATTTTGTCGGCAAGAGTAAACCTTGAAAGTGCCAACTAAAATGTGTATTTTTGGAAAACCATGAAATTTAAGCCCCACTAAAACATATGATTTACAGTACATCTTGAGCAATAATGATAAGTTTATGGATCTTTTCACAATAAACAATTTCAAAACATTATGTACAATACTGGACAAACCATTAGAAATCCGTTTATTTTAGATGTCATATTTCAGTACTTATTTCAAACTGTTAAATTATGACAACTCAACTTAAACAAATGACTGTGAGCCACAGAAAACTTGTGTATTAAATCATGACACAGAAACATTAAAATGATTGCTACAGATCACAAAATCAGTGGCTTGCAATCAAATATTATGACCAAGAAAGGATCTCAAATGAGTTCCAATTACATTAGAACTTTTTCATGATATATGCTGACAGTATGTTTTATCTGATGGAATAACTCAATTCAGAAAGCTGTCAATTTATGATGGTAATTTCCCTTATGTTGTGGCAAAAACTATGTGTGTGAGATTAAAAAACATATTTAACAATGTTTTACACTACATGACAGCAAATCTATATTATGAACTTTTTGTAAAAGAACTATATTACAACCTTGTTTTTGGGACATTAATACAACAAACGTAATTGCAAACACCTTATCACATATGCTTCACTAATAATTATGTAATTATTATCTTGTCAATTTCAGTTGAAGCAATTGTAAATTGCAAAAGCCTATGATAAAAATATATAAAATATGTATATACTGCGCTTTCATCACAATGTCTGTTCCAAAAATCACAATGCATAGATGAATGGTAGAGAACCAATTATAGAAAATCAGAGCTGTCAACTTTGAACTTAATACTTGACTTTACAATACCGGAGCTTATGTTCCCACTTGGAGAGATCATTACAACTGTAGGATTACTATACCAACAAATGACTTTTTCATTTAAAAAAAAAAACCCCAAAAAACCCCATTCTTTTCATCATAAAAACCTTACAGTTCAAAGTAATGTGTTACCACGCTAGAAAATATCTAAGGATATAGTGCCCCCTCCATGCATCACTGAGCACAATGGCAGAATTTGTCAAATGTGACCTTTGACCCTTAAACTTTGACCACATTAATATGATCAGGTGAGGAATTTTATGCTGTGATACTATAAGGTAAACGATTATGAACAATATCTGTTGGGAGATTCTAGAGATATGACACAGATTGCGAATGGGATGGAGCACAAAGCAAAGGGTGGACGCAGGTAACATGAAAATGGCAAGCTAACATTTTCCTCAAATACTGTTATGTGAAAAGGACAAGTTATTCAGTTGAAGTTACATGCAAATAAAGAAACAATTTGTTCTGTTACTGGTATTTCACCAAATGCTACAATGGATTTCCTAGCTGTACAGGAGAACTGGGTTTGTAGTACAAGTTTTATCAGCCAACTCAGCTCTGATAATCTACATTTACTGTGGCACAATGTTGAATCACCTTACTTAGTTGTCTCCCATTTGTAGGGTTGATGAAAGACATGGACAAAGTTGTCTCCCTTTTGTTGGGGTTTCCAAAATAGACTTTAATGTTTCCCTTATTGGGATTTATGACATACAAGTGTCAGTTGCACATGCAATATTGGACGTTTGTATAGTATTCACACATATAACCCTGATTGTGGTGGATCTAAAAGGAAGATTTTTTAAGTCTGTCTGGGATGAACGTCCAGCAAAAGATCTCATAAAACACATTTACATCAGGTTTGTAAATATATAAGGTATGTGAATAAATTTTTTTGTTTTTCACAATCATTTCCAATATGTTATCATGCAAGCTTCATCAGATAAATGATAAATTATTCAATGACAAATCATTTGTCTGACGAAGGTGAGAGTATAGTTACTGAAATGCCACATATATCTCTAACTGGTTGTGATATGTAAAAATTCATTCAAATACTCTAGGAAAAGATCTATATAATTCACATGTGAGGCATCTTTCACCAGAATAGAAAGGCTTCCTGTATCCACCACAGATTTTGACAGTTTTCACTTTTATAGACAAAAAATATCACAAACAGGAAAGTCAAGCCACTGTACGTGGTGTGACTAAATCCATCAGCTAAAATATCTCACAATATTCACAATATTTGATCACAACTGGTTCCAGTGAACAATTGTCGTCAGCCAGATCTAGCTCAATACAAATGTTCTCAGTATGATCACAGATATATATGGTTACGTATGTGGACAGATGAGAAGCCAATATATATGTACAAAGATATGTATACAGACAATCTTAAGTCACCATACACAAGTAGCCAATATTTATGTACCCAGTACACGTACACAGGTAGCCAATTAGTAGTCAACCTACACAAGTAGCCAATATCTATGTAACCACTGACATACACAGCCAATATTTATGTACCAACCGACGTGCACAGGTAGCCAATTAGTAGTCAACATACACAAGTAGCCAATATCTATGTACCAACTGACATACACAGGTAGCCAATTAGTAGTCAACATACACAAGTAGCCAATATTTATGTACCAACCGACATACACAGGTAGCCAATTAGTAGTCAACCTACACAAGTAGCCAATATTTATGTACCAACCGATGTACACAGGTAGCCAATTAGTAGTCAACACACACAAGTAGCCAATATCTATGTAACCACTGACATACACAGTTAGCCAATATTTAGGTACCAACTGACGTACACAGGTAGCCAATTAGTAGTCAACATACACAAGTAGCCAATATCTATGTAACCACTGACATACACATTTAGCCAATATTTAGGTACCAACCGACGTACACAGGTAGCCAATTAGTAGTCAACCTACACAAGTAGCCAATATTTATGTACCAACCGACATACACAGGTAGCCAATTAGTAGTCAACACACACAAGTAGCCAATATTTATGTACCCCTGGACATACACAGGTAGCCAATCTTTAATCAACAAGTGGCCAATATTTATTTACAGACATATGTAAACAGGTAGTTAAACTTACGGAAATTAAAGTCATCTGGGCTTTGACAAAACATAAACATTTAGATATAAAAACCAACAAAGATCAAATGCCAACTGACTTCATAATCATGAGTAGGAAAACAACAAATTTTACCAGTTTCTGAAAAAATCTTGATTCTCACAATTACAAACATTGTAATTGATGATATTGACATTATTTCTACTTGCACAAGTAAAAAAGTAAAAATAAATAAATGCACTCAAATTATTACAAATGAGAACAGAACATAAATGTTCTAGGATCCAAGTTGGTCAAACTGAGAAAAACATGTACACTAAAATACTGCCATCTCTGACCACCTCTTTGTATTCAGAAAATAAAATAAATAGTCCTTCCTGCATTATCTATAATAAATTAATCATATTTGATCACTTGTGCAATTCATGAAAACAACTTTATCCTATTTCTCATTGCACTAAAAAAACCTAAAAACCAAACAAAAAACCCAATAATCTGAAACTATAATTATCGTTTTGATAGCTGACATATCAAAGGAAAACAAACATTACATGTAAAATTTTTAATACATTTACCTTCACTAACTGAAACTCATTTCATTTTAAACATAATTTGATTAATCTGACTTGAATCAATACTAATAAATGTAAAGAAACAGAGTTTTTATTTAAATGTTAGTCTATTTAAGAAATAGTAGTTCTTATGACAGTGAAAACTCTTGTTTTGTCGCTCTGTCTGCAATGAATCTGGTATACACATCTCTATACATCTAGTATCTTAAAAACAAAACAGAAATAAAAACAATACATATCACAGTAACAATCTGAAGTGCAGGCATCATGCATATAAAGAGTTCTTAACGCCACAGATAATTTGTCAGAAGGAACAATGGTATCAAACAGAGTCACAGGTACAAACGAATCTGCTAAGAAGCCTTAACAAGTCATTATCAGTAAAAAGATACATGTATAATACTATTTCATATATAGAAAACTATGACTTGATTTTGTTTTAATAGACAGAAATGTGTTTGTATACCAGTTTTCATATACATGGCTTTTTAATTACATGTTAATTTTAATATTGCTATTTTCTAATTTCTGTCGAGACTTTTGGAATGTCATAAAGTAATACTGGTGCCCTTGACCTTTGTCAAGGTCAAAGTCATCATAAGATTATGTATGAATTGTTGTCTCCCCATGATTGGAGTTGGAGTAGGCACATTGATGAGTAGGAGAATCATTATCAACATATACTATTTTCAAATCCTTTCCACTCGTACATTTTGTATTGAAGAACTATTAGCAAATGCTATTTCAATGCCAAATCTCCTGACATTTTTTGATGGTGTGTGAAGCTTTGTGACATTTCCGGGTTTAAAGTCCAAAGTGACTCCTGGATAACAAATTTTCTCATTTAAATACATTGTATTTCAATACAAATTAAATATTCTTATATTTGTTGTATCAATCATTACATAATTGCAGCTCAGAGAGATCAGTACTTTGGAACTTCAGTGGCCCATACTCCTACAGAATAATACTGTCCCTCTATGGCCTACCATTTCACATCAATTACATACAAGTTATTTACAAACACAGCATTAGTGGCCATCACTCTTATGTATTAGGATAAAGAACCTAAATCATGTTGATCTGATAAACTCAGATCTATTCCAATGCTGATTTTTATGATCTGATGTGGTTGTTGTGTTAAGTGGGTACTAGTCAGCCAGTCCCGAATTAACTGGTTACTATATATAGCCAACCAGTGTTTAGTTAACTGGTTACTAGCTAACCAGTGTTGAGTTAACTGGTTACTAGCTAGCCAGTGTTGAGTTAACTGGTTCCTAGCTAACCAGTGTTGAGTTAACTAGTTACTAGCTAGCCAGTGTTGAGTTAATTGGTTACTAGCCAGCAAGTGTTGAGTTAACTGGTTACTAGCTAACCAGTGTTGAGTTAACTGGTTACTAGCCAGCCAGCCCTGACCAACGATGTAGATATGACCCCCAACCTGAAGCCTGAGCCTGTTGTCCTTGACCAGTGTCTTCACCTGTAACAGGAAAAAAAAACCATTAATCGATGTGTTTTCAAAAAAGGAAAGAAAAAGCTTAAAATTATATACATATTTATATATATACATTTAGGAACTTACATGAGTTTCCATTTCTTTTGTGATTTATGAGTTTAAAAATTTTTCACTTTACTTAGCTTTTTGTTAGATGATATGGACACTTTCTGAGTTTTATAAATGTGAAAAGGAAACAAATTTAAGATCCATTTAATCACATTACCATTATTTCTGAAAATATTAGAGAAAATATACTTTTTCAGGTCAAACTTGTTCTCTATATATATGGTCTTCATTTTTACTTTCCAATGCAATCTCTGAGAGTGTAACATCCTTTCATTATCTAATCCTTGCATTACAATAACTATGGTATATTACATTGAATAAAATGTCAATCCTATGATAAATGAACACCACCTAGATTTACTCAGCATTCTGTGAAATTGTTTTATTGAAACATTATGCACAAACAGTAGATTTTCTTTAAAAGGTAATATTGATGTTGACATAAGTACCTTGACACATAAATACAAAGCTTTTGGCCATGTGTAATACATTTGATCAAAATTCTTTATAGAATGCAGTTGTAAGTTGTGACAGGATTCAGGTTGGGAGGCAATGGGATGTGTGTTCCACTATAAATTATAGGAAGATGGGGAGGCAGTATGTCAACTAAAAAATGTCTTTAAAACATGAATTTCTCCACTTCTATGCAAACCAGAATCTGATATGGTTAAAAACTTTATGTTATGATACTATGAGGTAAACAGATACATGTATGAACCAAAATCTGTTGGGGGCTTTGTCAGTAACTGGAATGGGCTGCAACACAACCAGACAAGAAGGACTGATTGATAGATTGATGGACATGATTAACAATAGATGACCTCCCACTGAATAAAAGAAGTCTAAAAGACTGGAGTATGAATAACTCACCCTGAGCTACGGCATCCAGTAACGTCTTCTCCTCTGGGCTTAATTTTAACATGGTACACAACACAGGAATCAGTTTTTGTCGGTCATCGCCAACCTTCAGGCTCAGAAACTGGACAAAGAAAAACCACATACTGTAACATGGTACACAACATAGGAATCAGTGTCTGTAAATCACACCCACCTTCATAATAATGTATACTCTTGCCAATACGCACACTTTTACCACTAAAAGTAAGATAGACCTGGTATACAAATAGGCCATTAGTATTAGAACAATCTGAACAAACTGCACTGTAAATTGACTCACATATAATATAACAATGCTTACGAATTATACAATATCGTACAAGATAATATTTCTGACATTTTTTTTATCTTTTACAAAAATGTCAAAAATCCATTTATCTTATGAATAGTGTTTTTTCTTAAAGAAAGATTTTTTTTGATGGAGGTAACGGAAGAAGAATTGTTTTTTGGAGGTAGGCACATTCAGAAGGAAGTTTTTGAGACACTTACCTTCAGAAGGATGTTTTTGAGGTACTGACCTTCAGAAGGATGTTTTTGAGGTACTGACCTTCAGAAGGATGTTTTTGAGGTACTAACCTTCAGAAGGATGTTTTTGAGGTACTAACCTTCAGAAGGATGTTTTTGAGGTACTAACCTTCAGAAGGATGTTTTTGAGGTACTCACCTTCAGAAGGATGTTTTTGAGGTACTAACCTTCAGAAGGATGTTTTTGAGGTACTAAACTTCAGAAGGATGTTTTTGAGGTACTAACCTTCAGAAGGATGTTTTTGAGGTACTGACCTTCAGAAGGATGTTTTTGAGGTACTGACCTTCAGAAGGATGTTTTTGAGGTACTGACCTTCAGAAGGATGTTTTTGAGGTACTGACCTTCAGAAGGATGTTTTTGAGGTACTGACCTTCAGAATGATGTTTTTGAGGTACTAACCTTCAGAAGGATGTTTTTGAGGTACTCACCTTCAGAAGGATGTTTTTGAGGTACTGACCTTCAGAATGATGTTTTTGAGGTACTGACCTTCAGAAGGATGTTTTTGAGGTACTGACCTTCAGAAGGATGTTTTTGAGGTAGATGTTTTTGAGGTACTGACCTTCAGAATGATGTTTTTGAGGTACTAACCTTCAGAAGGATGTTTTTGAGGTACTAACCTTCAGAAGGATGTTTTTGAGGTACTGACCTTCAGAATGATGTTTTTGAGGTACTAACCTTCAGAAGGATGTTTTTGAGGTACTAACCTTCAGAAGGATGTTTTTGAGGTACTAACCTTCAGAAGGATGTTTTTGAGGTACTCACCTTCAGAAGGATGTTTTTGAGGTACTAACCTTCAGAAGGATGTTTTTGAGGTACTAACCTTCAGAAGGATGTTTTTGAGGTACTAACCTTCAGAAGGATGTTTTTGAGGTACTAACCTTCAGAAGGATGTTTTTGAGGTACTGACCTTCAGAAGGATGTTTTTGAGGTACTAACCTTCAGAAGGATGTTTTTGAGGTACTAACCTTCAGAAGGATGTTTTTGAGGTACTAACCTTCAGAAGGATATTTTTCAGGTACTCACCTTCAGAAGGATGTTTTTGAGGTACTAACCTTCAGAAGGATGTTTTTGAGGTACTAACCTTCAGAAGGATGTTTTTGAGGTACTCACCTTCAGAAGGATGTTTTTGAGGTACTAACCTTCAGAAGGATGTTTTTGAGGTACTAACCTTCAGAAGGATGTTTTTGAGGTACTAACCTTCAGAAGGATGTTTTTGAGGTACTAACCTTCAGAAGGATGTTTTTGAGGTACTCACCTTCAGAAGGATGTTTTTGAGGTACTCACCTTCAGAAGGATGTTTTTCAGGTACTGACCTTCAGAAGGATGTTTTTCAGGTACTCACCTTCAGAAGGATGTTTTTGAGGTACTAACCTTCAGAAGGATGTTTTTGAGGTACTAACCTTCAGAAGGATGTTTTTGAGGTATTCCATATTGGCTGCCTCCTTTTCCCTTTCCTGGTTCCTCTCCAGTCGTCGTATCTCCTCCTTCAGGATCTTGGCCTGCTCTGTCAGCCTCATTACTGCTGCCTCAGACTCGTTCAGAAGCTGTATCAATCAACAACATTATACGTTATGGAAATCAAGTCGGGAGAGGAAAATAACATCAACAGAACACATCCTCAACAAAATTATACTTTATTTATGTCATCAGTAGAGTTATATGTTTGCAACAGTTTTCATATCTTACCTCTGTTGAATGTTCCAGTCTCCTATTTGCAGTCAAAAGACTTTCCTGAAGAACTGCCTCACTGGCATTTTGACCGAGTTTTGATGCTGAAATGATACAGGGTAAAGCATTTTATTGATGACAGTTTTTGGATATCTAATATTCATGAGTGTTCTTATTTCATAAATACAAACTCAAATAAAAAATCACATTAGTTACAAAATTATTTCTGTAGATATTTATATATGTGTTCTGAAGCTTAGACCAATCTTTACCAGTGCACTGTATCTGTGTCGTCTGATTTATTCCAATATCTATCAGCTTACCTGTGTCCTGTGACTTATTTCAAATACTTACTGGTGTCCTGTGACTTTTTTCCAACCCTTGCCTGTGTCCTCTAAGTTAATTCAAATCCTTACCTTTGACCTCTGACTCATTTTTAATCCTTACTTGTGTCCACTGATTTATTTTCAATCCTTACCTGTGACATTTGACTTATTCTCAATCCTTGCCTGTGTCCTCTAACTTAATTAAAATCCTTACCTTTGACCTCTGACTTATTTCAGACCCTCCCTGAGACCCCAGTTTTATTTTATCATAGAACTTTCCTGTGTTGTGCGGCTTGTTTTTAATGCAAATTTGTGTCCTCTGACTTATATAAGACCTTACCTGTATCCTCTGGACCAGCCACCAGTAACTTATCGAGTGGCATTGGAGATATAGCAGTCTTATTACTTCCCTGTAATAATAAAACATACCATTACTATAAAGTTATCACACTAAATAGCTATCAACCTACTGCTATAATTTATCTCTCAAGCAACTTATATAATTCAACATTCCCTATAATCTATAATTAATTTTACATGATCAAAGCTTTACCAAGTTTAAGAAAAAGGATATTCTACGAAATTAAACATGAATTTTCTGTTATAACAGAAGATATCACATCACTTTGATCTCTCACAATTGGACAATAAAATGTTTACCTTTGGACATGGTTCAGGATCGACTATTTCTGATCCCTGAAAAAAAATAGTGAAACACACATTATATACCTGTATGTAAGTAAAGATGGACATATACAGTGTTCTTGTATACCGACTATACTGTATACCGTTATTGTCAGGTCACCAGTTCCCTATGTCTCTAGAAGTCCTTTGAGAGGATAACATTTCTCCCAACATAATAGTAAATAGTCTGAACTATTGCTGTTTGTGTTTAGTGGTTGGACTAAATTTGTTTGTTCATAAAATAAGTATGAATCTCCTGTCTTATCTTGCTTTTGAATTCTAATAAGCCTTGATTAAGCATTTTTAGGCCTCAGCCGACTAATGATGTCTGCAGGTCTCTTCTGATTTATGGCTTAAAGTACTATATTTATAATGCTGGCATATCAGTTTGTTTGTGTAAACAAACAGGAACTTGGTCTCTACTAGAAAGTAAACCTAGTGATGGAATTCCATCCAATGTAACCAGGGTAAGGTATACTTTACATGATCCTGAAATCCTATAATTTGGGTTTTAATATGCTACTGACAACTGAATTAGTATGTTTCCATGGAATGATAGTATTCATAAGAAAGTGCTCTTGTTACATATCTTTGATGAAATCATGTTTTGATTTACTTCTTTTGATGAAACATTTTGTTAGGCAGTTTTAAAGATGAAAAAAAAAAAATCAGTGAAATTTGGAATTACCTCCCCTTCCTGTCGCTCTTCATGTCTCATGTCCGGAATGAACTCTGTGGTTTGAACAGTATGGAATGTCTCTGGACTTTTTCGTTCTGACAGAATCTTGGAAGTGTGCTGGACTTGATTCTGCAGTTCCCTCTGTAGGCGAAGATTGTCGTTTTCTGCCGAGTCAAGTTGTCGCTGTAGTAGATCTAATGCACGACGATGATCTTCATGCAGACATTTGATTTGTTCCTATAAACAAAGCACAAAGATTATAGTTATGTAAATGAGGAAACGTTTTATTTTGTATTGATTCACATTTAAATGTTCCATACTGGCAAAAGATAGAATTGATTTACATAAATCAATGACTTAATTGGTCTGTGCCCTGATTTTCAATATCATATAACTGTTACAGTAATTTCAATGAGATAACTAACAAACTCTTTTTCATCAGAAGATGTTTCATTTATTTCAAATTCAAAATAACCCAACCATGATTCTTTTCAACAAGTGCTTGGCCTATTACCTAGATAAGGTACTTAGTGACTCGTTCTGACTTGTGGTCAATCTTATAACCCTGAGTGAGTGGGTCAATGACTCATTTTAACTTGTGGTCAGTGCACTACTCAATATCTTGAAAGAGTTGGCCAGTGGCTTGTTTTGATTTGTGGTCAGCATAAAACTGTGAAGGAGTGACCTTTTGACTTGTTCTGACTTGTAGCCAGCCTACTGCCTTAATGAAGGACTTAATCAGTGACTCATTCTGAATTGTGTTAAGTCTATTAACTTGAAGGACTTAATCAGTGACTCATTCTGAATTGTGTTAAGTCATTCTGAATTGTGTTAAGTCTATTAACTTGAAGGAATTAATCAGTGACTCATTCTGAATTGTGTTAAGTCTATTAACTTGAAGGAATTAATCAGTGACTCATTCTGAATTGTGTTAAGTCTATTAACTTGAAGGACTTAATCAGTGACTCATTCTGACTTGTAATCTGCCTGTTACCTTGTAAGAGTTTGTCAGTGACTCATTCTGACCAGCTAACTGTTGGACTGTATCCTGAAGTTCTTTGTTGTATAGCACCTTCTCTTTGTTGGCCTCGTCCATTCTGAAAATGAAAGTCAAACCAACATCTAAAGCTGATAATTTATTAATGATAAAGAAATATGTTCAACTGTAATAATTTGTATTTTAGAAATGAAAACCATTCACACCTGTCCCTATAACAGATCTGAACGAGATTTGAAGTTAGGTGTGCCAAATGATGTTAAGCTGTTGTTGGAGGAGGGAAAGACTCATACCCAGTATCAAGCAGATAGGTGTGAAACCAAAACACAGTTTTAAATCCCTGAAACAGTAGATATCTGTACCTTTTTCTGTAGTGGTCCTCTTTGTCCTGTGTATCTAATAACACTTTATTATGTCTCTGTAACAAGCGGTCGTGTTCCTCCTGTAACACTGTCACTTCCTGTCTCGTACTGCTCAACGTCTCACTGTAATTATAACACAGTAACAACTTCCAACATAAAAAAAAAATAAAAACCCAAAAAACAAAAACAAATTAAAAAACTGTCATTCTGAAGATAACTGATATATCCTTCAGATTCAATGTGTTCATACATCAATTGTTTTAATTTCAGTCCAAGTGACCTTAACGTCAACGTCTTATGAATGACCTTGAATTATCCTACTCATGTAACATTACCTTGTCATGCATCAAAACCATTTTATATCTATTTTCATTATTTTCTGACAATATCTTGGTTTCAACCAGTCAGAAAAATTTTCTATAAGGATTTTTGAAATATCTGATGTGTCAAATCATATGACTGATGAGCTATGGGCCATGACACAAAAACCAGTGTATAATCACCGAGTTACCACGACAACCAAAATTTCTCCTGACAGAAAAAGCCTGAATGCACATCTGCACATGCTCCAGATTATTCCTGTGTAGTTTAATTGAAATAATTTTACAACTTTAGGAGGAGATGACCACACAAGATATATCTACACACAGACGCTGGATAAATGGATAAATGGACAGATGAATGACCAGATTCCAGTATATCCCCATAACTTTGTTGGGGATATAAAAAATACAAACGTGAAAGATTTAAGGACTTCTTAATCTTAAAATAAAATTGGTTGTAGTACTTTTCTGAAAACTGTACATGATAAAATTTTATGGAAGGTGTCTATAAACATTTAGTTGTCCAGGAAAACTGACCTTGTCTCCTGTAATTTATTCTTCAGCTGATCCACTGCCTTTTCTAGCCTCTCCCTATAAAACCAAAAACATCAAGGTTAAGTCATAGAAGTTCAATGGAAAAGAAAACAGAAGTAAACAACAACCCAATGCAATCATTGATAACATTTTGTCACTGAAATCACGAGATCATGTTGACAAAAACTTCAGTCTATTCAGTAATTTACATGTATATTTATCAAAATATTTTTGTCACAGTGTGAAGATATGACCTTTATTACTGACCAATCAGAACAGCACATTCTAATCACTGCATTCCATGCTGACAAAACAGATAACTAACATCTCTATTTTTCATTGCTTACTATAACATAACTTACATCTAACAACATATTCAATCAATTTCTGCAGACAAATCTTTGAAACAAAATAATTGTAGAAAACTTGTCGGCATATTTCCATCAGGGAGTAATGAAGTGATGAGAAGACGTACACTGAAAATGTCAAGCAATGGCATACACAAATTTGTATCGTTAGAATAAGGCGTTAAAAATCCCCAATAAATTGATTCATGCTTTTTGATGCAGGAATATTACCAACATTATGTAGCACAATTTACCAACATTTTCCATACAGCAGCTGATAAGTCACTTACTTCTCTATCTTTTCTTGTTCATTAAGCGGTTCCTGTGATGGTTTTTTCTGTTGTTTCAACACACTATGTACTCGCACCTACAGGTGAAGTGACAGAATTTGATAATATCATATTTAAATTTGATTATCTGTCTGGGTCATGATATCTAAATAATGACCCAATAAGTATATATTCAGATTTCTTACATTCGTAACCTTAGATTTTCTGGTCAGATTTAGCAACCGTTCAGTAAATGGTTACCTATTTAGGAAAACCATTCTCAACAGACAGTAAGGAATTCATCTAAAGTCACATTTTTCTACAGGTGTTACCAGATAATGTCAGGCCTTCATAGAATGGCAGTAAATACAAATAGAAATTGCACTAAGTGTTGTCAAATGAACATGCAGTATTTTAGAACTAAATATTACATCGTTAATATCACCATAGTTTTGATGTCACAATATTTTTGTTATTGTATATACATAATGTATGTATAGTCTCCTTTTGAAAATCAAATATATTTCACCTGTAAAATATAAAACTTACTTTCTGTCCAACATTTTAAAGTGTTATTTACCTTGTAACTCTCATACTCGGCTTGTATGGCTCCCTGTTCACCCCTGGCCACTTCCACATCATCCTGTAGGGATTGAACCTGGCTCTCAAGCGATCGTATTGTCCGCTGATTAGAGTCTGTTAATGATCTCGTCTTCTCCTTCAGTTTCTGGTTTTCTCCGGCTAGCTCACTCATTTGTATCTACAGTAAATTCATATATGACAGCTTAAAAAATATATTCCTTTAACCAGAGTAATTAGATTTCAGTGAAAATAACAAAATTATGGCTTCCTAAATCAACCTGAAAAAGTAATGTATTGATAGTTCACAACTTTAAAATATTTACATTGTGTGACAAATGAAGACTTCCACTTGAGCATAAGACCTTCCTACCCTGGTATCAACACTATAGCTTACCTTATTTTCCTCCACCTGTTGGTTCAGGTGTTCCATCTGGCCTCGTAGGTGAGCATCTGATGATCGTTGTTCGGTTTCCTGAAGAGAAATGAAAGTATACTTTAAAAAAAATTCAATACAATTTCTGTGTAGCCTGAAAAATTTCTTTCTATTCAGCAACTATTTTGTCTTGTTGATCTATCTCATTATGTCAAAATTTTATATAACTATCAAAGACTCTGTCTACTGGTATCTCCTGATATATAGTCTATATATAAAACCTACCCAGTGTCACACTGATCAGGCAATGTTAAATGTTCCATCAGACACTTAATTATGGATAAATTATTATGATAATCCTGGAGAAGGTCAAGGGGCTATTTCCTGTATCTACTCAAAATTGCTGAAAAAGACCCCTTACTATCAAATATTAGGACTTTCCATGGTAGGATCAAAGTCAATACTAATTTTCTGTATCTCGTCACATTTTACAAAATGTTTTTCCGATTTTCAGCTTTTTACAGTAATCTTTGGTTTGTACCTACCCATTTCTTGGCATCTGCTAACTCTTTCTTGGTTTTCACCAGCATTTGTTTGAATTTATTTCCTCTCTCTTCTGACTGGTTTCTTTGTTCATCAACTGCCTCTGTAACCACATAATACAATAAACAATGTGTTATTTCTCCACGTTGATCATACAAACATCATACAATCTTCCAGATGAATTTTCCTAACTGTGTGATGTGTAATAATTTGCCCCAATTATGTACTTTCTTCTGAAGAGACTTATAATTGATAAAATCCTCTGCCATTATAATGCAACATAACCAGGTAATATCAGAAACTTCATTAGTGAAAATCCTTAGCTGTGTAAAATGAGAATCCTCCACTGCTTATATCTTATAATGACTATAAGGACTCTGATACCTTACCTATTTGTTCCTGTAGGGACTTGACTCTCTCCTCTTTTCTCTCTATCTCCACTTTCAGCTCTCCAATAGCAGCATCTTTTTCTGTCAGCTGTGCATTCAGGGCCTGAACAGTCCGCTCATAGTCTGCTATCTCGAGGTCCATCATATTGCTCTGATTGGCTTCCTGTTATTGTAGTGGAAATGAAATTATGATTCTCACAGATCCTCAGATATGTTATATGAACCTAATCTTTGAGAGCATCACAAAATATGACATTGACTCCAAAAGATATGAAACAGAGCAGATGGATATGGGCAAGAATAATATAGTGAGAACATATAAATATAGAATTTTATGACCTATATACCTGTTTTGCCTGCTCTAGATGACTATACTTAGTCAGTCTCCAACCTTGGGCCCCTATGATGATGTGATATGACCTAGTTACCTGTATTACTTGTGGTATGACCTATTTACCTTTATCACATGTGGTTTGATCTATTTACCTGTTTTGCCTGCTCAAGATGGTTCTGCATGGTCTGTATCTGACCCTGGAGGCCTGTGATAATGGACTTTTGTTTTTCCAAGTCCACCTTTGACCGTTCCTCCTGGTCAGTTAGTTTGCTTTGTAACTAGAAACACAAAAACCATATCACTTGTCTGGTATGTAGAAAGTGTTTGAGTGTTACATTGGAATAATAGTTTGTGATATACAGAATACAATGTAACACCACTACTCTAAGCGGGATGTTGTTTAGTGACTAATTAGATAATTATATGTTATCTACATAATGCTAATGACCTTGCATGAGTCATGAGGTACTAAGATTAATAAAATCACAATTAAATGACAAATATACATGCCTACATTTTATTAGATATCTGAAAATAAGATATTTAAGAATCTTCTTCCTTCAGGTTCATATTAATTAAGCACTCTGTTGTTACTGATTATCCTTAAATTCAGTACATAAGCATACATGGATCTTTTAATAGCAAATTCTGAAACAGCATACCTGTGCTTTTTCTTTGGAAATGTCATCCCGTTGAATTCTGTTTGCCTCTGTCTCCTGTTCAGCTGCTGATAATTTGGACTTGAGCTCCATAACTGAAGCCTCTAGCACCTGAGAAAACAAGTAAAAAGCTGTTGAACATATAATTTCCAAAATTTCTGATTAACAAAAATACTACCTAATTATATTACACCCTGACAAAATTATATTACACCCTGACAAAATTATATTACATCCTGACAAATTATTTGACAACTTACCATAGATATGAAACTGAAGTTCTGTGTTAAATACTAATGTTTCATATCACATTTAATCCTATTGATCACTGCTGGTTAGTGGTTACTATGTTTGACATTGAAACTGTACATTTGTTTGAAGCCATATTTGACCACTATTTACCTTAATCTGTGCACTCAATTTTTCCTTTTCGTTGTTGATTCTGTCTTTCTCCTCTTTTGTATTTGCAAGTTTTTGTTTGACCTCTGATGAGGCCTGTATAGTCTGCTCAAGGTCATGTTTGTACTGGTCTGCTGTTTTCTTGTGAGCGTCCATTTCCTGGGACAACTTCTTGTGCTCATGTTGCAGGGTCTGATAAAATGAGATTCCATACTTATTTTTAAATACAATTTTTCCAGATAGACTTTTACAAAGAATTTTGTCCAATTTGTATATCATAGTTACTGGTACAATTCCACATAAGACTAACTTTATGACAATAATCTGTGTTCGATAATTTAAAAACAATAATTTCTCAATCTCAGCTATACCTATCAGTACTCCCAACCATTCACAATTCACCATTCTAATGAATCTAAGAATTGTTTGTTTTACTGCACTTCTGATGAGGTGAAAATGGGAAATTTCTGACAAGTGCAAAATTTCCTTTGAAAAGGAAAAGAAGGCAAAATTCTGTCTAGCTTATAAGAAATGAAAAGAAAGTACCATTCTGTTATCAAAATCAAATAACTTTAATTTTGAAAGAACTTGTAAAAACAGCATTCAGTTATACTATCAAATCTACTTGGTCATGATATCACTCCATATTTGGTGAAATCATAATACATCTGATGCTATGAATTGATGATGAAAGAATCCTCAGCCAATAACAACCGAGTTAGGTGTTATAACTGGTGTGTTCACAACCAAACTTATGTAATGGGTGTTAGAACACTGATAACAAGATACTGATATACTTGTACATGTATCTCAGCTTAGATTTACAGGGAACAGGTGACAACCCTTACATACCTGATAACTCTCTGCCACGATGGAGTCGGACTTATGTGACTGTTCCATGACCTCTAGTTTTTGCTCAAGGTCAGACTTTGCTTGTTTCACTCCTTCCAGCTCTTTAGTGGTATTATCAAACTACAACATCCATAAAGCACTTTTGACAATGCTTTCATGTTTATGTTTTTTCTATTTTTTTTCTTCTAATTTTAGCAATTTTGGAAATTTGGTCAAGGCTACATCAATGGTTTTCAAATATTGGAATCCATTCAATATTTTCAACTTGATAATAAGGTTTGAAATTGAAAATTTTCTAAAAGTCTGAGGGTAAAGCAAACTTAGGACACAGTGACCTAGTTACCTTTTTGTTGACCTCAGCAAGCTCCTTCTTACACTTGACAGCAACTGCCTTAAGCTTGTTACAGACTCCCTCCTTCTCTTTGAGGGCTTTCTTTAGCCTCTCCACCTCAACACTTGATTCCTGAATTGACAATGTTATCATAACATTGAAAATGGATCTACGTAGTTCTGAAATAATCTCACCCTACTCACTTGTTCTTCACTTAACTTTTTGAATGGCAAGATATGGACATCTAAATTCTTATCGTGGTTACAATGAATTCTAAATCAACAACAACTTAATAGAAATTTCATATACACTGAAATGCACCAAAGTATTAAACTTAATGGAAACTGAAAATGGGCAGTACATTTTCCATGGATAAAATGGATGGTTGGCAATTTATGTTGCCAACTTTAGCAGAAGAGATAAATCCCATTTTTCTGAAGTACACATAGAGGGTAAGACTTACACCAGATTTCTGTTTGCTCTCCTCCTCCAGTTGAGTGAATTTCTGTACCTGTGTTACTAGCTCCACTTGTTCTACTTTCAGTTTCTCCAAGCCCTCCACTAATCCTACATTCTCTTCCTTCACTTTGTTGTTACTCTCTACTAATTCTACATGTGTTGTTTTTAGTTGATCATAGTCAGCCACATATGTGGCAAGCTTTGTATTTGTTTCTGACACAGTGAGTTCTAATGTCTGTTTTTCTTCATTCTTCTCACTAAGCACTTTCTCATACTCAACACATTGCTGAGTTAATTTTTCAATTTCACTTTCTAACTGTTGCAAATGGTTTACCTTAATTTCAAGTTGTTTAATATTTTCATTTAAAGTTTCCTTCTCTTCCTTTAGTTTGTTTACTTCAGTTTCTGAGCTGGACAACTTTTCAGAAAGAACATCTTTTGAATCTTGTAGAGATGTACTTTTAGCATTAGCTGCCTCTTTCTCAGCTTTAAGTTTCTCTACCTGACCAGAAATTTCAGCGAGCTGTTTCTCTGATCCTGATGCTCCGTCCTCCAGTGTGGACAATTTGCCCTTCACTGCTTCAAATTCAATGTTAAGCTTCTCTTTTTCATCTTTTAAATCCTCAACCTCTGCTCTGACAGATTCCAAATTCTTAGCTAAAGTGACTTTTTCCCTTTCCACTGACTGTGAAATGCTTTCCAGTTTCTCAATTTCTGCTCTAAGCTGAGTTTCAACGTCACATTTTTCTTTGAAATCTCTGACCAGGCTTTCCTTTTGCACCTTCACCTCACTAATTTCCTCTGTTAACACAGACACCTGTTCCACCAAGTCTCTAATTTCTGATTGTTTGTTTACAATCTCCTGCTGTGCTTCTTCCTGTAATGAGGTGTTCCTCTCCATCAGTGATGTGTTTACTTGTTGTAAGTTCTCTACTTTTTCTTTCAGTGAGATGCTTTCTTCATTTAAGGCCCCAATATCTTGTTCATATGCTTTACTTTGCTGAATAGCTTCTGCTATTTGTGACTGTAAGTCAGAGTTTTCTTGTTGCCTGGTTTCAAGAGCATCCTTCACTTTGTCTAATTCCATTAAAACATCTTGATACTCCTCCGTCTTACTTTGTGATTGTCTCTCTAGTGAGTCAATTTCCTTCATTTTCTCATCGAGTGAAGTTTGAATTTGCTCTAACTGGTTTTCTCTCTCCTGCAAGGTTGCTAAATACTGGTTTTTTTCTTCCTGAAGATTGCTGATCTGTTCTTGAAGTACAGCTGAATGAGAGGAAGAATTCTCTGCTTTTTCTTGTAAGGAAGTTTGTAACTGTCTTAAGTTCTCCTCGAGATTTGAACACCTGGTCTTGTAAGATAATGTCTGCTCTTGCAATGTTTCATTCTCTACACAAACTTTTTCTTTTTCTTCTGCTAAACTCTGATATTTAGTTTCAAGATGATTAAATTTTTCTGTAAGTCCTGTCAAAACACTATCTTTTTCTGCTATCATCTCCTTGTGCTCATCAGCAAGTTTTTGTTTTTCATTGTTCAGATTTTTGAGTTCTGATTCAATGATACCAACACTGTCTGACATCTGTGTTAACTGTACTGCCTTGTCCTTCACCTGCTGTGACAAATCTGCAGCTTCTGTAACAGCCGACTGGTGACTAGATTTGACTGTTGCTAACTCTGCCTCCAATGCCTGCACATTCTGTTGAAGGGTTTTTATTTCTTGGTGTAATGTGTCTGCCACTGATGCCCCATCTGTTTCCATCTTTTCAATGAACTGTTCATGTTTCTTCCTCGACTCTGCCAGGGCGCTTGACATGTCCAAGATTTTATCCTCTAGTTCTTCAGTATAACCCTGCCGCTCCCTCAGTTTTTCCTCCAACTCCTTGACCTGACTAGCTATTTTACCTTTCTCCTCTTCCCTCTCGTCGAGCTGCTGCTTGAGACTAAGACACATTTCTCTCAGTTCCCTCATCTCTGTATCACCATTCTCACTCACCTCCTTCAAATGAGTGTTTTCTGTAGACAAGTCCTGTTCTTTTTCCTTTGCCAGCTGAACAATGACTGCCAGTGACTCTTTCTCACATTCTATTGTCTCTTTCTCCTTTTTGACCTCCTCCAGTTCGCGTTTCAGGGAATGAAGTTGGACGGAGTTGTCACCATTACTACTACAGGCCTTGTTTAACTCACACTTCAGGTCTTCAGTTTTATTAACAACCTGAGTGACAAGCCCTTTAATTTTATCCAGGGCCATCATTACAGAATCATCTTCATCCTCATTAAACACATCATCTGCTGGGTCTGTTTGGATCCCAAGTATCTCTGACATTGTACATCTGATTGTGTCTAGCTCGCCGACAATTTTTTGATCACGTTCCTCGGTGACGTCGAGTTCATGTAGCATGCGTTCCTTCTCCTGTTGTAACATGTTCATCATGTGTTCCCATTCAAGCATTTGTTCCTCTTTCTTCTGCATGTCAGCCATCAACATCTCTTGCTCCTCAACCAGATCACGCACACGTACATTCAGACTGTCACGCTCCTCACATACACGTTTTAACTCTGACACCAACTCCTCCTTCTGTTGTAGCACGGCCTTGAATTTCTGGTCACTTGGGTTACCCTTTTTACCTCCTTTGGCAGGCTGCTCTTTCTTGGCAGACATAAGAGATTCGTTAGTGCTGTGTAATTCTTTAACTTTCTTAGCCAGCGTGGATAGTTCTTTTTTCAGGTTTTCATTTTCTAGTTGGTCCCTTTGGGAAGTTGCCTGTTTGTCGTCTACTTCCTTCGTGAGGACCTGGAGATCTGCTTTCAGTGTGTCACAAGTGCTTTCTAACTCTTTGATTTTCTGTACACGTTCATCACACATTTTCTCTGCCGATGTTCGTCCTCTCACAGCCTCAGCCATCTGTTCCTCCATAACATTCATCTTGTCAGTTACATCAGCACTTATTTCTTCCATTTTGTTTTTTTCCTCCAACATACTCCTTAATCTCTGGTTTTCATCACTCAATTCTTTTTTCTGTTCGACCATCTTTTCTTTTCCATCAATCAGGTCCTGCATTATTTTACTTGTACTGGTGAAATCCTCCTGGAATTTTTTCTGTGATGTTGTCAAATCTTCTACATCCTTCTTGTGATTCTCTGTCTCCTGTTTCAGCTTGGCAGTCAGCTCATCTACCTCCTTCTGAAGGGATACAGCCATATCCTCCTTAGATTCCTCTTTTTCTAGAAGATTTTTCTTGTCTTGTTCCATTTTTTGTGTCAACATATTAATTTCTTCTTGAAAAGATTTGGCCATTTGTTCCTTGGCTGTTTGAGCTTCCTCTAACAGTTTTGACAAATTGGAGTTGGTTTCCTCTAAAAACTGTTTTTCTTTCTTGCTTACATTCAAATTATCTTCTAATTCTTTGGCTGAGGATTGGTCTTTCTCCAACATCGATTTTAGTGAGGCTATTTCTTCTTCAAGGTTACCAACCATTTGATTTCTCTCCTGCAATGGCAAAATATGATGATTATTTTAAAATCTGACAGAGACTATTCATGTCTTAGTCTGTAATATGACACTGCTGAAAGTTGATTCTGATACTATAGGATATGAGATACTCGTAGCTCATCAGATATCAGTCTTAAGTAACCTGTAACTTCTTCAGTATGATTTATCTGCAGTTCCTCTGATAAGAGTTATGAGTAACCTACAGCTCCTCAGATAACAGATATAATATACCTATAGTTCCTGTGATAACAGTGACCAGCTATATATAGCATCCCAGATGGCAGTTAGGAGTTACCTACAGCTTCTCAGGTAATAGTAATGAGTTACCTACAGCTCTTCAGATGAATTACCTATCATTACTCAGGTGACAGTGATGAGGTATCTCTAGGTCCTCAGCAATAAGTGATAATTTACCTGTAGCTCCTTGTCAGCCTGTGACAGCTGTGTCTGTAACTGTGACATCTGGTCAGTCAGCTGCTGTACCTGCCCCTGACTCTCAGTCCCCTGGGCCTCCTGCAATTTCTTCATTTGTTTCAGCTTTTGCATCACCTTGTCTCGAGCATCTGATAGTACCTCTGCCTGGGCTTTTAAGTCCTGGGTTCAGTAATAGTATTAATGTGAGTATTGTATGAGACAAGAAGAAAAACACAATACAGATGGGACCAGATCTATAAAGCAGTTAAACATTCTATACCAACTGTTTCCCCCCCCACACTTTAATATGCAGTAAAATGATGACAGTCATCAAAATACTTTTATTTCTCTACCAAGATGACAAAGTACTTCAAGTTAAAGAGACCACTGGTATTTTAATAACAATTACAATTCAAGAAGACAAATAAAGACAATATCAATGATTTCACTCTGCCTTACCAACCTTGTTTTCCTTCACCAGTTTGTCCTGTTCCTGTTGCATTAACTGTAATGAAGAGCTTGATGTCTCATCCTTCATAGTCATACACTCAACCTGCTCTGCCAGTTCCTGAGAAATAGCAAACACCACAATTCAGATTTTATTTTTATGTATGTCTATGAACTGGTGTGACACTGGGTATTTGATTTCAGACTCTCTTTATTGACAGTGAATCAAGCGAAATTATATCCCCCTCCCCACTCCCTGGAATATTCAATTTAATTTCATAAAACTTTACTCCTGATTCTAAGCAGAATTTCTAAAGCTTAGTTGGAGATCAAGCTCATAAGGCTAAAAGGCCATGGTTGTGGCAAGAAAAGATAAAAAAATTTTCCAGACATCAATCATTCAAGAGCAGTCAAAGCTCAAGGCGATAGATTTATATCATAAAGTTCATAAAAAAGCACAGCATATTGTCTACAGACCCTCAATGAAGAACTAACAGCAGCTCCCCTACAGAACCCTGACTACAACTGAACAGTGGCTAGTCAACAGAACCCTGACTACAACTGAACAGTGGCTAGTCAACAGAACCCTGACTACAACTGAAATTAGCTCCTGCACAGTACCCTGAGTAGAACAGTACCCTAAATAGACCTGAACTGCTTCAGTCATCTGTAGAAACCTGGCTAGAACTGAACAAAAGCTTGCTCACAGAACCCTGACAGCTGAATTGGCTTGTCCCCAGAATCTGGTCGAGAACATTCTGGACACCTTTCTCTGTAAACTTGCAGAAAGCCAGGTTCAGATGCTACAATTTTATGTCAATGGCCAGAAATCTTCACATGAAACTTTAAACAGTTCATGACATTCACAGAATACTTTAAATTACTTTTTTATAGACTACTGTTTGGCAGTTTTCCTGGCAAGTCCACAAGGATTAAATTTGGACATATTTGTATATTGGTATCCATGTATATAGGCATATAACATACATTTTTAAGATTTTGATTCAGTGCTATGTATATGTATGTTAAGTAATTCTGTGCTATCTTTTATGACTATATAAGATATATATATATTGAAATGAAATCTCAATGAATTTACTAACTATACAGTAGCTCACATTGTTTGTCCACACACATAAGTTATGTCAAGATGTCAACATTTGACAGTCACGTAAGTGGGTGTATTTTTGACCATTTGTGGCAGTTTTGTGACATGTCTTTGAAAAAAAATACAGGAAAGTTACAACAGATTAACAAATAGATACCTTTCTGATCTTTTGCACAGATGATAACTCTGTCTCCAGCCTTTGCTTCTCTTCCTGAAGTGTTTTACATTGGGTATTCAGGTCCTTCAATATAGAGTGAAATTTAATTGATTCTTGTTCAACACACAAAATATAATTAACTTTAACCAAAGTAAATTTACAACAGCCTATTGTCTAGTGAGGCTAAATTAAAAATGAAATCTTTTGACTTTTGAGATCTGTAGGTCTTTGGACAGTTTTAGATTCTATCCATCAGTTTCAGCATTTGGCAGACAGAACAGAACTGATATATGCATACAAAGTTTTTATTGTTTCTAAGTTTGAAAGCTTAATTTTCAATTTAAAAGATCTGATAACACTCTCTGTTGTTGTATTATAACTTATTGGACCCCTGTGACCTTGAATGAAGGCCAGTGTCATTCATTTGAACAAACATGATAGTCCTTAATCCAAGCTTGCTACATGCCCAATATAAGCCCTCTAGGCCTTTTGATTATTAAGAAGATTTATTTTAAGATTTTAGCCCTTCATTCTTGCATGCTACAGGCATGACAACACTCTAGGCCTTTTGGGTATTAAGAAGAGGTCAAAAATGTCAATTGTTTACAACACACGACCTTGGACAAGAGGCAATTGCAATAGGTCAATTGAAACTTTGTCTCATGTGACCTTAAAACAAATTTTGTATTTCAGAGTTCTTAATTACATATATTTAAATAACATATTCTCGGTCAGATATGATGTCTCAAATATTTCAATGTTCTACCCAGATCCAAGTAGAAATCAAGTTGCTTCCAAGTGATCAAGATTTTCTACCACTAACTAGTCTGAGTGACATACAAACATCAGATAGCCCAGTTGATGAGAAGCCTATCTAGTGCCTTCCAAGCTTCAAGAATTATTCAAAACTATAGGTCATTGGCCCATCAGTACAATACATTGAAACATGTAGGACAATGTCTAGAGAATGAGATGTGTTGGAAGGTCTCAGCTTTAGTTCCAGTTTGACACAGTGACAGTTTTATATTGACACTATCAGTCCTCTTTGATAATCACATAATACTTCTATCTAGTTTACCTCAAACTTTTCAAAGGACTGTTCTTGGGCCTGCTGCACAGACTGGTAGGCTACTAACATGTCTGCTTTTTCTTGCTCCAATGTCTTCAGCTCTTCCTCCAACTTCTGTTAATATGCAAAGGTTATAATCCAGTACATAATTGTCATACAATAGTACAAAATAGTCAAACTCCAGAATACAACAGTCATACGCAAGTACACGACATTCATACTCAAGTACACGACATTCATACTCAAGTACACGACATTCATACTCAAGTACATGACATTCATACTCCAGTATACAATAATCATACTCAAGTACACGACATTCATACTCCAGTATACAATAATCATACTCCAGTATACAATAATCATACTCAAGTACACAACATTCATACTCCAGTACACAACATTCATACTCCAGTATACAATAATCATACTCCAGTATACAATAATCATACTCCAGTACACAACATTCATACTCCAGTATACAATAATCATACTCCAGTACACAACATTCATACTCCAGTACACAATAGTCAAACTCCAGTACACAACATTCATATTCCAGTACACAACATTCATACTCAAGTACACAATGGTCATTATCTAGTACACAACATCATATTTAGTACACAACTGTCATGTGCTAATATACACTGGTCATACATCAGTGCATAATACCCATACCCTGGTACACAATATCATACTCCAGTACACACTGTCCATACATTTGAATGACAGAAACATACTTTTTCTTAATTTACAGCTATGAGCCAAAATTAAATGTAACTTACCCTTATTGACATGACTGAGGCCAATGAAATAGAGTTACTAATGATTTTATAGAGACACTTGATGAAATTTATTGATCAGAATACTTATCAAAATTTGTAATTATAAACGTACTGCGTCATGAAGAAAGTTCAAACCTGAATTTTGTCTTTATTTCCAGCATCATCCCCATCTGAAGACTTGTTTCCTTCCATGTCTGTCATTTTCTTTGTTAATTCTGTGTTAATAATATTCATAAACACACATATTAAAGTAGAAACATCATTATTTTTATAGACAAAATATTTAGACCCAATAGATTTTTTTAGATAAGCAGTAAAAGTGTTATTGTCCAAACGTTCAAATGAAAAACTTGTTATGATCTGAAAAAAACATTCTATCATTATCTGTCTGGCTGCTTTATGTAATGTTTATCATATATAATACAGAAATAGTTAGAATGTTTACCATCAATCTTGGATCTACTTTTTTGCAGCATCAACATTTGCTTCTTGACAAATTTGGTGAGATCTTCCCTTGATAACTGATCCAGCTGTAAACATAACAATCATAAAACACACTTCAATGACAGTCCTACATATAGTTGTTACCTGAAAAAAGCTTACTTTTACTGATATAAATTTTTGAACTAAACACTCTGATACATCAATTAATTTTAACATGTGTAGTTGGCATGGGGAAACGGAAAACAAAAATTGTTTCTTTTGGTCTAAAAGTTACATATTAGAAGTTGATCTCTATTAAGTTACATATGGAAGTTGATCTCCACAAAGTTACATACAGAAGCTGATCTTTCAAAAGTTGAAAATGGAAGCTGATCTCTCAAAAGTCATATATGGGAGTTGATCTCTTCAATGTCACACATACGAGTTGATCTCTGTGACATTACATATGGGAGTTGATATATACATCCAAATTTACATAGATGAGTTGATCTCTATAGAGCTACATATGAGAAGAAAGTTACGACCATAGGACAATATTTACCTTGGATGTGGCTGGACTCTTACCCTGAATTCCTCCATCACCATCGGCTGGTGATTCCTAAAGGCAAAATTAATACATAAATTCATACTGTAATCTCTTCAGACCTCCTTGTTTAAGGTGAGAACATTCTTTGAAAAAATGACCTTACATATTTAGTCGCTGCCAACACCTAAAAAGATTGCAAATCTTAAATGGTATCGGTGAATTTTAAAACGTTTTCATATTTATAATGCAGACACAGTCATCTAATGTTTAGGCAGAAAAAAAACAAGCTTAGATTTAATCAAGCTGGGTATATTTTGAAAGGATGCACTGATCTCCAACGATGTTCCCAACTTGCTGACAAAAAACTTGAAATATGCTATATATTGATAGCTAATATGCTATCTTTACAGACGAAAATATGTTGTTTCGCTTGATAAGAGAAGTTTTCCGCTGAAACAAACCCAAAAAAATCTTCTTTCATGATTCCTGAAAATTATACGGTAGTTTTCGTCAAATTCCAAGGGCTGAAAATATATCTGGAAAAATGGCATTGAATTTCATGCAGAATCATTACATCCCAGAGAGTCACAGTACAGATGTCAGAACACAAATGTCAGAGGAAGTTGTATCTAATTCTAACACCATGTATATGAATATATTACGCAAGATTTGCAACTTAATTATGAAATACAACAAAATCACAACTTACAGCCATCGTGACTTTTCTGTCTTAGGGCCTGCTGTTGTCAATTACTTCATGCATTGGTTACTGTTCAGACGCCTTTTCATTACGGAAGTGAACGTGGAATTGTTTCGAAAATTAAAATCGGCAGCGAACTAGATATCCGGAAATGGAATAGTTTCAAAATACAGAGACGTAACTTTATATATTACATACCAAAAATTACTCATTTACTTCAGCCTTAAAACTGTATTATTTTCAAAACTTTACCTTGGCATCAATTGTTTTCATCAATTCATCAAATTATATACAGCAGTAATTATAAGAGATGGGATAAAACTGTTGCCAAGTAGACAAAAAAGATTGCAAAACTGTAACTTTCGGAATATTTATATTTTTTTATTTCTGGTTTTTAATTCACGATGATAGAGCAGTATTAGGAATTTAATACAAACGCTCATTATTCATATTTTGGTCCGCTTCGGGCTCCTAAACCTAGCGCATTTGTTTAATTTCCTGTCTTACCTCATATTGATTTACTTCCGGTATAAAACTCCCACGACCTGTCATAATAAATTTCATCAGTGATATAGCGAATTCTCTCGTTTGTCTGGAACGATCTGCACTTTAACGCAATGGATCAGGGACGAGCGAAGTCAGCCATGGCTACAGGACCAGCCGTTACATGTATGAAAACTCTTTTGATGGTGTTTAATTTTCTGTTTTGGGTAAGTAGATTCTAAACTATTTAATGTTTGTATTGTAAATTGTGGTGAACTGAGTATATTGCAGCGTAAGCTTTGAAGGTAATTATATAGTAACCGGATGTCATGCTACAGGTTAATGTTCGCCCAGACTCCGTATCCACTGTACTCCGTTGTAGTGTAGGTTGATAAATCATTAATTTATCCCACAGAGTTCAGTCATTTGCTGAACTCAGCAGATTTAAGTTTGAAACGTCGGATCCATTGCACTAAACCGTAACATTTTGTTTATAATTCCCTGTATGAACTCGGACAATGAAATCTGTCAGATCGTCAAATAAATGTTCAATACTTTTGTTTTTTAATCCATTTTGCCATACCTGATTCATTTCTAGGGTGCTTGTGTATCTGCCATATGGTAAAGTTACTTAAATCATCAAGTTACGTGGTATAACTATGACGCCAGATTACCAGCATCTTCCTTTCATTTGATTTTTTACTTAAGGATAAATTTCTGTTTGATAGTCTATAATAACCTTGTAGATTCATTAATCTATGCTCAAACTCCATACATTTACCGTGTCAGTCTGTATTAGCTTTACGATAAAAAAAAAAAAAACAAAAAAATTAGAAAAGAAAACCTTGCTTGGTTTTATAGTGTATTCATAATGTTTCTGAGTTATTTCTTCGAGTGCATTCATTTAAACCTAAACAGCTCTACATTTATTGCTTTAGCGAAATAAACTTATGAAATGTCATTATTTTATTCAAGCAATTCATTATACTAGGGAAAACTCTCAACTAACTAGACTAATACTCTACCAAAGAAGATAAAGTGGAATTCTCCTTGTAGACCTTAGATGAATTCTTAGTTTACATTAAAGGAAATCAAGTTGCTTAATTTAAAATTTAAAGTTAATCTACTTAAGTTCAATGACATTCAAATGAAATAATATCATAAATTGAATTTTATAGGACAGCATAACATACAGTTTGGTGTAGTGTATCAGCATACAATAAAAAATAGTGTACAAATAAATGAATTTCACTTCCAGCTTCTTATATCCTGCTGACATTGACTTTGATTATTTCTTTGAATAATTTAACAAAGATTTCAAACTAATGAAAATATTTGTATCTCAATGACATGTTTCTTGTCCACATAAAGTTTTCACTTAAACCTGAAATGCCAGTGGTTTTCTTTACTATAGGAAATTGCCACCTGGCAGAAATTGGAATTGGAAAATAGGAATTTGGGGAACACAAACGGCTAGATTTGGTCACTTCACAAAGAAGTTAAACATATAGACCTGTATGAATGGCTTTGAATACTAACACCATTTCAATTTCAGATCACAGGTATTGCGATCCTTGCACTTGGTATTTGGACAAAAGTGGATTTGTACAAGTACATGGAGCTTTCCGCCATCTACTACAGGGAGTCTCCATATGTCCTTATTGGAGTTGGGGCTGTCATTGTCCTGGTTGGCTCACTTGGGTGCTGTTGTACTGTGAAGGGAAACTCTATTTTGCTGTATATGGTAAGCCAAAACAATAATTGTTCTCTGTGAATTTTTAACCAGTACATGATTGTGCTGGGAATCAGACCGATTCTCATAATCAATAATTGAATGCTCATACACCAATCAGTTATTGACTATATACAATAATGCTGTGTGTTTCTCTTACTGATGATATTATCAATTTTGCATATTTCAATCCTGTTCGAACAATGGTGATAAAAGCTTTTCTTATTGAAAAATACTTCTAAATGTTTGAGATAAGAAAGAAAAGGTCATTGCAGAACCCTTCCAGGGCAACATCTTTTCAATTTTGGTGTGCTTTCATTTCGTTCATTTGTTTGGGACACTTTCAAAACCTCCAGTAAGATTGAATTCATGTAAAGGATGAAAAAACTACATATACACTACATATATCTTTGTATTTTGAAATTTGTATTGAATTTTGCTCAAATAAGCTGGTAATTTTTAAATATTGATGAAATGACCAGTTACTCTGTGGAGAACATTGAAACATGTTAACATTATATCTTTGAAACATGTTAACATTATATCTACTTATGTTATTTTCCCCAAGCCACCATTCACCTACAAAAAACAGACCCTGCACATGCATTCTTAAGTCCACAACATTTTTTCTGTGCTTTATATATTCCATTCAGTAGTTCAGTGCATGTGTGTAATTACATTTACCTTTATTTGCCTCAAACATGTAAAAATGAACGTACATGTAGACCTATATCATCAAAGATTACATAAAATGGATATGTTTTCTTATAATACTTACCTGAGATATTATTTGGTGGCCTTGTTAAGTTCTTTGCGACAAACTCTACACATGTGAATTGTATTGCCTTAATAGTGACGTGTCATTATTTTGCTGCCATCACATGTAATCACTTGTTATGTGCAGTAGTGACAAATTATCCTGGCAAAATAAGTCCGGTCCTCTAAAACTTGCACTGATCCTCTAAATCGAAAGTGATCACTCTGGAAATACTTGAAGACTATAAATAGCCTTTGCAATTGATGATTATGTTTCTGTTTTGCATCTGTCGTTACCTCAAAATTGATATTATTACCATTATCTGTTCCATGCAATTAAAATGATATATTTCTAGATTTACATAGCATATTATGAAAACAACTGAAAGTTGCACTAATATGATCGTATTCACACAAGTGCTTGTTCTAACACACAACATCAACTTACTGTGGTGTTTGTTCATGTACTGAAAGCAATTGTTTTCGAACACTTGGGAATTCTTTGTTTTGGTATTTTCTGAATGGAAAAAAAGATGGTTTTTGCCTGTCTTCTAATGACAAAGTAATTTAGTTAATATTTTTTTTATGAAATATTCGAATCGAATAAGGCTGTTTGAATAATATCAGATGCATTTTATTTGACAAATCAAAATATTTCTAGCGATTGATGTGAAAATGATGGAACGTCAATAAGATTTTGGATATTAGGAATTCATGTATTAAAATTCATGTGATATCTCTAGTTCTTTATGAACCTATATGTTTAATACAAACTAGACCCATGAAGAGACTGTACGTCCACCATGCATATGATATCATCAATCCAAAATGTTTGGAAAAAAATTGCTTTATATTTTCAACTGGCTTGGAGGGTAGGAAATATTTCTCAAATCAAAATCTCCAAAGGATGAAAGTTGCTCAACATCAGTAGATTAATACTTCCACTAATAAGAGAGATATGACTGTTTTTCTAACACTGACGTCACAATGCGTAGAAATGCTTAGTTGGGACTTAGGGGTTAAATAATAATTCATTTCTATTTAAATGCATTTTCTATTAAATAACTAATTTAGCCTTTGAATTTTTTAAAGAAGAATTTCATCATACTTGAATCAGCTAATGGTAGCTTTATTCTGTGGTACTGCTGAGGTCATAGATAATAAAAGCTAATATCGTTACTTTCAGAACTGCTTGCCATTTGCTTCTCTGATGTATAAGTACATACTACTCTAACACAATGAAACAAATATCCTGAACTATCCTACTATTGATAGATACAGTGACATACATGAATCAAACTTATTCAGTCATCACTACGTTGACTAGAGTGGGGGTTAGGTTAAGTGATTGATAACAGGCTGGTGTGGCAAAGTCAGAGACTAATTAATAAATTCTGCAATTGATCAATGATTTTGAACCTGTTAATTAGCTATGCTGTTATGCATCATTGGCTCACCACATCAGTATAGCTATAGGCTGTATATAATGTCATGAAAAAGTAATGATCTAACAGGGACTCGCACACCTGTATATCTATACAGAGGCCATACACAGCAGACCTAACAGGGACTCACACACCTGTATATCTATACAGAGGCCATACACAGCAGATCTAACAGGGACTAACACACCTATATATCTATACAGAGGCCATACACAGCAGACCTAACAGGGACTCACACACCTGTATATCTACACAGAGGCCATACACAGCAGACCTAACAGGGACTCACACACCTGCATATCTATACAGAGACCATACACAGCAGACCTGACAGGGACTCACACACCTGTATATCTATACAGAGACCATACACAGCACACCTGACAGGGACTCACACACCTATATATCTATACAGAGGCCATACACAGCAGACCTAACAGGGACTAACACACCTGTATATCTATACAGAGACCATACACAGGAGACCTAACAGGGACTAACACACCTATATATCTATACAGAGGCCATACACAGCAATGACCTAACAGGGACTCACACACCTGTATATCTATACAGAGACCATACACAGCAGACCTAACAGGGACTCACACACCTGTATATCTATACAGGGGTCATACACAGCAGACCTAACAGGGACTCACACACCTGCATATCTATACAGAGACCATACACAGCAGACCTAACAGGGACTCACACACCTGTATATCTATACAGAGACCATACACAGCAGACCTAACAGGGACTCACACACCTATATATCTATACAGAGGTCATACATAGCAATGACCTAACAGGGACTAACACACCTGTATATCTATACAGAGGCCATTCACAGCAGACCTAACAGGGACTAACACACCTATATATCTATACAGAGACCATACACAGCAGACCTGACAGGAAATCACACACCTGTATATCTATACAGAGACCATACACAGCAGACCTGACAGGGACTCACACACCTATATATCTATACAGAGGTCATACACAGCAGACCTAACAGGGACTCACACACCTGTATATCTATACAGAGACCATACACAGCAGACCTAACAGGGACTAACACACCTATATATCTATACAGAGGCCATACACAACAGATCTAACAGGGATTCACACACCTGTATATCTATACAGAGGCCATACACAGCAGACCTAACAGGGACTAACACACCTATATATCTATACAGAGACCATACACAGCAATGACCTAACAGGGACTAACACACCTATATATCTATACAGAGGCCATACACAGCAGACCTAACAGGGACTCACACACCTATATATCTATACAGGGGTCATACACAGCAGATCTAACAGGGACTAACACACCTATATATCTATACAGAGACCATACACAGCAATGACCTAACAGGGACTAACACACCTATATATCTATACAGAGGCCATACACAGCAATGATTTAACAGGGAGTCACACACCTATATATCTATACAGAGGCCATACACAGCAGACCTAACAGGGACTCACACACCTATATATCTATACAGAGGCCATACACAGCAATGATTTAACAGGGAATCACACACCTATATATCTATACAAAGTAATTACCCTGGCAGAGACTCATACATATGTATGTCTTTTAGGTCACTAGGGGTCATGCACACTTTATTTCAGGGTTTCAAGTATATATATACCCTGTCTCCTAGATTATCAGTGTGACATATAGACTGTATTACAGGGTTATATAAACCGTGTCTTCTAGGTCACCAGGGGATGTACTGCAGGGTTACGAATACCCTGTCTCATAGGTGACCAGGGATCAGACAGGCTGTATTACAGGGTTATATAAGCACTGTCTCCTAGGTCACCAGGGGATGTACCACAGGGTTATGAATACCCCATCTCATCGGTGACCAGGGATCAGACAATGTATAAGGATGTTTTATATAACCTGTGTCATTTGCTATCAGTCCTCATCCAGTTGTGGCCATTCATGCAGCCAGCATGAAATGTTCATTCATCCTAGGAACCTTTAATATATATTGTATGTATTTATCAGTGTAATGAGAAGTTGATTTGATTCATTCTAACACTGCTGATAAGATGAACAATGCAGAAACGCTTGCTCATGTAATTTGTGTGGAGTTTTATTGATTTTGCCCACCGATATCGGTTCCCTTGGAAACACCATTGCAGAAGATGTCTGTTATGCTGAACAATATTTTTTTTCTGGATTATAGAAAGTTTTAGCAAGGTAATAATTTGCACCCATAATATACACCTAAACCTAAGTGTGCTTCAATTAAAAAGGCTTTGGGGCTATGTCTGGGGTGGGATTGATCCCAGGCTATTTAATTGAAGAGGGTAGGGCACTATATCTGGGGTGGGATTGATCCCAGGCTATTTAATTGAAGAGTGTAGGGCACTATATCTGGGGTGGGATTGATCCCAGGCTATTTCTATAATGAAAAACTTGTTAATTTCATTAGTTTGGTCTAAAGTTGAGATTTTCTTGCTCGGGCAAAAGCCAGAACGAGCGGGGATCTCACCAATGGAGACTAGCCTCTCTCCTGTCTGGCCGTCAGGAACCGACACATACTGGCTAGAAAGGTGGTCGTATTTATACTAGCCATGTTAATTAACTGATGAAGTACTATTACACATTAGCTAACAGGTAAACATGGATTGAAGTATACATGAGTTATTGACATGGTCTTGTTCACATAAATGGCATTAGATTCGGCTGTTTACAACAAGATAATGTTACACTGACCATCATACAAACTGCTTAGATAGGCTTCAGGTAATGACTTATATAATCAGGGAACAAACTAATACATGAACATGTGTAGTAGATCAGTAACGACAGAATACCTCTAGCCACTGGTCAATACATGATTGTTCACAGTAGATGTCAGTACTAAATTAACACAGGCAGATACATTATGATGAAACATCTGACTTATGTCTAGCACAATTTTGAATAATTTAATTAACTTACATATTAACTTTTAATAATTCATTCGTCCCTTTGTTTAAATTGATTTCAAATTAGTTACAATTTGACATTATCTATGCATACATATATAGAGCATATAAAGACCAAACAATGGTGGACACCAAGATCCCTCTGGGATCTCTTGTTGTTTAATGAAATATCCTTAAAGTTTATGTGATGTTAGCATGAACCACTACCTACCAGACACACCTAGATAACAAAGATTTGAGAGTGAGGCCTTAAAGTTTGTGTGATTTTAGAATGAACCGCAACCTCCCAGACACACCTAGATAACAAAGATTTGTGACTGAGGCCTTAAAGTTTATGTGATTTTAGTGTGAAACACTACCTACCAGACACACCTAGATAACAATGCTTTGTGACTGAGGCCTTAAAGTTTATGTGATTTTAGTGTGAAACACTACCTACCGGACACACCTAGATAACAATGCTTTGTGACTGAGGCCTTAAAGTTTATGTGATTTTAGTGGGAAGCACTACCTACTAGAGGCATAGCTGATCTTCTAACTATTGATCTGTGAAAACAGTTAGGTTTCATGTCTCTGTTTAATTCTCCTGGGAGTTCCATAAGCCTATGTAATCATTGCTTTTAAATTCTTTGCAAAGTATATATAACAAACTCTTTCTGTAAACAAGTCTTTCTTCTAAGGTCTGATTTAAAGATGTCATTAAACGTGTTTAGGATTTAAATTGTATGTTACATCCAAAAAATATTTTCCAATATCATTGTATTTAATAGTGTCCTGTATCTAACAGTATTCTGTATCCTTGTTAGTATCTAACAGTATCCTTGTTAGTATCTAACAGTATTCTGTATCCTTGTTAGTATCTAACAGTATTCTGTATCCTTGTGAGTATCTAACAGTATCCTGTATCCTTGTTAGTATCTAACACTATCCTGTATCCTTGTTAGTATATAACAGTATCCTGTATCCTTGTTAGTATCTAACAGTATCCTGTATCCTTGTTAGTATCTAACTGTATCCTTGTTAGTATCTAACAGTATCCTTGTTAGTATCTAACTGTATCCTGTATCCTTGTTAGTATCTAACAGTATCCTGTATCCTTGTTAGTATCTAACAGTATCCTGTATCCTTGTTAGTATCTAACAGTATCCCTTGTTAGTATCTAACAGTATCCTGTATCCTTGTTAGTATCTAACAGTATCCCTTGTTAGTATCTAACTGTATCTGTGTTAGTATCTAACAGTATCCTGTATCCTTGTTAGTATCTAACAGTATCCTTGTTAGTATCTAACAGTATCCTGTATCCTTGTTAGTATCTAACAGTTTCCTTGTTAGTATCTAACAGTATCCTGTATCCTTGTTAGTATCTAACAGTATCCTGTATCCTTGTTAGTATCTAACAGTATCCTGTATCCTTGTTAGTATCTAACAGTATCCTGTATCCTTGTTAGTATCTAACAGTATCCTTGTTAGTATCTAACAGTATCCTTGTTAGTATCTAACAGTATCCTGTATCCTTGTTAGTATCTAACAGTATCCTGTATCCTTGTTAGTATCTAACAGTATCCTGTATCCTTGTTAGTATCTAACAGTATTCTGTATCCTTGTTAGTATCTAACAGTATTCTGTATCTTTGTTAATATCTAACTGTATCCTGTATCCTTGTTAGTATCTAACAGTATCCTGTATCCTTGTTAGTATCTAACAGTATCCTGTATCCTTGTTAGTATCTAACCGTATCTGTATCTTGTTAGTATCTAACAGTATCCTGTATCCTTGTTAGTATCTAACAGTTAGTATCTAACTGTATCCTTGTTTGTATCTAACAGTATCCTGTATCCTTGTTAGTATCTAACAGTATCCTGTATCCTTGTTAGTATCTAACAGTATCCTTGTTAGTATCAAACAGTATCCTTGTTAGTATCTAACAGTTTCTTGTTAGTATCTAACAATATCCTTGTTAGTATCTAACAATATCCTTGTTAGTATCTAACAATATCCTTGTTAGTATCTAACAGTATCCTTGTTAGTATCTAACAGTATCCTCTAACAGCATCCTGTATCCTTGTTAGTATCTAACAGTATCCTTGTTTTTAGTATCTAACAGTATCCTTGTTAGTATCTAACAGTATCCTTGTTAGTATCTAATAGTATCCTTGTTAGTATCTAACAGTATCCTTGTTAGTATCTAACAGTATCCTTGTTAGTATCTAACAGCATCCTGTATCCTTGTTAGTATCTAACAGTATCCTTGTTAGTATCTAATAGTTGTTAGTATCTAACAGTATCCTGTATCCTTGTTAGTATCTAACAGTATCCTGTATCCTTGTTAGTATCTAACAGTATCCTGTATCCTTGTTAGTATCTAACAGTATCCTTGTTAGTATCTAACAGTATCCTTGTTAGTATCTAACAGTATCCTGTATCCTTGTTAGTATCTAACAGTATTCTGTATCCTTGTTAGTATCTAACAGTATCCTTGTTAGTATCTAACAGTATCCTGTATCCTTGTTAGTATCTAACAGTATTCTGTATCCTTGTTAGTATCTAACAGTATCCTGTATCCTTGTTAGTATCTAACAGTATCCTGTATCCTTGTTAGTATCTAACAGTATCCTGTATCCTTGTTAGTATCTAACTAACAGTATCCTGTATCCTTGTTAGTATCTAACAGTATCCTTGTTAGTATCTAACAGTATCCTGTATCCTTGTTAGTATCTAACAGTATCCTGTATCCTTGTTAGTATCTAACAGTATTCTGTATCCTTGTTAGTATCTAACAGTATCCTTGTTAGTATCTAACAGTATTCTGTATCCTTGTTAGTATCTAACAGTATCCTGTATCCTTGTTAGTATCTAACAGTATCCTGTATCCTTGTTAGTATCTAACAGTATCCTTGTTAGTATCTAACAGTATCCTGTATCCTTGTTAGTATCTAACAGTATCCTGTATCCTTGTTAGTATCTAACAGTAATCTGTATCCTTGCTAGTATCTAACAGTATCCTGTATCCTTGTTAGTATCTAACTGTATCCTTGTTAGTATCTAACAGTATCCTTGTTAGTATCTAACAGTATTCTGTATCCTTGTTAGTATCTAACAGTATTCTGTATATTTGTTAGTATCTAACAGTATCCTGTATCCATGTTAGTATCTAACAGTATCCTTGTTAGTATCTAACAGTATTCTGTATCCTTGTTAGTATCTAACAGTATCCTGTATCCTTGTTAGTATCTAACAGTATCCTTGTTAGTATCTAACAGTATATCTAACAGTATTGTATCCTTGTTAGTATCTAACAGTATCCTTGTTAGTATCTAACAGTATTCTGTATCCTTGTTAGTATCTAACAGTATTCTGTATATTTGTTAGTATCTAACAGTATCCTGTATCCATGTTATATCCTATGTTAGTATCTAACAGTATTCTGTATCCTTGTTAGTATCTAACAGTAGTATCCTTGTTAGTATATAACAGTATCCTGTATCCTTGTTAGTATCTAACAATATCTTGTATCCTTGTTAGTATCTAACAGTATCCTTGTTAGTATCTAACAGTATCCTTGTTAGTATCTAACAGCATCCTGTATCCTTGTTAGTATCTAACAGTATCCTGTATCCTTGTTAGTATATAACAGTATCCTGTATCCTTGTTTTGTATCTAACAGTATCCTTGTTAGTATCTAACAGTATCCTTGTTAGTATCTAACAGTTTCTTGTTAGTATCTAACAGTATCCTTGTTAGTATCTAACAGTATCCTTGTTAGTATCTAATAGTATCCTTGTTCTAACAGTATCCTTGTTAGTATCTAACAGTATCCTTGTTAGTATCTAACAGTATCCTTGTTAGTATCTAACAGTATCCCTTGTTAGTATCTAACAGTATCCTTGTTAGTATCTAACAGTATCTGTAACAGTATCCTGTGTTAGTATCTAACAGTATCTAACATATCCTGTATCCTTGTTAGTATCTAACAGTATCCTTGTTAGTATCTAACAGTATCCTGTATCCTTGTTAGTATCTAACAGTATCCTGTATCCTTGTTAGTATCTAACAGTATCAAGTATCTAACAGTATCCTTGTTAGTATCTAACAGTATCCTTGTTAGTATCTAACAGTTATATCCTTGTATCCTTGTTAGTATCTAACAGTATCCTTGTTATATCCTTTGTTAGTATCTAACAGTATCCTTGTTAGTATCCTTGTTAGTATCTAACAGTATCCTTGTATATCTAACAATATCTTGTTGTATCCAGTATCCTTGTTAGTATATCTAACAACAGTATTCTGTATCCTTGTTAGTATCTAACAGTAGTATCTAATGTATCCTTGTTAGTATCTAACAGTTAGTATCTAACAGCATCCTGTATCCTTGTTAGTATCTAACAGTATCCTTGTTAGTATCTAATAGTATCCTTGTTAGTATCTAACAGTATCCTTGTTAGTATCTAACAGCATCCTGTATCCTTGTAAGTATCTAACAGTATTCTGTATCCTTGTTAGTATCTAACAGTATCCTTGTTAGTATCTAACAGTATCCTTGTTAGTATCTAACAGTATTCTGTATCCTTGTTAGTATCTAACAGTATTCTGTATCCTTGTTAGTATCTAACAGTATTCTGTATCCTTGTTAGTATCTAACAGTATCCTGTATCCTTGTTAGTATCTAACAGTATCCTGTATCCTTGTTAGTATCTAACAGTATCCTGTATCCTTGTTAGTATCTAACAGTATCCTTGTTAGTATCTAACAGTTTCTTGTAATCGTGTATCCTCGTGGTATATTTACTATTCTATATTATGTCCTGTTTTTAATCCTGTATTTATTTACAGTATGCTGTTTTCCTGGTTGTCGTGTTCATCGTAGAACTCAGTGCTGGTGCTGCAGGATTTGTCTACCAGAGTAAGGTGAGTCCCAATAAGTCACTATCAGTTTGGCGAATTTAGATAAACAATGACTTAACTAAAATATGTATTAAGGCATCGCCTGACACACCAAGCCCTTAAATATTGTAATGATTTGTTGGTTGTGCTAGTTTTTTCATTATCAATGTGCTATTTTCAGTTGGAAGCTGGCTTCAAGGAAGGCTTACAGGTGGCTCTACAGAAATACAAGGTGGACGCAGAAATTACTGGAGCCATGGATGATCTGCAGTCTCAGGTAACTATGGCAACAGCATATCAAAGTAATATTAAATCTTACGTCATGTAAACTTAATGGTATAATCTGGTATGATCTAAGTATTTCAAATTTTTTTGTAATTGCGAAGGTAATACTTGACTGCTTTTGATTTTAATATGAGGGGTTGGCGATCGAGATCTATCTGATTAAAATCCCAACTTGATTTCTATGCTCAATGTGGCAGAGTTTACACAATTGGAGTGTAGTATTAATCAGACAGAGGAATATAGCTCTCTTTATCTTGACTTATCTAGGTTATTTCCAAACTGAGGTATAGAATGGTTTTCTTGATTGCTGATTTTTCTTCTCTATGTGGTGTCATTTTGCGGGATGGGGGAGGGGGAAAAGTAACTGATGAGGTTTATAATAGTGTTTAGGTATACAGCGTAAGGCATATCTAGTGTAAGACTTATACAGTGTAAAATGTATACAGAGTGTAAGACATACAGTAATAGGTATATACAGTGTAGGGTGAGATATACAGTGTATAACATACATTGAAAGATGTGTACAGTGTATAACATACATTGTAATATGTATACAGTTTATAACATACATTGTAATATGTATACAGTTTATAACATACATTGGAAGATGTATACAGTGTATAACATACATGGTAATATGTCTACAGTGTATAACATACATTGTAAGGAGTCTACAGTGTATAACAAACATTGTAAGATGTGTACAGTGTATAACAAACATTGTACGATGTGTACAGTGTATAACAAACATTGTACGATGTGTACAGGGTATAACATACATTGTAAAATGTGTACAGTGTATAACATACATTGTAAGATGTGTACAGTGTATGACATACATTGTAAGTATATACAGTGTATAACATACATTGTAAGATGTGTACAATGTATAACATACATTGTAAGATGTGTACAGTGTATAACATACATTGTAAGATATGTACAGTGTATAACATACATTGTAAGATGTATACAGCATATAACAAACATTGTAATATGTCTACAGTGTATAACATACATTGTAAGATGTGTACAGTGTATAACAAACATTGTAAGATGTGTACAGTGTATTACATACATTGTAAGATGTATACAGCATATAACATACATTGTAAGATGTCTACAGTGTATAACATACATTGGAAGATGTATACAATGTGAGATGTATATATTCAGTGTAAGACATAATAGATTAAAACAAAAACAGGATAAGGCATAAACAATGAAAGATACAGCTGGTAGAACCAACGCCATAATTTAAAGTAGACAGTTCTAGGTTTCCTACACATTTCGTAAGAATCCCGAAGGTTTGCAGGGTGGTTGTGTTGTTTGGTAGATCAATACAAGGTAAACAACAACAGCTTCCTAGTATGTTTCTTAAATTTATCATGATTTTTGTTGATATGTTTCGTACTTTACGGGCTTCATCAGGACAAATATACATCATTTTCTATTCCCTAAAGTATAAAAATTGGGCACAACATTTCTATAAATAGTTACTATTGTCACTATAAATAATAACCATTGTGACATCCCGTCATAAACGACTATGCCATGTGAGATGATTACTGTGTTAAATCACATTCTATAACATCATTCCTATATTGCTGTGTCCATGCTGTAATCAGCCTATCCTTATACTAATGCCCTAATCTATCATGTTTAATACAATTGATACAAAATCAAAGTTAATTTATTTTCATCCACACATAATGTCTCCAATTTCCAACTGATAATTTAGCTGTTTGTAGTCCCTTGGGGCAAAACATGTGTTGACAAAGATCATAATATATTGAAGAAACATAATTGGAAGCTGTTGTGGTTGTTCACCTTGTAAGTGTAAGACACGATATACAGTGTATGACATACCAGTACATTGCTAGATGAATACAGAGTTGAATATATACAGTGTAATATGTTGACAGTGAAACCCATATACAGTATAAAACATTAACAGTGTAAGTAAAAAATACAGTGTAAAACAGAAACACTGTAAGACATAAACAGTGTAAAACAGAAACACTGTAAGACATATACAGTGTAAAACATAAACATTGTTAGACATATACAGTGTAAAACAGAAACTTTGTTAGACATTTGCAATGTAAAACAGAAACACTGTAAGACATATACAGTGTAAAACATAAACATAGTTAGACATATACAGTGTAAAACATGAACATTGTTAGACATATACAGTGTAAAACATAAACATTGTTAGACATATACAGTGTAAAACATAAACATTGTTAGACATATACAGTGTAAAACATAAACATTGTTAGACATATACAGTGTAAAACAGAAACTTTGTTAGACATATACAGTGTAAAACATAAACATTGTTAGACATATACAGTGTAAAACACAAACAATGTAGGACATATACAGTGTAAAACAGAAACATTGTTAGACATATACAGTGTAAAACACAAACAATGTAGGACATATACAGTGTAAAACATAAACATTGTTAGACATATACAGTGTAAAACACAAACAATGTAGGACATATACAGTGTAAAACATAAACATTGTTAGACATATACAGTGTAAAACATAAACATTGTTAGACATATACAGTGTAAAACATAAACATTGTTAGACATATACAGTGTAAAACATAAACATTGTTAGACATATACAGTGTAAAACACAAACAATGTAGGACATATACAGTGTAAAACAGAAACTTTGTTAGACATATACAGTGTAAAACACAAACATTGTTAGACATATACAGTGTAAAACACAAACAATGTAGGACATATACAGTGTAAGGTATACACAGTGTAAAATTTATGTAGTGTAAGAGTTTTATGTACTGTATACCTGCACTTAATGTCACTCTGTGTGATTTCTTGTCTGAATCATATACTTTACTATTACTACAGCTCAAGTGTTGTGGGATCCACAGCTACACAGACTGGGTAAACAAAACAACCACCACTGATGGCAAGGTGCCCACTTCCTGTTGTTTGGACCAGAACAAGTGTCCCACTGAGTTCTTGCCAGAGAATGTTAAAGATTGGTTCCCTAAGGTAGTGTATAGTGTGTCAAAACCTTATATTAACTCTGTATCTCATTAAATCAAACTGGGAAAATAGGAGCATGATATCATAGTGATATCGGTTAAAACAAGAAATTTATGTGTATATGAGTTAAAACAAGGAATTTTATCAGGATAGTAAAATCAGTTAAAAACACTTGATCTGTAAAATTTACCATGTTAATGAAAACTAATTTACAGGTTTGTAACATATAGAGTTGTACAGAGTTGGTATGTACTGACAAGTTAGAATAGTAAATAAACCAAAGTTCATATTTTTGATTCCAGGGCTGCTATTCCACTGTAGTGGATTTCATGCAAAGCAACATGGGGATGATTGGGGGTGTTGCCCTTGGAATCTCTTTCTTCCAGGTAAGAAAAGTTAAATATCAGGTAGTTGGTTTCTGTAAGGTTTTTGTGTCATCATTAAAAAAAGTTATGATTCCTGTCATAGATCGGGATACATTACATCATGGATTGGGAAAGTTCTCATCTTAGAATAGAAGATATCCCATCATGGATTAGGGGTATCCCATCAAAGATTGGGAGCACCTATCATGTCAAAATTTACAAAAGTACATTTCTATATTATTAAATTCTTTATATAGGACATAAATACAAAACACACCTAACACCAAGATGTATTTATTGAGATTCCACTTATATTATATACCTGTTTGTTAATTACAGGTGTTTAGTACCCTGTATATATACCTGTGTGTAAATTACAGGTGTTTAGTACCCTGTATATATACCTGTGTGTAAATTACAGGTGTTTAGTACCCTGTAGATATACCTTTGTGTAAATTACAGGTGTTAAGTACCCTGTATATATACCTGTGTGTTAATTACAGGTGTTTAGTACCCTGTATATATACCCCTGTATATATACCTGTGTGTTGATTACAGGTGTTTAGTTCCCTGCATATATACCTGTGTGTTGATTACAGGTGTTTAGTACCCTGTATATATACCAGTATGTTGGTTACAGGTGTTTAGTACCCTGTATATATACCTGTGTGTTGATTACATGTGTTTAGTACCCTATATATACCTGTGTGTTGATTACAGGTGTTTAGTACCCTGTATATATACCTGTGTGTTGATTACAGGTGTTTAGTACCCTATATATACCTGTGTGTTGATTACAGGTGTTTAGTACCCTATATATACCTGTGTGTTGGTTACAGGTGTTTAGTACCCTGTATATATACCTGTGTGTTGATTACATGTGTTTAGTACCCTATATATACCTGTGTGTTGATTACAGGTGTTTAGTACCCTGTATATATACCTGTGTGTTGATTACAGGTATTTAAGATTCTGTATATATACTTGTGTGTTAATTACAGGTATTTAAGATTCTGTATATATGTTGTGTAATTAAAGTTTTTGTTTATTTTCTGTATGTATTTCTGTGTATTATTATATATAACTATTATTTACAGGTGTTTGGTGCATTACTTGCCTGCTGTTTGGCTAAGAACATCAACAAGGCCAAGTATGAACAGGTTGCCTAGACTATCAGGAACACCAAAGGAATACTTCTGTTAACATCAGCAGATAAACTAATGTAATTCACCAACACAAAAAAAAATTAGGGCTTTACACTGAGTCACCAATGCATGTATTTATATGTTATATATAATACTGATATTCTAGAATTTCTAAGATGCTTCTGCCCAGTATTAGGAAGGAGAGTTCTAACAAAGCTTTAAAAGGAACAAAATTCTCCAAATTTGTAGACAATTCTCTCTTAAAATTCCTATAAACTATAATATATCTGCATTTATTGTGCTTTATTTGGTAAACTTGAATTTATAAATGGTATTAAGATTCAACAGTTCTGCTGTTGAAATAGGACTTCAGGCAGATGTTCAAATCTTGTAATGGGCAAAGTGTAATTATTAAAATAGAAACTGGAACAGCCAGAAAATTTACCCACCCAAATATGTGTCGTAAAGCACATTAGTGGGATGAAAGTATTCTAGGTATCCTTGGCCTGGTAAATAGGAACTATATCAATCTCAGAATGGAACTTTTAACAATGAGTTTTACAGAACCATCAATTTAAGAAACATATATAAAATCTTCCCTGCTATAGGTGAAGCTTGTCATATGCTTTTACCTGATAATATATTGGTCATGAATTGATTTCCAGTGTCACAAACTCACCTGATTTTGTCAGGTCAACATGATATTGCCCATATTCTGACCTGAAAAAAAGCTAGAATCACCTTATTTTTCTTTACTACTTAAAAAGTTTAAAATTCAATTTTTGGATTTAATATAATCAGAATAATATTCAAACATAACATAAACTATCATCTAAATACATACAGATCACAATAGAGTTGATTATAAGGTCTTTTTGCCTAATGAAACTTTTAAACACTCTGACACCTGTGATTTGGATGGTGATGACCAGATATATTTAGACAAGCGGTTGGTGACACTGGATTTCTTGTGTATGTCTGCTTCCAATGCTAAGTGTGCTTCTACCAGACATGTTGTCTGGATTTTTATGTATATACAAAGATTTCTTTTGCACATTAACTATCGTTCTGTTTATATTTTTGATAACTTTAGATCTGAAGATTATACAATATAAGATAGGACGAAGAATGCTCTACAAGGACAACATAATATTAAATTCTCAACTGATAACATATATTGAGGTTATCATCTCATGGTATTTTATTTATCAATCTATAATATTTTATTTTAACAAAAAAAGAAGGAAGTTGGTGCCATATCATGTTTTTAATATTATGCATAATTAGATATTAATTTCTTTTTTTTTAATGAAATTTTGATGCAGAACGCAAAACATTATCTAGCATTGTAGTGAGATCAATTATCAGTCACATTGACAATTTATGTTACACATTACGCGTGAATAAATGTTAATCTTGTTATATATATATTTGATCAACTTTGTCATTTAGTTGACTGGAACACCATAGTTATGTAATGTTATTGAAAACTTTTTTCTGTTTTTGTTTTTTTTTTTTTAATTTGATTAACTTTGGCATTAAACTTAGTAGAGTTACATACATTGCAGTAAATATTTCTCTTAAAAAAAAATCATCAAATTATAAACTGATTTCATTAATGGAGGCTGTTACTGAAATACCATTAAGTTGTATGTTGATACTATTTGAGGTAGGGAATCCAGAACTTTTCATCTATTTTCATTAACCGATAAGTTTATAAAGTAAAGATTGTATCTCCTTTCCCTACCTTTATCTAACAAAGAAATATTAAACCCATTAGTGAGAAAATTTGATTGCTGACAGGGAGTTACTAGTCTTTCTGTAGAATAGTTTATAGAATCCAATCCTGGTGACAGCAGTGGTTATGTGTGAAAATTATGGAGAATATAGCTTTTTCACAACAGTAAATGCCCAAGTTACTCTGCTAAACATTAGATATTTAGAATTCTACATCACTGGAAACATACAGTGTTGAGACTCTGCCTGAATATCATATCAGTTCGAAATACAAACTAAAAGACTAAGAATTTTTAGTCTTTAATCAAATTTTTTATTAGCATAATTATCAAAAATAAGCTTGTTATTTATTGTTTCAAGATTCAAACATAATTATCAAAATGACTTTTTATAGAATGCTTTATACACAATCATAATGATCAGAAATTTGAGTCTTCTAAAGAATTCAAATCAAACAATTATCCCACCATTTTCAGAAGATCACATGAAAACTTCACAAAATGTGACTTTTTAATTTTTGAAAATCACAGCCTTGATAACTGATAGCTACCTTGGCATATATGTAGGAATTTTTGTATAGTGCTACAGTTGTCTAAATAAGGTTTTCCTATTTGTTGTTGCTATACTAAGCCTAGTGTGGAGTTTGTTATGGTCATATTGACCATTAGTGTTGCCAGTGTTATCATGGTCACCATACTGACCGTAGCTGTTGCTAGGCTAAGCCTGGTGTGGAGTTTTGTCATGGTTATGTTATTGATGTGAGGTTACATCTTGTGTGGAATGTTGTCATGGTCACATTAAGTTATTGTTGCTAGGCTTGGCCTTGTGTGTAGCATTGTCATGGTCATAATGACTCTTGCAGTTTCTAAGGATTAGCCTTATGTGAAGCGTTGTCATGGTCATAATGACTCTTGTAGTTGCTAAGGATTGGCCTTGTGTGTAGCGTTGCCATGGTCATAATGACTCTTGTAGTTGCTAAGGCTTGGCCTTGTGTGTAGCATTGTCATGGTCATAATGACTCTTGTAGTTGATAAGGCTTGACCTTGTGTGTAGCATTGTCATGGTCATAATGACTCTTGTTGTTGCAAGGGTGTATTGTTTCTCTCCCTACAAAACTAGACCTTTTACATTTAGTTGCCATGGTGACTGGGACCATACTTGTTCTTTTATCTATATTAGCTCTGATTGTTGAATATTAATGAAGAACAGTTTTATTTGTAGTAGATTTTTTTTCTAGTATCACATACCTGTACACTTATTTATGCATAAATATATATCATATATAGTTGTCATGGTTGAAGGGAAAATTTGACTGTTGCTGTGGAAATCCTGTTATGGTTCCAGGGGTAACAGTACTTATAATGATGATAAAAATACAATATAATAATCAAAGAATTTTAATCATGTATTTACAATGTTATGTGCAATCTTGGCATTAAAACTATCTGTTCAAGATAAATTTAATGATTGTTTCTGTTGAAACACATTTTACCGAAAAGTTGTCAACAAGTATTACGCAATAAATTGTTTGTAATTATTACATTATTAGCGTTAACACCGTGGACTATTGTGATAGACACTGAAATAAATAACACACTTGATGTTTCTAAACAGAAACTATTTTAGTCTTGCCTGCGTTCCAGTCGTGTTTTCCATGAAGTTTGAGTTTTTGTTTCCCACTAATGTTCAGGTTTAAATGCTAACCATAGGAAGTCAACAATTACATATTCATTTAACAACAAAACTTTAATATATGTCTTGATGATTGAGAGTTCTCGCCTTATTTCAGTTTATCGTTTAAATATCTATATGTAACAGGGTATTTTAGTTATAAAAGCTTTGACATATTGTGCAATATTGTCAGACAGCATTGTCTCAGCTCTCTGTAAGATATTGATAGCAAATAAATGCTTGTCAGTCCAATTTGAAGAATTTTACATTATGCTGTCATTATCAGAACCTGAATCGTGATATAGTGAGACAGTTATAAGTAAACATATCCCTGTTGTCCCCAGTACTGTGGAGTAGTGGTGACAAATTAATCCCTGTTGTCCTGACTACTGTGGAGTAGTGGGGACAACATGAATCCCTGTTGTCCTCACTACTGTGGAGTAATGGGGACAAATGAATCCCTGTTGTCCTCACTACTGTGGAGTAATGGGGACAAATGAATCCCTGTTGTCCTCACTACTGTGGAGTAGTAGGGAGAACATGAATCCCTGTTGTCCTGACTACTGTGGAGTAGTGGGGACAGCATGAATCCCTGTTGTCCTGACTACTGTGGAGTAGTAGGGACAACATGAATCCCTGTTGTCCTGACTACTGTGGAGTAGTAGGGACAACATGAATCCCTGTTGTCCTGACTACTGTGGAGAAGTGGGACCAAAATGAATCCCTGTTGTCCTGACTACTGTGGAGTAATGGGGACAAATGAATCCCTGTTGTCCTGACTACTGTGGAGTAGTGGAGACAACATGAATCCCTGTTGTCCTGACTACTGTGGAGTAATGGGGACAAATGAATCCCTGTTGTCCTGACTACTGTGGAGTAGTGGGGACAACATGAATCCCTGTTGTCCTGACTACTGTGGAGTAGTGGGGACAACATGAATCCCTGTTGTCCTCACTACTGTGGAGTAATGGGGACAAATGAATCCCTGTTGTCCTCACTACTGTGGAGTAATTGGGACAAATGAATACCTGTTGTCCTCACTACTGTGGAGTAATTGGGACAAATGAATCCCTGTTGTCCTCACTACTGTGGAGTAATTGGGACAAATGAATCCCTGTTGTCCTCACTACTGTGGAGTAGTAGGGACAAATGAATCCCTGTTGTCCTGACTACTGTGGAGTAGTGGGGACAACATGAATCCCTGTTGTCCTGACTACTGTGGAGTAGTTTGGACAACATGAATCCCTGTTGTCCTGACTACTGTGGAGTAGTTTGGACAACATGAATCCCTGTTGTCCTGACTACTGTGGAGAAGTGGGACCAAAATGAATCCTTGTTGTCCTGACTACTGTGGAGTAGTGGAGACAACATGAATCCCTGTTGTCCTGACTACTGTGGAGTAGTGGGGACAAAATGATGCAGGAGTTCAAGGTTGTCTCCAACAGTCTCATTGATTCACTTACCATAGTCATCCTACATTAAGCCCATGCCTGGTGATAAGCCCTCTGTTAAGGTACCATAGTTAAGTAACAATGAGGCCATGTCTGGTCATAAGCCCAACCATATCTTTAGCTGTTATAAGTAGAATACATATGATTGCTGTTTCTTTAGTTTGCAATATGGTAAACTGGGAAGCAATTGCTCAGGACTTTTTTTCATCCTGGCATAAATCTACTAATTTTCTCCCAAAAGTATATAAAACATGTACATGTACTTCAGTGTTAGGCGTGAAACTTTAGCCCACATTTTACTGTAGTCCTATTTGTATATTATTGGGTATATAGCAGGCTTTATGCCCACTATTATGGCCTTTTAGCAGGTGTCCTAATTACAGAAACCTTAGGGATGACTTAGAGTTTGATTTGTATGTTGGACCCCTGGGCTTATTGAAGGATATATATGGTACTCATTATATCTGATATGAAATCTAATGTTTTGTTTGCCTAATGCCATTTAAGTACTGATTTTTAATTTCTCTTTGTTGTCTCATTTCCTTGTAATAGGGTATAGAAAACAAATTCCGTAAAATTTAAACTCAATTTTTGGTTTTTTGAACTTTCAATTTTCTATCTTATAAAATGTCAGTCTCTATGTTGTTTTCCTTGATATGTAAAGAGTGTTTATCAATTATACAAAGAATCTTGATATTATAATGTCAGTAATTTGCATTTACACAATGTATGTTATTTCTCTGAAAAAATATATTGGACTTTTCCTCAAGTTTTTGTTATATATTTTAAAAGATTATCATTGTTAATAAATGTTATATATAATTGATGTAGATTAAAGGAGGCCATAAACTATACACTTGTTTGTAGTAGTATTGTGTTGAAATAAATATGTAGGACCATCAACTTTGTTGTTGTTTACAAAACCTAAGGATCTTTGTACAATATACTTACTGTAATTAACCAAAAAGGAGACTTATCACTATGGATCTTTGTACAATATACTTACTGTAATTAACCAAAAAGGAGACTTATCACTAAGGATCTTTGTACAATATACTTACTGTAATTAACCAAAAAGGAGACTTATCACTATGGATCTTTGTACAATATACTAAATGTAATTAACTATAAAGGAGACTTATCACTAAGGATCTTTGTACAATATACTAAATGTAATTAACTATAAAGGAGACTTATCACTACGGATCTTTGTACAATATACTAAATGTAATTAACTATAAAGGAGACTTATCACTAAGGATCTTTGTACAATATACTTACTGTAATTAACCAAAAAGGAGACTTATCACTATGGATCTTTGTACAATATACTAAATGTAATTAACTATAAAGGAGACTTATCACTACGGATCTTTGTACAATATACTAAATGTAATTAACTATAAAGGAGACTTATCACTACGGATCTTTGTACAATATACTAAATGAATTAAGCAAAAAGGAGATTTATCACTACAGAGACTTATCACTACGGATCTTTGTACAATATATAAATGAATTAAGCAAAAAGGAGACTTATTACTACAGATCTTTGTACAATATATAAATGAATTAAGCAAGAGGAGAATTATCACTACATAGACATTTTGTATGAGTTGTGTCTACATAGCGACCAAAACATCTTCTTAGTGTTGAGTTTCCGTTTTGCTTTATTATTTTTTTTTGTTAAGAAACTGTATTGAATCCTATACAAATCAACCCAAGAATTCTACCTCAGAGTTCTACACGGGGAGTGTTGGATCACCCATTATTTAATATTGTTATACAAAATGAACTATGCATTAAAATGTGTTACTGAAACAAACAGTAATTCCTGGAGACCAGATTGTGTTCCCTTTGGAAACCCTTGTCTCTTTATATTGGTAGTATAAGAAATTTTACACAATACTTTGGAAAGGAGGCAGACGTTTGTACTTTAAACACTAGCTGCATCTGATGTACTTAGCAATGAGAATTTATCAAAAGTATTCTGCTAGTAAGTAGGAGGTTCCAGGTTCAATTCCTGACAAAGGCATTGACAATGATCTCTGTTACCCACATATATATATATATATGGTAAAGCGGTATAGACTATGGTAGTCAAATATCTGGAGGAAGTGTCATTAAACTTGGTTTTAGGCTTTAGTCAGGAATACATAACTAGTCAAAAAAATCTTGTATCTAGATTTTGCAGCATTGATCTTCATGATTTGATATATGGCCTTTAACTTCCATTAGTGGCGACAGATTGTTGACAGGAATATTATCGTTAAGTTCCCAGAAATTAGATCTGAAACAAACTAACAGATAGTAGTGCCAATCACAGTATTTATTATACAAGTACGATATTTTCAGTGTTATAACACCCATTACAGTTTTTTGTTATTTCATACAAGTAATATCATCTACAGGGGATGTGATTATCTAAATGTTTCCATGGTAATGTCATTAATTCAAGGGTTCATATAAACTCCGTAAAATGAAAGTTTTAAGACTCCATAAAATGAAAGTTTTAAGACTAGTAGATTCCGTAAAATGAAAGTTTTAAGACTAGTAGACACTCCGTAAAATGAAAGTTTTAAGACTAGTCTCATGAATCTTGTGTTTATGGAAACATGTTAGATCTCAATTTCTACAATATACTTAAAATGGGTACATTCTTGTCTCATGTGGAATAAGTAAAAGAAAAACAACAAACTGTAGAAATTAATTCAATAAATTTTATTTAAGCCTAAAAAATCACAATTTGACATGTAAAGTTTGCCAAGTATAAGCTAATGCTCTTAACTGTTGAGAACAACTGTTTTCATACCTTAATAGTACTGTATATAAATTTGTAGAATATGAAACACATTAATACAGAAATGAGAAACTCTGAAATGCTACACATGGATATCCCGCTAGATCAGACCTCACATTGGCCAGCTCAAGGTGAATTGGAGGTCAAAAATTTACAAGATTATGTTTGGGGTTCTTGGTTGGGGCATGCTTCTGTGACCTTTTAAAACATTTGAAAGACATTGTCCTCTTTAAGGTCAAACACCATGTGTCAAATCAAATCACACTTTTGACTTCACAAGAGGAAAATCACCTTTACATTTACTGCTGACAAAAATAGGTAGACATTATCTTGATTGTCCCTTTGGAATGACAATTTTGTGAACCAAGAACTGCAGACACAAACTTTGATACTACAGGTCTAGAGAAAAGAAAAGGGGAAGGTGAGAGATTGTGACATCAACTTGATGGCATTTTTTGGTTAAAAAAACCCACTTCCTTCAAATTATCCATGTGCAACCTTAAAACATTTTACATGTATCTGTATGGTATTGCTCCATTTAGTTTAGGCACTAATTTATAACTGAATCTAACAAAAAACACCTGTTGTCTAAGGAACATTGCATAGAAACTTTATATCTGATGTCATTTACATGGTCACGAAACATTCTAAGGACCTTGAGCTATTTATCATCTGACAATGAGGAACACAAAATGTGATTTGTTCTGCAGCGTCTTTGCTCCACACAATATTCCTTTCATACACATGTGATATAAAAGACTAGGAAAGGTACTGTACATACACAGCTATCTACATACAGGCTAGCACCATCGTGAAATCAGTATTACATAATTAACCTTCCCATTTCCCCACAAAAACACTCCTAACTGTTGACCAGAAAGAACCAACTTCTAAAATCAGAAGTGAAGGACAGAAGTACTTTGTAACTTCTCTTGATTTCAAATCAACGGTTAGGAGTATGTGTTGTGGATACTCAGAAACTTTTGTTTTTCTGAATAAGGCACATGGATACCTTTAAACACAGAATACATACATGTACAACAAAATATACAGAAGACTTGAAGATTGTTTTTGTCATGATACAAAATAAGCTTAAACCATTAAAATCAAGTATGGTAGTACCTTCATGTAAAAATGTTTTAGTAACATATAGACTTTCCTATAGGCAAGAAACAAACTGAATTGTGAACTATATCTGCAATTCACAGAGAGATAGACAGATGATGTAAAATCATAAAATATATTGTTAAAAACTTATATTGTTATGTCGTGCTCTGGCAGGTAAATCAATCATATGAAATCTCTTAAAAAAATGTCATAAATTTAAGATAAAAAACCTGGTAGAAAATCCACTTTTAATTGTAAAGTTATCAACATTTTCACCTGCCAAAGTATATGTGTTATTCAAATTGTATGTAAATCACAACATTGTTCATGATCTCACACAGACTTGACAGCGACTAATCCTGTTCCTAAGACTTCCTGCTTTGATAGTTTCTGGTACTGGCTGTCTGAATGAATTTATATCTCCCTGTAGAAGTGTTGCTAACCAATAACCAAATGATGTTGCGTAGTAGTTACATGTGCCCTTGCCGTGGCACTCGATGATCGGAGCTGAGCGGAAATCACGGAGACATGATCCTGGGGACTGGAGGCTCTGGCCAGCTCCTTGTCCTCCAGCTCCAGTAGACTGAAAAGTTCAGGAAAACACTTGTATTTAAGCTGACAAACACAGATAGAGATCAAAATTCTACTTTTAAGAAATAATTCTCTAAACTAAAGAAGTATTTGTTAAAACAGGTAAGTTACAAATGAACATATTATCAATCAAATCACCTTCCATGAATCCCCTTTTCCTTTTGTATCATAGTACTTAACAAGTAGGCCTAAATCTTTCTACATTCAACAAAGGCATGAAATAGTCTATTGATAAATGAAAGTCAAAGATCACTTTTTATTTGAAAGGGAGGGAACTCTTACCATGAGGAAGCTGTAACCGATCCACATGCCTCTATAGCCAACAGGACAGTTAGGAATTTGTACGGTCTGACTATGTATAGTCACCACCTGTAGAAAATTAATTAATAATACTACACATCTTATAATTTTACAAAGCTTAGATTTTTAAACAGAATATTTTGGTGATTCAATTATGTTTTGTTTATTATCACAATGCATCCCATAATTTCACTCATCATCTCTTTTAATTTCTCATTTTCGAGATACATTATAAGCATAATTATTGGAAAATAAATATGTGATGAATCTGAGGCTGTAAGTGATACCATTATATATAGTTACTTATCATTACCACTGAACTGAGCTTTGAATTTACTTTTCACAACATGCATAGAACAATACCTTTTTACTCACTCCTGATTACAACTACAAGTTCATAACTTTCTCAGACAGTATCATTATGACATTTCTTTATTTTATTATCACTTCACAAAATAAGATCTTTATATTAACAAGGCATGTAAATATCAGTCAGAATTTACTGTGGTATGACTCAGAAATGTGTGTGAATATGAGCCAGAATTTACTGTGGTATGACTCAGAAATGTGTGTGAATATGAGCCAGAACTAACTGTGGAATGACTCAGAAATGTGTGTGAATATGAGCCAGAACTAACTGTGGTATGACTCAGAAATGTGTGTGAATATGAGCCAGAATTTACTGTGGTATGGCCAGTAACCCCTACCTCTGAGGGAGCTTCACAGACAGAACATTTACTGATATAGTTCTGTAGTGGAGGTCCTGTGATGGGCTCCATCATGGGTGTCATGGGTTCCTCAGTAGACAGCCAGTAGCTGTAGTCATTTCTAGCAGCCACATTACAAACATTGTTGATATTGCAGAACATGATGGGCATCGTGCTGAAACGCCTCAGACAGCTGCCTGGTGAGCCAAGGTCTTGGCCATGAGCACGGCCGTTTCCAATTACATGGACGAGGGAATAGCCCTCCCACATTCTGTAGGTCCCCTCTGGACATTCAGGTGTAATGGATGTCTGACTATGTCTGAATAAAAAAAACATTTGTCACATGAAGCATTATGGAGGTAAGCCAGAATATCTGTGAGAGAGGAATGCTCTCAATTCCATGTTAACTAACTGACAGTTTTCAAAGAATAAGGTGACCTTGACCTTATAGCTCTTACAAGCAAACTCATATAAGGAATTCTCATATTTTTCTTCATATGAACTTTGATAAAATTAAATGCAATTGGTTATATAGATATATATTCATGACGATTTTTTATTAATTTGTTATTTTGTTGTTGATTAAGAATAACCATAAAATACACATTAAAAAAAAAAACCCCACAACAATTGTTGTAATTACTGTATAATCCATAAACCCTATATAAATCTCTCACTGTTTCTCCATATGCCAGCAACATATCTCCTTACATTGAAAAGTAGAATCCGGCTGAGCCTCCCAGGTCCCCTGGCCTTCCTGACAATCCCTGTGGCCCAATAGGGCCTGGGTATCCATTACGACCGGACTCTCCTGTGAGACCATCCAAACCCTGAGCTCCCTTCATTCCTTTCAGACCAGGGAGACCATTCAGTCCTAGTGATCCCTTGTCTCCGGGCAGGCCAGCTCTTCCTTCAAAACCTGTAACAATGGGATATCTATGGTTGATAGGTAGTTATAGAATATAAATGGACCAACTATTTCCAAACAAGAAGAACAGCAAATGGCCTCCAATCTAGTTTTCTTTTTACTCAAAATAATTTGACCAGAAAATGTCATTGAATAATGACGCAGATATAAAGAGACAATGCTAAGGAAAAGTTATTAGATGTTCCTGATGATGTGATACACCAATGTCAACAGAGTGGTCTTATAGTGTTTCTTTATAAGTCATGACACTATAAGCTTGTATGAGGTCATTAAGGCACATTTAAATGACTAGGGGAGTTTATCTTCTGATGCTCAGCAATGCTATAGTTATTTAGAGGGATCACAACTGTTTCAAAGAACTAAAGATCCGAATGAACTGTTGATGTACAATGCAATGATATGAAAATGAACTAAATCTACTTAATGGTTAGATTTTCCCTGTTGGACCCCGTCCATCTGACCCCAGGGTGCCAAAACCCAAGCTTTATACAAAACTGATTTCCCTTTATCAAAGCATGCTTCAGACCAATGCTGAACAATATCCTGCAATTCCTGAAGATTAAAATCAGCTCAGTCATTCATGAATGTTGACTTTTCTTGAGAAAGACATGATGTTGAATATGGTAAATGAGAAAGTATTGGAAATATCAAGTGCCTTAAAATATTCTCCAAATGTAGAGAACAAAAACAAGTTCTTACCTGGAACTCCACGGCGACCGGATTCCCCAAAATATCCTGGCTCACCAGATTCACCCCTTTGTCCTTTAGGAGCTCGTGGTAGTTGAGTAAAATCCACTGGTCCAGGTTCTCCAGGCTCACCCTTGAACCCTTTAATATAAAAAAATCATTAACAGTTGACTTTTTCTCAGCAAACTAACAACATCACTTTACACCATTACTGGAGTATTTGTGTCTCCCTGTTGTGGTGTTAGGTCTGGTATGATTGACTCCTTAATGTGGTGTTGTTAACTCAAGTGTCAGTGACTTCATGTTGTGATAACTTTTGTATATGTGACTCACTGCTGTGATGATAGCTCTTGTATCAGTTTCTCAATGCTGTGATAACTCTTGTATCAGTTTCTCAATGCTGTGATAACTCTTGTATCAGTAACTCACTGTTGTGATGATAACTCTTGTATCAGTAGCCCACTGCTGTGATAACTCTTGTATCAGTAACTCACTGTTATGATAACTCTTGTATCAGTAGCCCACTGCTGTGATAACTCTTGTATCAGTAACTCACTGTTATGATAACTCTTGTATCAGTAGCCCACTGCTGTGATAACTCTTGTATCAGTAACTCACTGTTATGATAACTCTTGTATCAGTAACTCACTGCTGTGATGATAACTCTTGTATCAGTAGCCCACTGCTGTGATAACTCTTGTATCAGTAACTCACTGCTGTGATAACTCTTGTATCAGTAACTCACTGCTGTGATAACTCTTGTATCAGTAACTCACTGCTGTGATAACTCTTGTATCAGTACCTCACTGCTGTGATAACTCTTGTATCAGTACCTCACTGCTGTGATAACTCTTGTATCAGTAACTCACTGCTGTGATAACTCTTGTATCAGTAACTCACTGCTGTTATGATAACTCTTGTATCAGTACCTCACTGCTGTGATAACTCTTGTATCAGTAACTCACTGCTGTGATAACTCTTGTATCAGTAACTCATCAGTAACTCACTGTTATGATAACTCTTGTATCAGTAGCCCACTGCTGTGATAACTCTTGTATCAGTAACTCACTGTTATGAAAACTCTTGTATCAGTAACTCACTGCTGTGATGATAACTCTTGTATCAGTAACTCACTGCTGTGATAACTCTTGTATCAGTAACTCACTGCTGTGATAACTCTTGTATCAGTACCTCACTGCTGTGATAACTCTTGTATCAGTAACTCACTGCTGTGATAACTCTTGTATCAGTAACTCACTGCTGTGATAACTCTTGTATCAGTACCTCACTGCTGTGATGATAACTCTTGTATCAGTAACTCACTGCTGTGATAACTCTTGTATCAGTAACTCACTGCTGTGATAACTCTTGTATCAGTAACTCACTGCTGTGATAACTCTTGTATCAGTAACTCACTGCTGTGATGATAACTCTTGTATCAGTAACTCACTGTTGTGATAACTCTTGTATCAGTAACTCACTGCTGTGATGATAACTCTTGTATCAGTAACCCACTGCTGTAATAACTCTTGTATCAGTTTCTCAATGCTGTGATAACTCTTCTTTCACTTACTTACTGCTGTGGTTTTAATGATTGTGTAAGTAAATCATTGTTGTTTCATAAATTACATTTTATACTACAACATTAGTGTACTGTTACAAATTAAACCAAGGAAGTTTGAGTTTATTTGATGCAATTTTGTTTTATATAATGAAGAAGTGCATGAAAAACTCTTGTAACAAAAAAGATCTGCAAAATCTAAATCTTCCTTGCAACAAATCAGAATCTAAGAAATACCATCAAATCCACGATCTCCAGGGAATGCTTGGAGTCCAGGTAATCCATCTTCGCCTGGAAATCCTACAGCACCATTTTCCCCTTGGAACCCTCGGACACCAGTGTCTCCCTTAGATCCTGGCAAACCATCCAATCCAGGAAGTCCCTGATAAAGAGGTTTTAAGTTTAAAGACAGTTTCTTGAATCAGGGGTTACAATTTAATGTTAGTCATTTTCTTTGTTGATATTATTAATTCAAATGGTATTAAGTTATAGGGCCCGTTGAAAATAAGAAGCCCATAGGGCCTGTATCGCTCACCAGAACCTTAACCCCAGCAATGGTATACATGTCTATAGATTAGGTATTTCAAAAATTTCCACATTAAAGCTCAGTCACTTAACCTCTTTGATGGGGCAAGACCAATGGGTACATGCTTACATCATTACTATCTTTCTATTTTGATTCCTAGAGTTCATATGGTTATCTGGATGGTATTGCAACTATATCAAAAATATGACACTAAAACAATGTCCTTAGGGGTATGCCACACCCCAAAAGTCAATTCTTACATAACAAATGTGTTTATCTCTTGATGCCAAGCAATTCTATATATATATGGTTATGAGGTTGGAATTTCATATGTTTGAAAGATATCACCCAGAAATTAAGCACAGAGGGATGGGACCACACCCAAGGGCCAGTTCTTATATTGTGAATGTATTTATTTCTTGATGCCCATCATTGCTATATATGATTAAAAGAGTGGATAGCTCATCTGTTTTAGAAAGATATAACAAGGAAACTAAGTCCCAGGGGTGGGACCAGACCCCAGAGTCAATTCTAACATCATGATTGTATTTATCTCTTTACACCCAATATCATACATGGTTATGGGATTAGGACTTTAACTGTTTTCAAACACACTTTCTCTATTGATCCCCTCTCCTCCTGCCCTAGGGGGCCAAGATACACCATTTATATCCTCCTGCCCTAGGTGGCCAAGATACAACATTTATATCCTCCTGCCCTTGGGAGCCAAGATACACGATTTATATCCTTCTGTCCTAGGGGCCAAGATACACCATTTATATCCTCCTGCCCTAGGGGGCCAAGATACATCATTTATATCCTCCTGCCCTAGGGAGCCAAGATACACCATTTATATCCTTTTGTCCTAGGGGCCAAGATACACCATTTATATCCTCCTGCCCTAGGGGGCCAAGACACAACAATTATATCCTCCTGCCCTAGGGGCAAAGATACACTATTTATAAATAATTGATTACCCTTCACCTAAATATGATTTTGACCATGATCAAATTTGGTCAAAATTCCCTCAGAAGTTCATGGCTAGTAACATTTTGTAGAAAATAAATGACAGATCACAGATGCTGCTGTACCTCGTTAGATCACTTGGCCCTTCAGACCAGGTGAGTTAAATATCTCAAAAAATATGTTAGTAAAAGAGCACTTACAGGAAATCCTGTGCTGCCTTGGTCACCAATACGTCCTTCCTCTCCAGGAATACCATCTGAGCCACGATCACCTTTTATTCCTGATAAACCACTTAGGCCAGGTCGCCCCTTGAAGCCATTTTGTCCAGCAAAACCTAATTGAGAAGTTTATCGTATCTCACTAATCTGACAGCAGTATTCAGTTCAGTTCTTTGTTAATAGCAGAAACATGCTATACTAATGTGTTTACAATTTTATAGTACTGGTGCCTAACAGTGTCGAAACCAGGATGGAAATATACAGAAAATATCCATACCATATATAAACATTGTCTCATTTCATAAACTGGTATTATGGGTTGAATGTAGAATTTAAAACTTTTCTAAATAAGCCTAAATTCATATGTGAAATGACCAGAAAGAGAATGATACTTAATCTCCTTCGTATTGAGACGAACATACCATCAAATCCAGGAGTTCCTGGCTCTCCTCTTCTTCCTGCCTCTCCTGGGTAGGAGAAACCTGACTCCCCCCTCATTCCCTTCAGTCCAGGGAACCCTGGAAGCCCAGGGGTTCCAACTGGCCCTTTTTCTCCAGGAAAACCATCTTCTCCAGTGATTCCTTCATCTCCCCGGGGTCCGATGTCACCTGCAGAAGAATAATTTTATTGATAATCCTATAAAAAAATCAAAAGAAATTTTTATATCACATTTCTTTTGTACAGTCCTACAGCAAAACAAAAAGTTGGCTGTTCTACTAAGTAGTATAACAACTTACTCCCACAGATTTGGCTGTTCCACCAAGTGGTAAACAGTTTGTTCCCACAGATTTGGCTGTTCCACCAAGTGGTAAACAATTTGTTCCCACAGATTTGGCTGTTCCACCAAGTAGTAAAACAGCTTGTTCCCACAAAAACAAGCTGTTCCACCAAGAAGTAAAACAGCTTGTTCCCACAAAAATGTACTATTCTGCAAAGTAGTAAAACAGCTTGAAACTAGCTGTTCTAATATGTAGTAAAACAGCTTCCCACAGATTTAGCTGTTCCACCAAGAAGTAAAACAGCTTGTTCCCACAGATTTAGCTGTTCCACCAAGTAGTAAAACAGCTTGTTCCCACAGATTTAGCTGTTCCACCAAGTAGTAAAACAGCTTGTTCCCACAGATTTAGCTGTTCCACCAAGAAGTAAAACAGCTTGTTCCCACAGATTTAGCTGTTCCACCAAGTAGTAAAACAGCTTGTTCCCACAGATTTAGCTGTTCCACCAAGTAGATTTAGCTGTTCCACCAAGTAGTAAAACAGCTTGTTCCCACAGATTTAGCTGTTCCACCAAGAAGTAAAACAGCTTGTTCCCACAGATTTAGCTGTTCCACCAAGTAGTAAAACAGCTTGTTCCCACAGATTTAGCTGTTCCACCAAGTAGTAAAACAGCTTGTTCCCACAGATTTAGCTGTTCCACCAAGTAGTAAAACAGCTTGTTCCCACAGATTTAGCTGTTCCACCAAGTAGTAAAACAGCTTGTTCCCACAGATTTAGCTGTTCCACCAAGAAGTAAAACAGCTTGTTCCCACAGATTTAGCTGTTCCACCAAGAAGTAAAACAGCTTGTTCCCACAGATTTAGCTGTTCCACCAAGTAGTAAAACAGCTTGTTCCCACAGATTTAGCTGTTCCACCAAGAAGTAAAACAGCTTGTTCCCACAGATTTAGCTGTTCCACCAAGAAGTAAAACAGCTTGTTCCCACAGATTTAGCTGTTCCACCAAGAAGTAAAACAGCTTGTTCCCACAGATTTAGCTGTTCCACCAAGAAGTAAAACAGCTTGTTCCCACAGATTTAGCTGTTCCACCAAGTAGTAAAACAGCTTGTTCCCACAGATTTAGCTGTTCCACCAAGTAGTAAAACAGCTTGTTCCCACAGATTTAGCTGTTCCACCATGAAGTAAAACAGCTTGTTCCCACAGATTTAGCTGTTCCACCAAGTAGTAAAACAGCTTGTTCCACCAAAAAGTAACACAGTTTGTTCACAGTTTTAGCTGTTCCATCAAGTAGTTTACAAAATTTGTTCCCATTTAACAAATAAAACTCTCCAGAAGGTGAAACAGATTTCTCTTTGTCCTGAATCTAAATTTAAGGATGGAAGTGTTGTTGTTTCTTATTTATGACACACAATAGTTCTCACATTCTCTAAAACATTTCACAACCTGAGATACTTTGGAGGAACACTTTGTTGCATATTAATGTCATAAACCTTAAACAGATGTTATTGCACGCTTCGATAAAATGCCTTCTTTTTTTATCTTTATGACAGAATGGAAGAAAAATGCTAAGAAAAATTTTTCTGTGAGAGAATGAACAATAAAAGAATTGATACTCACCAAAAATGACATCTTCTCCACGTTCACCAGGTAGACCATCCAATCCAACATCACCTAGCAATGAGAGAGACAAAGATATTTAAACAGAGTGAAAACATCTTCTATAAACACCTTTATTATATAAATTACTCCATCTTTTTTCTATAGGCTACAATTTAACAGAAGAGAAAACCAATATTTCCCTTCTCCCTAAAAACTGAACACAAATCTTCACATCCATTTTCTTTAGCTATAATAAAAAAATATCCCCTTGTCATATAATTATAACAGTTTATATAGAAACCCTCTTAGTGTGCAGTACAGGATTGAAAAAATCAAAATATGTGTGCAGGGCCTTTATCACTTCATTTCAGAAGAGGTTGAGTGTAACCTTTGACCCTTTCACCATGACCAATGACCAGCAAAAACCAATCAGGTATAGAACTTGACGAGATACTACAGTACGAACATGAACTAAATCTATTAAGGGGTTCACAATATTGATTGAAGATGAGTTTTTTATTTCTAAGTGGTCCAATTTGTCCTTTTGTAAAGCTGTACTCTAATCAGGTGTAGAACTTAATTCATAATTTGCTTGATTATAAATAAAAAGAAATGACAATGATTGATGTGATTTATTTTCGAGTCCTGGTGTGAAGAAATGTTTTACTGGAAGTGACATTAGTGAGAGAACATACGCTCTTAAGCTTACACATTGAGGATTAATCATTTCTCCTTGTTTTGGTAGGATCTAGATCATAGTAAAATTTACCTGGGCGTCCAGGTCCTCCTGGAACACCATCAAATCCATCACTTCCTGGTACTCCCACCTGTCCACGCTCCCCATTGATGCCTGATTGACCATCCTCCCCTGGTAACCCCACAAGTCCAGGTATACCATTGGAACCACGGCTACCATCCTCTCCTGGCATACCAACCAGTCCATCCAGACCTGGGTTTCCTGTGAAACCAGGCTCACCACGTCCACCAAAATCTCCGTCCTCTCCAGCAGGGCCAACTTCTCCCGGAGCTCCAACACCACCGCTTTGACCAGGAAGTCCGGCAGCCCCACCTTGTCCCTGTTTATAGTGATAACACCTGATTTAACATTCTATATGACACAATACCATATATAGGACAATGTAAGGCAACACTCCCGTTACTCCATATTACTATCCTCCAGGAAAGTAAAGAATCACTGAACTTTTACGTAAGTACAAGAATGTTTCAGACAAAATTTGGACAAAATAGAACCATTCCTACAGGAGGAGTAGGATTTTACTTGTATTATCTTCTCTATTGGGCCTTGCACCTCTAACTCCAAGGGGCAAAGACCCACTGTTTATACAACTTGATTACCTTTCCCCTCAAAAAATTGCAGATCTAATTTGGACAAAAATCCAATCATTCCTACAGAAGGAGTAGGATTTTAAAGAATTTGCTCTATTTCCCCTATTGTGCCCCAACCCTGCAGCCTCAAGAAGCCTTGACTCACCATTCATACAAAAATTATTAAACTTCACCCAACAATGCTTCAACATCCAGTAATTTCTGCAGAGTAAGAGAAATTTAAAGAACTTGCAAAATTTCCTATGTTGAGCCTGTCTTTCAGGTCCCTGGGGACGGAGACCCATCATTTATACAAAATATGTTCCTTTTAATGTTCCACAGTAAGCCAATAGATCACTTGGCCCTTTGGGCCAGGTACGCTCAAAATTCAAACTTAACAGCAATTACCATGTGTTTTAAACCTGTGTTTGAGACCTTTGTTTTGGACTTGAGTTTGGTACCTACCTGTATTTGAAACTTGTATATGGTACCTGTGTTTGGGACACCAGTTGTGTTTGGTACACCAGTTATGTTTGGTACACCAGTTGTGTTTGGTAGACCAGTTGTGTTTGGTACCTGTGTTTGGTACTTGTGTTTGGTACATCAGTTGTGTTTGGTACCTGTGTTTGGTACATCAGTTATGTTTAGTACCTGTGTTTGGTACATCAGTTGTGTTTGGTACCTGTGTTTGGTACTTGTGTTTGGTACACCAGTTGTGTTTGGTACCTGTGTTTGGGACACCAGTTGTGTTTGGTACCTGTGTTTGGTACATCAGTTATGTTTGGTACCTGTGTTTGGTACTTGTGTTTGGTACACCAGTTGTGTTTGGTACCTGTGTTTGGTACATCAGTTGTGTTTGGTACCTGTGTTTGGTACATCAGTTATGTTTAGTACCTGTGTTTGGGACACCAGTTGTGTTTAGTACCTGTGTTTGGTACATCAGTTGTGTTTGGTACCTGTGTTTGGTACATCAGTTATGTTTAGTACCTGTGTTTGGTACATCAGTTGTGTTTGGTACCTGTGTTTGGTACTTGTGTTTGGTACACCAGTTGTGTTTGGTACCTGTGTTTGAGACACCAGTTGTGTTTGGTACCTGTGTTTGAGACACCAGTTGTGTTTGGTACCTGTGTTTGGGACACCAGTTGTGTTTGGTACCTGTGTTTGAGACACCAGTTGTGTTTGGTACCTGTGTTTGGGACACCAGTTGTGTTTGGTACCTGTGTTTGGAACATATCGAACATATGGGCAAAAGCATAATGACAAATGCCTACCTTCTGTCCTTTCGGTCCAGCCACACCTGGACGACCATCATCTCCATTAGGTCCCTTCAACCCTGGACCACCTCTACGACCGATCTCTCCTCTTATTCCGTTTATTCCTGCTTCTCCCTTAAAGCCTTCCAAACCTTATCAAAACAAACATAATAATGTATGAGGTTTCCTTACAACTTTATAGTATAGGCAAACAGTTAAAATTTGCAGTTTTACCATAAGGTTTATGTGAAGGATGTTTTTTTCTTTCAATAAAGCCATGAAACAGATTTCTGATATATATCTCTATCTGTTTTATTTTAAACCTATCTGTTCCTGGCAATTACATTCCACCTTAAGCTAAGAAAGGAAATTAAACCCACAACTGTCAGAAACTATTCATACAGTACAGTCATATCATTTTATTTGAGCTAAAATTATATGGATTTTCCAAAGGATTCAGAACAAATATCGTCAATGTTGGTTTTATTTGTTGATCTTTTTGATCCACAAAATCATGTTTCAACAAATCATTGAATAGTTCGAATAAGTATTAGGAGATTTCTTTCATACTGTCTCTTCACAAAATTAAGTGTCAAAGGACATTGACGACGATTTTATTGTATTTGTTCTGAATCAGCAAGCAGATAATGAATTACAGATGTTATAAAGTCTGCACAATATTTAGGGTTTTTACTGGTCTTATTCAGTCCAGTAGAGAAGCCTTAGTGAGACAAACTGAGAACAGGTAATAATTGTCTGTCCATTAAGTGTTTTTACTGGTCTTATTCAGTCCAGTAGAGAAGCCTTAGTGAGACAAACTGAGAACCGGTAATAATTGTCTGTCCATTAAGTAGAGAAGCCTTAGTTTTTCTGTCTGGTCTTATTCAGTCCAGTAGAGAAGCCTTAGTGAGACAAACTGAGAACAGGTAATAATTGTCTGTCCATTAAGTGTTTTTACTGGTCTTATTCAGTCCAGTAGAGAAGCCTTAGTGAGACAAACTGAGAACCGGTAATAATTGTCTGTCCATTAAGTGTTTTTACTGGTCTTATTCAGTCCAGTAGAGAAGCCTTAGTGAGACAAACTGAGAACCGGTAATAATTGTCTGTCCATTAAGTGTTTTTACTGGTCTTATTCAGTCCAGTAGAGAAGCCTTAGTGAGACAAACTGAGAACAGGTAATAATTGTCTGTCCATTAAGTGTTTTTACTGGTCTTATTCAGTCCAGTAGAGAAGCCTTAGTGAGACAAACTGAGAACAGGTAATAATTGTCTGTCCATTAAGTGTTTTTACTGGTCTTATTCAGTCCAGTGGAGAAGCTTTAGTGAGACAATCAGGAAATATTTTGTGTTTTGGTTGTATCAAAGTTGAATCAATTTAACATGGACTGTAATAATATATCACAAAGTCAAATGAAGTAATTAGCACATTAAACACCTCAAAGCACATATCTCTGAAGAAGTATATCATTGGTTGCACATGAGTTTAGAATTTCAAGTCAAGTTTAACATGTTTGGAGGAGTTCTCACTAATTCTCAAGATCCCCCAAGATTTCATGCTTTTACTCAAAACAGATTTTAATTTCAAAATTAAAATATTTTTTAACAATGATCTAATAATATTTTCTTCAATAGTAATACTTTCTAGGTACATAAGATAAAAGTATTTTTTCGGTATTAATGTCAACAACTGCAGATATCTAAATGTTGATGACTGGATGTTTAATACTCCAGTATTGCTTTAGCTCCAGACAAAACTGCTGAATTTCTAAATATGTTTTTATATGACTAAGTGTTAATCAATTGCTTACCTGGGCGTCCCATTTCACCTGACTGTCCCTTAAATCCCTTTAGTCCATCAAGACCAGGTATACCACTTTCTCCTGGTCTTCCACGGCGACCTGTAAGTGTCATGCGATATACTCAGTAGTCTAACAGGTGTAAACAACAAGATATTACAGATAAAAATAAATATTAAATCTGACAGAGTGATGTGTGGGTAAAATATTTATATAATAGAAATAATACGGCACAACTCTGAAAAAACGTGTTAGGATGGAAAAACCGCAAAATAAAAGGCCTCATCGATCAGACATAATTCTAACCAATGGTGATTTAACAAATGATGCTCAAAAATAGGATTTTCTTACACAAATTGTGGTAAATTTTTTCCCCTTCCCAGGGGAAAATGTGGAATCCGAGAAAAATTCACAATTTTGGTGCAACATCTTAACATCTTTCCATTATGCTTGAAATTGTGATTTCCCTATACATGTCCTTTAAGTTATCACCCTTCCCTAGGGACCCTACAGTCATATCTCCATCAGACTTACCATTCTCGCCAGGCCTGGAGATTGAGGAAATACTACAGCCCCATATCTCCATCAGACTTACCATTCTCGCCAGGCCTGGAGCTTGAGGAAATACTACAGCCCCATATCTCCATCAGACTTACCATTCTCGCCTGGCCTGGAGCTTGAGGAAATACTACAGCCCCATATCTCCATCAGACTTACCATTCTCGCCTGGCCTGGAGCTTGAGGAAATACTACAGCCCCATATCTCCATCAGACTTACCATTCTCGCCAGGCCTGGAGCTTGAGGAAATACTACAGCCCCATATCTCCATCAGACTTACCATTCTCGCCTGGCCTGGAGCTTGAGGAAATACTACAGCCCCATATCTCCATCAGACTTACCATTCTCGCCAGGCCTGGAGCTGCCAATCTCACCAGGCTGACCCTTGAGACCATTGGCACCTCTCAGTCCATCCAATCCAGGTGCTCCAGGTATTCCTTGGATAGAAACAAAAACAGGTAATAAGTAGAAAAACATAATCCACACCAGTCACTCCAGGAAATCCTACAAGTGAATGCATTTTATTTTCCTTGTGTTTTATCAACACTGGATCCACCCTTCAATCCTAATACACACAGGTAATTATTTTCATAACACCTTTCTGTAACAGTGTTGGTATGACATAATTAATCACATGACTACTGTCCTCAGTGTTGACCTGAAATAATTGTTGACTAGACAAAATTGATCACATGACCCCTGTCTGAAGCAATGTTGACCTGAAATAATTAATCAAACGACTCCAGTCTGTAGCAATGTTGACCTAACATAAGTGGTCACATGACCCTTGTCTGTAGCAATGTTGACTCGACATAATTGATCACATGACCCCTGTCTGAAGCAATGTTGACCTGAAATAATTAATCAAACGACTCCAGTCTGTAGCAATGTTGACCTAACATAATTGATCATATCACCAGTTTGTAACATTGTTGACCTCATTGTCCTGACTTACCTCTCAATCCTATATCTCCTGGAATCCCCTGAAGCCCTGGTAATCCTGGTGGTCCCTGGATACCTGGGAAACCGTTAGGTCCTGCAGGTCCTGTTTCTCCCTTTGGTCCATATACTCCTGCTGCCCCGGGGACTCCTGCAAACCCTGCAGGCCCCACACTTCCTGTAAAACAAAGGGGTTATCATCTTAATAGAAAATTCTAAAGTGGTCTCTCTAGACTTACCCCTACTACCTATGAGATGTAGTGACCTCTCTAGACTGACCCCTGCTACCTTTGAGATGCAGTGATCTCTCTAGACTGACCCCTGCTAACTTTGAGATGCAGTGATCTCTCTAGACTGACCCCTGCTACCTTTGAGATGCAGTGATCTCTCTAGACTGACCCCTTCTACCTTTGTGATGTAGTGATCTCTTTAGGCTGACCCCTGCTACCTTTGAGATGCAGTGATCTCTCTAGACTGACCCCTGCTACCTTTGTGATGTAGTGATCTCTGTAGACTGACCCCTGCTACCTTTGTGTTGTAGTGATCTCTGTAGACTGACCACTGCTACCTATGAGATGTAGTGGTCTCTGTAGACTGACCACTGCTACCTTTGTGATATTGTGGTCTCTGTAGACTGATCCCTGCTACCTTTGTGATGTAAGTGATCTCTGTAGACTGACCACTGCTACCTTTGTGATGTAGTGACCTCTGTAGACTGACCCCTGCTACCTTTGTGATGTAGTGACCTCTGTAGACTGACCCCTGCTACCTTTGTGATGTAGTGACCTCTGTAGTAGACTGATCCCTGCTACCTTTGTGATGTAGTGACCTCTGTAGACTGACCCCTGCTACCTTTGTGATGTAGTAACCTCTTTAGACTGACCCCTGCTACCTTTGTGATGTAGTGACCTCTGTAGACTGACCCCTGCTACCTTTGTGATGTAGTGACCTCTTTAGACTGACCCCTGCTACCTTTGTGATGTAGTGACCTCTTTAGACTGACCCCTGCTACCTTTGTGATGTAGTGACCTCTTTAGACTGACCTCTGCTACCTTTGTGATGTAGTGACCTCTGTAGACTGACCCCTGCTACCTTTGTGATGTAGTAACCTCTCTAGACTGACCCCTGCTACCTTTGAGATGCAGTGATCTCTCTAGACTGACCCCTGCTACCTTTGAGATGCAGTGATCTCTCTAGACTGACCCCTGCTACCTTTGAGATGCAGTGATCTCTCTAGACTGACCCCTTCTACCTTTGTGATGTAGTGATCTCTTTAGACTGACCCCTGCTACCTTTGAGATGCAGTGATCTCTCTAGACTGACCCCTGCTACCTTTGTGATGTAGTGATCTCTGTAGACTGACCCCTGCTACCTTTGTGTTGTAGTGATCTCTGTAGACTGACCACTGCTACCTATGAGATGTAGTGATCTCTTTAGACTGACCCCTGCTACCTATGAGATATAGTGGTCTCTGTAGACTGACCACTGCTACCTTTGTGATATTGTGGTCTCTGTAGACTGATCCCTGCTACCTTTGTGATGTAGTGATCTCTGTAGACTGACCACTGCTACCTTTGTGATGTAGTGACCTCTGTAGACTGACCCCTGCTACCTTTGTGATGTAGTGACCTCTGTAGACTGACCCCTGCTACCTTTGTGATGTAGTGACCTCTGTAGACTGACCCCTGCTACCTTTGTGATGTAGTGACCTCTGTAGACTGACCCCTGCTACCTTTGTGATGTAGTAACCTCTTTAGACTGACCCCTGCTACCTTTGTGATGTAGTGACCTCTGTAGACTGACCCCTGCTACCTTTGTGATGTAGTGGTCTATCGTATACTGACCTCTGCTACCTTTGACACCTGGTAACCCTGGTAAACCAGGTGGCCCGTCACTGGCAGTAGCACCTATGTCTCCCTTGAAGCCTTTTAATCCTGTAAAACAATATAACTATAATGGTAAGCCATAAAAATGTTGCATTGTATCATACTTCTGGAGATCAGGAGATAGCCACCCTGGGTGGCTAAATGGAAATTCATGGAAATTTTAACAAAATATGGACTTAATATTTTGGCTCAAGGCGGTCACTGATGATTTAGTTTTCTATATATTTTGCCTACTAATCATAAGCCTATGGCATGTCAACAAGCCGAATTATGTGACATAATTCTATATGTGTAATATTCGATGTTCTGTATATGAAATATAGCTATCATACTATTTAGAAATTTATGTATATATATATGTTTATTTCATATCTATAAATGAATCTATTTTTAGTACTGCATGATAGCTATATTTCACATATATAACATCTAATTCCTGTAGTTATGTTACACTAGCCCAATGCCATCAGCGTTGATTTTTCCCACTACCTACCACTGACTACTTAATCATTTAATGTATATCTTTGCATCTTTTGTACAAATTCCCGGTTCACTACAGCTATACATACCACTGAAAGTGACGTGTACTAGGTCATACTAGTGCTGAATCTTGATTGGCTTATAATACGAAGGAAAATCAGACTAAACATTTTCTTTAAATCCCATTCAATTACCGATTGCAGCGAATAAACATGTCATGTAAGTTCTATTTAAAGCATAATTTTTATTTAAGTTTTGTAAAGCACACAAATCCCATGAAAATACATCACCCTTCAGAGGCATATTCTCCATCATCTCATGTGCGTTTGAACAAATTTCCACGTTCTGCTATGGCTTGACACAAACAACTCAAAAATGAATTTCTAAGTTTTGGGATTCAAGGTATGGAATGTGTAGATTTAAAGGGGAAAGACGCAATTACCCAAAGACCTTACGGAAAAAAACTAGATCTTGTACCGATCAAATTTTTGTACATTTATATTGCTGAATGGGTATTATATCAGTGTATTAACATTCATGTGACAGTGTTTTATGTTAAGTTTAAAATACGAAAATACGGAAAATTGACAATAGAATGTTTTATTGGTGTCTTTTAAACAGTTTAATTACAAAGAAAAGGATTCTGAAATAAACAGTTGTTTGTCATCACCACTTTCCTGGAAAATATACACATTGTGATTTCAATTCAAACCAAAAATACCATTAAAAACTTTTTATAAAAAAACAACTTTTTTTTACCTACCTACCATAAATTTTTGAAGAGGTGAAACCAGAAACACACAATTTTTTTTTGGCCTTATGATACAAACATGCTGATGATAGATTCAGGTACCTGATAGGCCTGGAAGTCCCTGCAATCCTCTTTCTCCTCGTGGTCCTGGTAATCCATCACCTCCATCTGGTCCTGGGAGTCCTGGCTGGCCAGTAACACCACGCTCTCCCTCCACACCATTCAGTCCTGGCAGGCCACTGTCACCAGGGGCACCATTCAGTCCAGGGAAACCTGGAAAGGTCAAAAGTCACATAGACCTTATCACTTAAAATTGACCTGATATAATTTTCTTTCTTTTCTATTCAAAATTTAAGAAAGAAAAGAAGATAACAAAAAGTACAACATAAATGTTTATTTGATGATGAAAATGTATGGAAATATTTATGGTAAATTACAAGTGATAAATACAATAATTATAAATAAATATATAGTTAAAAATAAATTGGGTAACATTCAGCAGATTTCCCTCATATGTACAAACCTTTTTGTCCAGAGCGGCCACGATTTCCTGGTTGGCCACGGATTCCGGTCAAGCCACTATCACCAGGGCGCCCAGATAATCCTGGGGTACCTGGGCGGCCTGGTTCTCCTTCATATCCTGAAATAAGGAAACACAAACTTTAGGTGCATTCCTTTATTTCAAAATTTCCTTATAATAGTATACTGACTCACTATAATGGAGAATTAACCAAATCCAGTATATGTAAGTGAACATGGACCTTCATTTCAATTTGTTAACAATTTCAACAGCATAGCGCAAAGCATGATATTATCCCTGGCACCCCACTGTTTAAAAGAAAGTCACCCAATATATATATGTTGACATTACAAAAGGTTACATTTCTATTCATTAGTTTTAGTAGTTCCATACAAAGTATTGAAATGGAGAACTTTTACTAGAGTACTGGCTTGATGACTGTTGGACAGTCAGCGTATTAGCAATAAGTGTTATCGTGGAACATGTAAATACCCTTTTCTCCTTTGAGCCCCGGAACCCCTGGAAAGCCTACTCGGCCATTCTCTCCTGGAAATCCATTTTCTCCTGAGAGACCAGGCAACCCAGGTTCTCCTGGTAACCCTGGTAACAAGACATCTGGTGTGTTACCAGGGAAGCCCTTTTCTCCCTATTAAGAATGAAAACATTCTGCAGATTTCAACTAATTATGAATTGATAATATCAGTGACTACTGTCCTCTGTATAGAATATATATATACGATTAGGTTTAAGTGTTGTGTTCAGAACATAATATCACAAAATAATAAATTAGGTATACAAGGACTAAAATCATGTACCTGTAAATAACAGGATATTTTTCGCTTGATGACCACTTCAAACCTGATAAAAGTTTCTTGCTTATTTTGTTACAACACTCCCCACTTACCATGAATCCAGGTAAGTCATACATACAACAATTACTTTGAATCCAGGTAAGTTAACCCTACACCACTTACCATGAATCCAGGTAAGTCATACATACAGCAAATACCACGAATCCAGGTAAGTCAACCCTACACCACTTACCATGAGTTCAGGTAAGTCAACCCTATACCACTTACCATAAGTTCAGGTAAGTCAACCCTACACCACTTACCCTGAGCCCAGGTAAGTCATACATACAGCAATTACCACGAATCCAGGTAAGTCAACCCTACACCACTTACCATGAGTTCAGGTAAGTCAACCCTACACCACTTACCCTGAGCCCAGGGAATCCATCAAGACCATTCTCTCCTGTCTGGCCTTTTACTCCTGGAATTCCATCACGTCCTGGTGACCCTGGCAGTCCTGGGTAACCCTTGGGTCCAACACGCCCTCTCTCACCAATTACTCCATTCCCACCATCATCACCACGTGCACCACGGTTTCCAGATATTCCAGTCAGTCCATCATCACCTCGGTCTCCTTTCATACCTGACATACAACAGTGATATAATCCTTTAATTTCTACTCATAACAAATCCATGGATATCTGTAGAATGTTTTGTACTGAACTTTTCCTGTCACAATTACACCTATAATACTGTTTTATTACCTGTGACTATGACACCTATTTTACTGTTACATGTGATAATAACACCTATTTTACTGTTACCTGAGATAATAACACCTATTTTACTGTTACCTGTGATAATAACACCTATTTTACTGTTACCTGTGATAATAACACCTATTTTACTGTTACTTGTGATAATAGCACTTATTTTACTGTTACCTGTGATAATAACACCTATTTTACTGTTACCTGTGATAATAACACCTATTTTACTGTTACCTGTGAAAATTACACCTATTTTACTGTTACCTGTGATAATAACACCTATTTTACTGTTACCTGTGATAATAACACCTATTTTACTGTTACTTGTGATAATAGCACCTATTTTACTGTTACCTGTGATAACAACACCTATTTTACTGTTACCTGTGATAATAACACCTATTTTACTGTTACTTGTGATAATAGCACCTATTTTACTGTTACCTGTGATAACAACACCTATTTTACTGTTACCTGTAATAATAACACCTATTTTACTGTAACCTGTGAATATGACACCTATTTTACTGTTACCTGTGATAATAACACCTATCTTACTATTACCTGAGATAATAACACCTATTTTACTGTTACCTGTGAATATGACACCTATTTTACTGTTACCTGAGATAATAACACCTATTTTACTGTTACCTGTAATAATAACACCTATCTTACTATTACCTGTTACCTGATAATAAACACCTATCTTACTATTACCTGTGATAATAACACCTATTTTACTGTTACCTGTGATAATAATACCTATTTTACTGTTACCTGTGATAATAACCACCTATTTTACTGTTACCTGTGATAATAACACCTATTTTACTGTTACCTGTGATAATAACACCTATTTTACTGTTACCTGAGATAATAACACCTATCTTACTATTACCTGTAATAATAACACCTATTTTACTGTTACCTGTGATAATAACACCTATTTTACTGTAACCTGTGAATATGACACCTATTTTACTGTTACCTGTGAATATGACACCTATTTTACTGTAACCTGTGAATATGACACCTATTTTACTGTTACCTGTGATAATAACACCTATCTTACTATTACCTGTAATAATAACACCTATCTTACTATTACCTGTAATAATAACACCTATTTTACTGTTACCTGTGATAATAACACCTATTTTACTGTTACCTGTGAATATGACACCTATTTTACTGTTACCTGAGATAATAACACCTATTTTACTGTTACCTGTAATAATAACACCTATTTTACTGTTACCTGAGATAATAACACCTATTTTACTGTTACCTGAGATAATAACACCTATTTTACTGTTACCTGTGATAATAATACCTATTTTACTGTTACCTGTGATAACAACACCTATTTTACTGTTACCTGTGATAATAATACCTATTTTACTATTACCTGTAATAATAACACCTATTTTACTGTTACCTGTGATAATAACACCTATTTTACTGTTACCTGTGATAATAACACCTATTTTACTGTTACCTGTGATAATAACACCTATCTTACTATTACCTGTAATAATAACACCTATTTTACTGTTACCTATAATAACACCTATTTTACTATTACCTGTAATAATAACACCTATTTTACTATTACCTGTGATAATAACACTTATCTTACTATTACCTGTAATAATAACACCTTTCTTACTATTACCTGTAATAATAAAACCTATTTTACTATTACCTGTGATAATAACACTTATCTTACTATTACCTGAGATAATAACACCTATTTTACTATTACCTGAGATAATAACACCTATTTTACTGTTACCTGTGATAATAACACCTATCTTACTATTACCTGAGATAATAACACCAATTTTACTGTTACCTGTATATAATAACACCTATTTTACTGTTACCTGAGATAATAACACCTATTTTACTGTTACCTGTGATAATAACACCTATTTTACTGTTACCTGAGATAATAACACCTATTTTACTGTTACCTGAGATAATAACACCTATTTTACTGTTACCTGTAATAATAACACCTATCTTACTATTACCTGTAATAATAACACCTATTTTACTGTTACCTGAGATAATAACACCTATTTTACTGTTACCTGTGATAATAATACCTATTTTACTGTTACCTGTGATAATAACACCTATTTTACTGTTACCTGAGATAATAACACCTATTTTACTGTTACCTGAGATAATAACACCTATTTTAATGTTACCCGTGCTAATAACACCTATCTTACTATTACCTGAGATAATAACACCAATTTTACTGTTACTGTATATGAAGACACCTATTTTACTGGTTCTTTATAAACTCCACACTAGACAATAACTCAAACACATAACTGTGATTAGCTTGAAACGACAAAAGATTGAGCATCCAGCGTTAATTAGGTAAATATATATACATGTATAATGTCTTCATGGTATTTATTACAGAATACAACCTTTGTTACATGAAAAGCCCCTCACATACCACATTCAAAGAAGTAATACGCATAACCAAAAAGAATTTCAAATAATGAGCCAATTCTGATGATCTACATGTAAAATATGGTAACATTGTTTTCAGTAACCAAGGTAACATATTACTTTAACTTATACCAAGTCATTAACACAGATATAAAATCAAGTAGAATTCACTAATCATTATCCTACAGGGCATCTATTTATCTACAGCTGTGTACAAATTACAGGATATCATAGTAATTTCATACTGTAAGCAACTGTAAGCAGAACGAGAAAGAGGGGAGAAATTTCTCTCTTTAGCAGAAAAATTATTTGAAAGGTGACGTTATATTAAGATTTGGTTTTTCCTTGATAATGTTTACTTACAGAGTATTCGGTATCAAGCGAACCCACCGCAAGCTCTGCATATGAAAACTTACCCATGACAGAAAATTTTTAGAAAAACAAGCATTTCAACATAAATTATCCTTGAAACTTGTTGGTCTGTAAGCACCTACATGACAATACTTACCCTTGAGACCTGGGAGGCCTATCATACCGTCTACACCGGGCCTGCCCGATGTTCCCACGTCACCTTTGATTCCGGGTATGAGGATCGGTAAACCTGGTTCTCCCTTTTCACCTGCACAAAAGACAGTGAGAAGTCATTATGTCAGATTACATAACACCTGTCTGCACCACATCTTCATCTCCGCTTACTAACAATGACAAGTCTGCATTTCTATCTATCAATTGCTCAATGTTATTTAGTACATAATGAATAGTATCATAAACTACCAGGAACTTGAATGCAAAAGACATTTACTGTGCTATTCTGAGCCGATACCAACCCTAGTATGTGATGACAAAGCCTCAGTCTGATGTCTTGGAACTCTCTAGCGATTTTTTTTATCTTCAAGGTATGTATGCTTTTTTAAAGTCAAAAATCACACATAACTCGAAGATAAAAAAAATGAATACTGTATCTAATTTTTTTTTGACATTCCTCTTTAAGGTCATCTATCAAGAAGAATCTAGGTCCTGATGTTTTTCACAGCCAACAAATTTATCGAATACCGAGTATCGAGTGTAAGAGCTACACTAAGGAAAAGGGGTTGTATTCAGAACCAGGAGTAATCTCCCTTGTTTACAAATGCGGAATGAACAAGACAATATTTTGAGAATTTTAATGTCTCCTGGGTATTGTATGATAGAAAGAGGATGTCAGGAGCCTTATATCATGTAATTAACTATAAGACAATAAACAACAGTCAGACATATATATGTTTTTTTGTGTTTTAGTCTACGGCATTAACACACAAGATGTGGAACATGTGTTTATAATGTCATAATGCCTGGCACTGATTTAGACATGTGATTGATCTGTAGATCATCGACACCTGGTCTCAATAAAACATGACTTACCAATAACTCCCTTAGCTCCATTTTGTCCTGGAATGCCAGCAAATCCTTTCTCTCCATTCATTCCTGGAAAGCCTGGGAAAGCATCACCTGGAAGTCCTTTGTTTCCCTTGGTACCTTTCATACCATCAATTCCATCCAATCCATCAATCCCAAACTTTCCCATCTCACCCTATCACAACAGAAATCACATGTCACAACAGAAATCACATGTCACAACAGAAATCACATGTCACAACAGAAATCACATGTCACAACAGAAATCACATGTCACAACAGAAATCACATGTCACAACAGAAATCACATGTCACAACAGAAATCATATGTTACAACAGAAATCACATATCAACACCGACACACAAGTCAATCGCATTTGTTCTAAACAGGACCACTTCATTGGCACTTATTTCAGGCATAAATTGGGATGGACCCGAAAATATTATTACATCCCTGGAAAGACTTATCCAAGGTTTGTCATAAAGCAATGATATTGTAAACATGCAATTTTCATGGTCATCATATTCTAGCACTTTTCACTGATTGCAATAATTAGGTTTCTATAGGTTTTAGCTTTTAAAGCAGTTGGTGTGGATGCACATATTCATCGTTATGCTAATTTGTCTGAAAGAGATGATGAGTTGAAATAATTTCAAATCCCCTTTTTTTCCTTTTTTAGTCTTTGTAACTTTAGTTTGGATGACTCCAATTTAACTGAGTCAAAATTTTGTTTTGAGTTAATGTGACTTGGCAGTCCCTTCAATTATAAAGCAAGAGAAAAGTTATTCATTGTTTCGAAAATTAATTTTTGTCAAAATATTGACAAGTCTTCTGAAGAAATTGGTTGATACATACACACAGTTGAAAGTAACCTGTGCTTAATACATGGCTAATTACAGCATTTCGATCCATCATATAAACACTGGTGATTACTTTACCAGTTTTATTATCCAATTAAATGTTGGTTTCTTAATTAGTGTCACCATCCTTTAACAGTGACTAACCTGTATATTAAACAAGTGCTTACACAAGACACCAGTTACGTTGGTTGTTAAATCTAGAGCAGGTATAAAGTTTTCTTTATTAGGAAAAAAGCTTTCTGGTGCCATCTTTTTCATATGTTTATTCATTTATAGCAAAATCATGTTAAATATGATCTGTTGCTTCATACATTGTTTCTAGCAGCATATCAAAAACCAATTTTAGTTTAGTGTTATTTGCATCATGTAAAATCTATCATCTATATCACCTGTGTGGGATGGAACAAAGTGAGTATAAATGTAGATGTAATTGATCAATATTGTTACAACGTTTTTTAATTGAATTAATTAACACTTAAATGAGAAAGTAGACATCTACAGACAGATTAAATAACACTGTTTGTACCATGCATTACCATGCTATAGCACTTCGTTAAATCATAATCGTCAGCAAAATTATATTGTCAACCTTATTTGCACACTTTGTTTGAGGCAAAATTCGGAGTCAAAATATTTTCTATGGTCTCTTGAATTTGGAGATGACAAGTTTGACTGTATGTTAGTAATAATGTGTCACTAGTGATCTTTATAAAGAAGTGATATAGAAACTTACCTTCATTCCCTGAGCACCAGGAAAGCCAACAGGCCCCCTCTCTCCTGGAAATCCAGGAGTACCATCCTGTCCTTGATTTCCATCAAAGCCTGGATCACCGGATATTCCTTTTGGCCTTTCTGTGATGGTTATGGGGACATCTCCTGGATCTCCCTTTATTCCTTTACCTCCAGAGAAACCTGGGGGACCCTGAGCTCCCTGTAACATAAACATAACAATGGGATCCGTGTACAGTCTACATAATCTGATGGGAAACTGATCTGTGTACAGTCTACTTAATCTGATGGGAAACTGACCTGTGTACAGTCTACTTAATCTGATGGGAAACTGATCTGTGTACAGTCTACATAATCTGATGGGAAACCTATCTGTGTACAGTCTACATAATCTGATGGGAAACCTATCTGTGTACAGTCTACATAATCTGATGGGAAACCTATCTGTGTACAGTCTACATAATCTTATGGGAAACCTATCTGTGTACAGTCTACATAACCTGATGGGAAACCTATCTGTGTACAGTCTACATAATCTGATGGGAAACTGACCTGTGTACAGTCTACATAATCTGATGGGAAACCTATCTGTGTACAGTCTACATAATCTGATGGGAAACCTATCTGTGTACAGTCTACATAATATGATGGGAAACTGACCTGTGTACAGTCTACATAATATGATGGGAAACTGACCTGTGTACAGTCTACATAATCTGATGGGAAACCTATCTGTGTACAATCTACATAATCTGATGGGAAACTGACCTGTGTACAGTCTACATAATATGATGGGAAACCTATCTGTGTACAGTCTACATAATCTGATGGGAAACCTATCTGTGTACAGTCTACATAATCTGATGGGAAACCTATCTGTGTACAATCTACATAATCTGATGGGAAACTGATCTGTGTACAATCTACATAATATGATGGGAAACTGATCTGTGTACAGTCTACATAATCTGATGGGAAACTGATCTGTGTACAATCTACATAATCTGATGGGAAACTGACCTGTGTACAGTCTACATAATCTGATGGGAAACTGATCTGTGTACAGTCTACATAATCTGATGGGAAACTGATCTGTGTACAGTCTACATAATCTGATGGGAAACTGACCTGTGTACAGTCTACATAATCTGATGGGAAACTGACCTGTGTACAGTCTACATAATCTGATGGGAAACCTATCTGTGTACAGTCTACATAATCTGATGGGAAACTGATCTGTGTACAGTCTACATAATCTGATGGGAAACTGATCTGTGTACAGTCTACATAATCTGATGGGAAACCTATCTGTGTACAGTCTACATAATCTGATGGGAAACCTATCTGTGTACAGTCTACATAATCTGATGGGAAACTGATCTGTGTACAGTCTACATAATCTGATGGGAAACTGACCTGTGTACAGTCTACATAATATGATGGGAAACTGATCTGTGTACAGTCTACATAATCTGATGGGAAACTGATCTGTGTACAGTCTACATAATCTGACAGGAAACTGATCTATGTACAGTCTACTTAATCTGATGGGAAACTGATCTATGTACAGTCTACATAATCTGATGGGAAACTGATCTATGTACAGTCTACATAATCTGATCAGAAACTGATCTGTGTACAGTCTACATAGTCTGATGACAGTCTACATAAACTGATCAGAAACTGATCTGTGTACAGTCTACATAATCTGATGGGAAACCTATCTGTGTACAGTCTACATAATCTGATGGGAAACCTATCTGTGTACAGTCTACATAATCTGATGGGAAACCTATCTGTGTACAGTCTACATAATCTGATGGGAAACCTATCTGTGTACAGTCTACATAATCTGATGGGAAACTGATCTGTGTAGTCTACATAATCTGATGGGAAACTGATCCATGTACAGGTTGTCTAATATGATGGGAAACTTATTTCTGTATAGTCTTAAGATTTTTTGATGTCATTGGAAATGTTATTAAGGAGAAGGTATCTGTATATATATTTAAAAGATATAGACGTAAAAGATAAATCTCTTCAGTAAGATAAGTTCATCACATAACTACCATGTTATCAATGTTATTACACCCATTGCATAAATTTTGTTATAGGGCTAGAAAGATTAATAGGGCCGTCAGAGGTGGGTTTTGCTCTCTGATTTGGACAAAACCAAAATAACAAAGGGCAATAACTCCTAAATTATGCAAAAGATAGAGACAGTTCTTGTGCACTGCACTTCTTGTTCAAATCAATGTTGATACCTGTAACAGTTACTGTGCTATGCTCTGGATAAAATTATGATGGATTGACAAAAGGACGTACAAATGCACAGACCAATGGACAAAGCTGTGACTATATGCTCTCCCTTTGGGGAGCATAGAAAGCACTTACAACACAATCAGTACATTTGAGTGTGATGTTTTATTGACTACATGGTCACTTTCATCCAAAAAACAACCAGTGTGAAGTGTACTATCACAGACATGTGTTTGAGATCAGGAATCGCAATTGATACTACCTGTATACATGGGTTTTTTTTTTTATCAGTTAACCATTTCGTCAAACTAATACTGACCTTGGTGTATAAAGGATTTTAGTACAGTTGGTTGATTCATGCTGGTTATTTGTCTGATGAAGGTGACCAAAACGTCACACTCAAATCTTCTACTGGTTGTGTTATAAGATGAAGGTGACCAAAACGTCACACTCAAATCTTCTACTGGTTGTGTTATAAGATGAAGGTGACCAAAACGTCACACTCAAATCTTCTACTGGTTGTGTTATAAGATGAAGGTGACCAAAACGTCACACTCAAATCTTCTACTGGTTGTGTTATAAGATGAAGGTGACAGTGTAGTCATCGGAACGTCACACTCTAATCTTCTACAGGTTGTGTTATAAGGTGAAGGTGACCGTGTAGTCACAGAAACGTCACACTCTAATCTTCTACTGGTTGTGTTATAAGATGAAGGTGACCGTGTAGTCATCATCACTCTCTAATCTTCTACTGGTTGTGGTATAAGAACATTTATTCAACAGATATCAAACATCAACAACCTGAAGAAAAAATGTTCCAGGTTAGCTAAAGGTTGCTAACCACATGGTCACCTTCATCAGACAAACACCACATGGTCATCTTCATCAGACAACAACCACATGGTCACCTTCATCAGACCACAACCACATGGTCATCTTCATCAGACAATAACTACACAGTCACCTTCATCAGACCATAACCACATGGTCACCTTCATCAGACCATAACCACATGGTCACCTTCATCAGATCACAACCACATGGTCAACCACATGGTCACCTTCATCTGACCATAACCACATGGTCACCTTCATCAGATCACAACCACATGGTCATCTTCATCAGACAACAACCACATGGTCACCTTCATCTGACCATAACCATATGGTCACCTTCATCAGATCATATCCATACGGTCACCTTCATCAGACCATGACTACACTGTCACCTTCTTCAGACAAATGACATGTGTGAAGTGCATTAGCACGGACATGCACAGTGTCAGAGAAAAGAAAAAATATTAACCTGATGTGAAATGGCATCTCATGTAAGACCAAAACATCAACCTGAACACATTGTATCATTAACTGACAGAACATTTGTACTATGATATTACCAATTAGCTGCTATTTACAAAAGTAGGAACAGAATCAAAATCAATCAGTTCTTTTCTGATAATCGAGGAATTGTGCCTCAGTCACCTTGGCCAGATTACACATGTAAAATATAGCACTCAGCAAAGGTGATATTTTCTTTAGCTTGATTGGTGGAGTGTAATGACACTTATATTTACCATGATTATACACAGAGGATTTTAGAGGGACATTAGTGGAATTATAGTATGGTGGAGTTATTGTCCCTGTAAAGTGGTTTTAAGATATGTTCCCATGGCATTCTGGTTTTCTTCTTTACTTCATCTTATCTATCATTATAACTTCCTGAGACAACAGAATACAGCTGCCATAAAACCAATCCACTATCATAATAATGCAACTGACCTTTCGGCCTGTGAACCCTGACAATCCTGGGAGACCTCGACTACCACCTTGTCCCTTCAAACCTTGTTCTCCAGGAGGTCCATCAAACCCAGGCAGACCTAAACAGACATTAAGTACACATTGGAAAATACATCTTACTGATAACTGTGCTATAGTTACTAGTACAACCATAGCTTTTTGATTTACACAATTTATTCCATTGAAAATTCAACTGAAATTTAATATAATGTTATTCAGTTTATATCTTGGAAATTTGAACCCAAAATTAATACAAATTAATGTAATTCACCATCATGGAAATCAAACCCCAAATTCAATATAATTTTAGACAATTTATTATCAAAGAAATTTAAACCAAAATTTGATATAATTCACTAGCTTAGAAATTTAACCTCAAATTTGTTAGAATTTTACACAAATTCATTTCTCCGAAATTCACAGATCCAAATTTAATGTAATTTTACATGATTTCTTCTAGGAAAGATTTTTCTATTCACTTATTAAACAATTTCTATTATCTAGAGTTTGTGTACAGGTATGTGTGAGCAAAAAATGCAATGAGACAGCACATGTTTTACCTCTATATATATCTTAATAATTGAAATGATCTTAAGGGCTGATGTATTGACAAGATAGCTCACTGAAGCTTACTCTGATGTGTCTTCCTCAATCATTTGTTATACAACAGGACTTAACTCCCTCACTCTTTTCTCAACAAGTTTTAATATGTATAAATATAATGTGTATGTTCATGTAATGTCATTTAAAAAATATTTGATAGCTCAAATCCCAATCTAAGGGAGACTACTCTACCTGGTAAACCATCTTCTCCCATCTCTCCCTTGAAACCTGGCAATCCATCTTGACAAATTCCGCAGTCCGCACCTCGTTCACCTGTAACATGGGTTCATTGTAAACAAGATCACGTATAGACTACCTTGGTAAGTACATACTTTGTGTGTTCATCGTGACACAATTATTGAATTTGATAATACATTCAGAGCAATATGATAAATCATAAAAAATATCCATCATTCCCATTCACAAACAAGTACACATCAAAAGTAAATGAATGATCATATTAGCACCATAACATTATTTGAAAAAGCAATGTGGTGAATGATAGTCCCCCATCAAATGTGAAATTATACACCAGGAGTGTATAGATGATAAATTTGTACCAGATATGAATGTTTGACAGATGTATTCAATACAAAGTAGTGTCAGTGCTTCAAATAAATCTGGCGAATGTTCACTGGTTAGTGGTGTTGTTTTACTATTAAATCAAATCTGTTAACACCATGTATTCCACATTGCTATAGGTCAAATGTTAAAATGTAGGTCAGAGTGACCTACTTTTGAAACACACTGCCTACCCAAAATATGAATATCCAATGATTAGCATACCTGCCAACTTTTCAAAATTCTCATGATGGAGAAAAGTGAATGAACAACATTTTTGACTCGCATCGAAACAAAACATACAAAACACCAACCATCAAGTAAACCTGCAGCTATTTTATGATCAAAATCTTTTTCTTACCCTTCAAACCAAAGTCACCATCAAGACCATCAAGTCCATTGACACCAGGAACTCCACGATCTCCTTCCAAACCTCTTACTCCTTGGGGTCCAGTGACATCTCGACCAATTCCGGGAAGGCCTGGGAGACCAGCAAGTCCAGGACTACCAGGAAAACCAGTGAGTCCAGGTAAACCATCACGACCAGGTCGTCCACGCAAACCTGGCAGGCCAACCACTGTACGACCGGGCTCACCAGGCAGTCCAACACTTCCTGTCTCTCCGGGAACTCCAAAAGTTCCTGGCAGACCATCTGGACCAGGATCACCTATAGTGATACAGAAAACCATTCAACACTGTTCAGTATAGAATGACATAGGAATTGTAGTTTTGATTTTATGGGAAGATTATACAGTAACAAAACACACCGGTATACTGCGTTACAATATGTTGTAATACTGTTACTCTGACAAACGCCTCCACTTTCTTAGATAGTAAATTTGATACAGCAATCCAAAGAAATCTTATTTCAAATGTATGATTTTTCAAAAAGTATTTTTCCTCATGGCATAAAATAACTGTCAAATCAAAAGCTTCATTCATGTCAGCATTACCGATGGTATGTGTCCAACTGGTTATTTTTCTATGCTGAAGTTAAGACTATACGACACATAAAAAACAAGAGGCCCAAGGGGCCTTAACGGTCACCTGAGGAATATATGTCAATAATCTGGGGATTTTAAAATGTTGCAAAAATGTAACAACACTTGTGCAGGACCATGTGTAAAACATCTGTACCAAGTTTGAATATGACCCACCCTATGGTTCTTGAGAGGAAGTCCATAATTTCTTAGCCAAACAGAGGCCAGGGTGGCCATCTTGGATTTTGAATCGCCCCAAAAAGTTAAAACACTTGCCAGGACCTTGTGTAGAACATTCGTATCAAGTTTCCGCTTTTTTCCCCCTCCTGGGGCCCCTATTGGGGCCACACCCTTTTTCTTCACAAACTTGAAGCGGCTTCCCATGGGGATGCTTTGTGTCAAGTTAAGTAAAAATCCATCCAATGGTTCTCGAGAAGAAGTCATTTAAAGAAGATTTTACATATGGCCCCTTTTACACCCCTTATGGGCCCCAAAGGGGACATAATCACTTTTTTCAACATAATTTCATACGTCCTTCACTAAGGGATGCTTTTTACCAAATTTGGTTGAAATCGGACAAAGCTGAATTTTTTACCCTTTTGAGCACCCCCTAGTGGGGCCGTTTTAGACCCGATTTTCTTTTCATTTGCAAACTTTGTAGACCATGCCATAGGGACCCTAAATATTAAATAGGAACTTAATCTGACTGTTGGTTCATGAGAAGAAGATTTTTAAAGATTTACCTAATTTTACCCACTTTTCCCCCCCTCCTGGGTGCCCTATTGGTGCCACGCCCTTTTTCTTCGCAAACCTGAAGCAGCTTCCCATGGGGGTGCTTTGTGCCAACTTTGGTTAAAATCCATTCAGTGGTTCTTAAGAAGAAGTCGAATATGTGAAAAATTAACGATGCACGACGACAGACAAATCATGATGGCAAAAGGTCACCATGAGGCTTCGGCTCAGGTAACCTGAAAATAATGAGAATTACCTAATGTAAGTTATGTTTATGAAAGACAAAAAATAACATGCAAACCATACCAGTAAATCCTCTGTCACCCTTCACTGAGAATCCTGGGGGTCCCCTTAAACCTGGAAGGCCATTTGGCCCTGGAGGACCAATGGATCCAATCCTTCCCTGCTGACCTGTTGGTCCATCTTGACCTGCAGAAGAAACAAGTTTTGTTACTTCATGCCCGATTCGATTGCCAATATTCCTGATGTATTACTTCCCCTGAGGTACGTGTTTCCTCCCTTGCAGGCGGTATTACCTCCCCTGATGTAAGTGTTGTCTCCCTTGAAGGCAATGTTATCTTCCCTAATGACAGAATAACTACCCCCTTGGAGACAATATTACCTCCCCTGATGACAGATTTTCCTCCCCTTATGTTGCTCTTACATCCCCTGACACCAGTAATTCCCTTATATAAGTATTACCTCCTTTGATGTGAGTGTACCTCCTCTCATGTTTGTGTTATCTCCCTTACTGTCATTGTTTTCTCCCTCAATGTCATTACTTCACACCTGATGTCTGTTTTATCTCCTGTTATGTCAATGTTACCTTCCCTGAAGGAAGCATTATCTCCAGCAATGTCAGTATAATCTCCCCTAATGTCAGTGTTACCTCCCTTGAAGGAAGCATTATCTCCTGCAATGTCAGTATAATCTCCCCTAATGTAAGTGTTACCTAATGTCAGAATTACCTCCCCAGATGCTAGTATTACCTCACTTGATAGCAGTGTTATCTTCCTTGAAGATAGTATTCATTCCAGTGATGTCAGCATTACCTCCCCTGATATCAGTGTTACTTTCTATAAGACAGTATTCCCTCCCCTAATGTCCCTATTACTTCCTCTGATGTTATTATTACCTCTCTTTGCTGCTGAAGATTTACCCTATACAACTTACACAATATATTCACATCCAAAAAATTATTACTTCATGTATTTAACCCTTTCCGCACCAAATATCTCTCACAATGTACAGCTCAGCACCAAATATCTCTCACAATGTACAGCTCAGCACCAAATATCTCTCACAATGTACAGCTCAGTGCCAAATATCTCTCACAATGTACAGGGTCAGTGCCAAATATCTCTCACAATGTACAGCCAAATATCTCTCAGTACACCAAATATCTCTCACAATGTACAGCTCAAGTGCCAAATATCTCTCACAATGTACAGCTAAGTTCCAAATATCTCTCACAATGTACAGCTAAGTTCCAAATATCTCTCACAATGTACAGCTAAGTGCCAAATATCTCTCACAATGTACAGCTCAGCACCAAATATCTCTCACAATGTACAGCTCAGCACCAAATATCTCTCACAATGTACAGCTATCTCTCACAATGTACAGCTCAGTGCCAAATATCTCTCACAATGTACAGCTAAGTGCCAAATATCTCTCACAATGTACAGCTCAGTGCCAAATATCTCTCACAATGTACAGCTAAGTGCCAAATATCTCTCACAATGTACAGCTCAGTGCCAAATATCTCTCACAATGTACAGCTAAGTGCCAAATATCTCTCACAATGTACAGCTCAGCACCAAATATCTCTCACAATGTACAGCTCAGTGCCAAATATCTCTCACAATGTACAGCTCAGCACCAAATATCTCTCACAATGTACAGCTCAGTGCCAAATATCTCTCACAATGTACAGCTAAGTGCCAAATATCTCTCACAATGTACAGCTAAGTGCCAAATATCTCTCACAATGTACAGCTCAGCACCAAATATCTCTCACAATGTACAGCTAAGTGCCAAATATCTCTCACAATGTATAGCTAAGTGCCAAATATCTCTCACAATACAGGTCAGTGCCAAATATCTCTCACAATGTACAGCTCAGTGCCAAATATCTCTCACAATGTACAGCTCAGTGCCAAATATCTCTCACAATGTACAGCTCAGCACCAAATATCTCTCACAATGTACAGCTCAGCACCAAATATCTCTCACAATGTACAGCTAAGTGCCAAATATCTCTCACAATGTACAGCTAAGTGCCAAATATCTCTCACAATGTACAGCTCTCACAGTACAGCTCAGTACAGCTCAGCCCAAATATCTCTCACAATGTACAGCTCAGCACCAAATATCTCTCACAATGTACAGCTAAGTGCCAAATATCTCTCACAATGTACAGCTAAGTGCCATATATCTCTCACAATGTACAGCTAAGTGCCAAATATCTTTCACAATGTACAGCTCAGTGCCAAATATCTCTCACAATGTACAGCTAAGTGCCAAATATCTCTCACAATGTACAGCTCAGTGCCAAATATCTCTCACAATGTACTCTCAGCCAAATATCTCTCACAATGTACAGCTCAGCACCAAATATCTCTCACAATGTACAGCTCAGTGCCAAATATCTCTCACAATGTACAGCTAAGTGCCAAATATCTCTCACAATGTACAGCTAAGTGCCAAATATCTCTCACAATGTACAGCAGCTAAGTGCCAAATATCTCTCACAATGTACAGGTCAGTGCCAAATATCTCTCACAATGTACAGCTAAGTGCCAAATATCTCTCACAATGTACAGCTCAGCGCCAAATATCTCTCACAATGTACAGCTCAGTGCCAAATATCTCTCACAATGTACAGCTCAGTGCCAAATATCTCTCACAATGTACAGCTAAGTGCCAAATATCTCTCACAATGTACAGCTCAGCGCCAAATATCTCTCACAATGTACAGCTCAGTGCCAAATATCTCTCACAATGTACAGCTCAGTGCCAAATATCTCTCACAATGTACAGCTCAGTGCCAAATATCTCTCACAATGTACAGCTATCTCTCACAATGTACAGCTAAGTGCCAAATATCTCTCACAATGTACAGCTAAGTGCCAAATATCTCTCACAATGTACAGCTAAGTGCCAAATATCTCTCACAATGTACAGCTAAGTGCCAAATATCTCTCACAATGTACAGCTCAGCACCAAATATCTCTCACAATGTACAGCTAAGTGCCAAATATCTCTCACAATGTACAGCTAAGTGCCAAATATCTCTCACAATGTACAGCTCAGCGCCAAATATCTCTCACAATGTACAGCTCAGCACCAAATATCTCTCACAATGTACAGGTCAGTGCCAAATATCTCTCACAATGTACAGCTAAGTGCCAAATATCTCTCACAATGTACAGCTAAGTGCCAAATATCTCTCACAATGTACAGCTAAGTGCCAAATATCTCTCACAATGTACAGCTCAGTGCCAAATATCTCTCACAATGTACAGCTAAGTGCCAAATATCTCTCACAATGTACAGCTCAGCGCCAAATATCTCTCACAATGTACAGCTCAGCACCAAATATCTCTCACAATGTACAGCTCAGCGCCAAATATCTCTCACAATGTACAGCTCAGCACCAAATATCTCTCACAATGTACAGCTAAATGTACAGCTAAGTGCCAAATATCTCTCACAATGTACAGCTCAGCACCAAATATCTCTCACAATGTACAGCTCAGCACCAAATATCTCTCACAATGTACAGCTCAGCACCAAATATCTCTCACAATGTACAGCTCAGCACCAAATATCTCTCACAATGTACAGCTAAGTGCCAAATATCTCTCACAATGTACAGCTAAGTGCCAAATATCTCTCACAATGTATAGCTAAGTGCCAAATATCTCTCACAATGTACAGCTCAGCACCAAATATTTTCCGGAAAATATCCGAAAACAATGGCAAAAATTGTCGAATATAGTCTGTCTGCATGTCGACTTTAGTCGCCTACGGCGCTGAATGGGTTAAGGTTTTTTTTCTGTTTACATTTCAATGGGTTCAAGTTTTCCAAAAAATCATTATAAAGGATTCAATATTTGGATTTAAAACCTGGAAAGCCTTTAGGTCCGTCATCTCCAAGATCCCCTGAAATTCCCCTGGGTCCTGGACGTCCTTCCCCAGAGCCAATGATCTCTCCAGGTAAACCCTACAACAGGTCACAAACAATAATATATAATCTTTAATGATTTTTTAAATTGTTTTTTTCCTCCTAAGAAATTTCTTATTAGTTTTGGGATATAGTATCTGGCTCTTGATAAGATAATACAATTTACAATGACAATAATACAACAAAGACTTAACTCTCTATATATATATGATACAGGCAAAAATGGTATCATATAGACCAAGGAAATTTTCCAACACTCTTTAAAAACAATTAACGAATGAAATATGTTATGACTTCCTCAGATTTCATGTTTATTTCTATACATTATATATATACATGTCTGTAAATATATTCTGATGATGATTTACCCTTGGTCCTGGATCTCCTCTCTGACCTTGGAATCCAAAATCACCAGAAAATCCCTGTAAAGAGACTCATCTACTTTAGGAGACTAGAAAATATATTATGTACTTCTGATAAAAGTTCCAGTATGGAAATAACTATATACCAAGCTATTAGTGTCCTAGAAACATAACAGGAGCAGTAAAAGTTATTCAAAGCAGCATGTCCTTAAACAGCAACAAACAATTTGTAACTTGTAAATTAGTGTCTGTTGACAAATATTTAAAAAGGAATCAATGATGGCAACAAAGATGATAATAAGTATAACTGAAGATAGAGGAACAAGAAAAATATTGGTCAAAACGTGTTCATATTCTGTGAAAATGAAAATGAGTTTCAACATATTTCAAATCAGTGTACCTATCACAATATGTGTTTTCTACATTGACATGAAATATCTACTGTCAGATAGGTTATAAATCCTGACAGGAGTTACTTCCCTTTACATACGTTCACTATCTGGGCAACAATATTTACCTTAAGACCTTTAAGTCCACTGTTTCCAACTTGTCCCTTGTCACCTGCCATTCCTTTAGGACCAAATGCTCCAGCAGGGCCATCTTTTCCACGCTTACCCTAAGGACATTAGTGTTATGGTCTTATTTGTGGGAAATTAAATTATCTCCCTTTATTCACCGATCTTTTATTATTTCATTGTAAGATACTGACACCAACAGTAATTACTGATAATGACACATACAAATTCCCTCCCTTTATTCCCCGATACTTTATCACTTCATTGTCAGTAACTGACACCAACAGTAATTACTGATACTGTAAGATACAAATTACCTCCCTATATTCACTGATACATTATTACTTCATTGTCAGTTACTGACACCAACAGTAATTACTGATACTGTTAGATATGAATTACCTCCCTTTATTCACAGATCCTTGATCTAATTGTCAGTTACAGACACCAACAGTTATTACTGATACTGTTAGATACAAATTACCTCCCTTTATTCACTGAAACATTATTACTTCATTGTCAGTTACTGACACCAACAGTAATTACTGATACTGTTAGATATGAATTACCTCCCTTTATTCACAGATCCTTGATCTAATTGTCAGTTACTGACACCAACAGTAATTACTGATACTGTAAGATACAAATTACCTCCCTTTATTCACTGATACATTATTACTTCATTGTCAGTTACTGACACCAACAGTAATTACTGATACTGTTAGATACAAATTACCTCCCTATATTCACTGATACATTATTACTTCGTTGTCAGTTACTGTCAGCAACAGTAATTACTGATACTGTTAGATACAAATTACCTCCCTATATTCACTGATACATTATTACTTCATCGTCAGTAACTGACACCAACAGTAATCACTGATACTGTTAGATACAAATTACCTCCCTATATTCACTGATACATTATTACTTCATTGTCAGTTACTGACACCAACAGTAATTACTGATACTGTTAGATATGAATTACCTCCCTTTATTCACAGATCCTTGATCTAATTGTCAGTTACAGACACCAACAGTAATTACTGATACTGTTAGATACAAATTACCTCCCTTTATTCACTGAAACATTATTACTTCATTGTCAGTTACTGACACCAACAGTAATTACTGATACTGTTAGATATGAATTACCTCCCTTTATTCACAGATCCTTTATCTAATTGTCAGTTACTGTCACTACCAGTAATTACTGATACTGTCACATACACATAACTTTCATTTTCCTACTGTTACCCTATCCAATTTGTACAAACAGCTTGTGCAAAATTTGGCTTTGCTATCCACTTTTATTAGATTGTAAAACATTATGTTTGTATTTCATATATGTGAATATTTTTAAGGAAATTTAGCAATTTTTACAAAAATTTGATCGTTGCTTCTTTTCTTCTCCACAGGAGAAATACAATACAATGGAGGAAATTGTTTCAAATTCTCTACATATTTATTGTCTCTTTGATTAAATTCCAATTTTTAACATTTTTTTATAAATCCATCCACCAGTAGCCAGCAAGATGTAATGTATTGGTTTCTAAGATATCAGATGTGTACACCTAGTGGGTGTGAATTGTAAAACTTACCCTTCTGCCCTGGTTACCTTGACTTCCCTTCATTCCCTTAGGACCTAGTGGACCCTTTATACCCTGTGTAACAAAAGATACTCTCTCTATTCATTCTGTCAACTGTAAACACAGCCATTCAGAAGAGCAATTATGCAAAAAATGATTATGTGACTTTTTCTGAATTCAACATATCATAATTTCATACAAAGGCAGTTCAACAATAAAAGAACATTTACATAAAATGATGGACATTTTCTTTTTATTTCAAGTAACTTACATCTTCCCCTATATCACCAGGAAGGCCTCGTGGACCATCGTTGCCCGGCAGTCCTGGAATTCCTGCCTCACCATTAGGTCCAAATATGACCTCATCTATCGGTTTTCCCTCCTGTGATGGGGGACCAGGTGGACCTTGCTGCCCAGGGTATCCTTCATCACCCTACATTACACCAATATAAATCAATAGGATAAAACAACAAAATATGTGCTAATCCTTCCACAGTATCCCTGTTAACACTTAATTATCTCATAGTAAAATTTCCCAATAACTAACACTCCTAAGTGAAATATCTGATACAATCAGGTCCTTCTTGAAATCATTGTAACAGCTGATAAATCGTTAACAACAGATACAGAAGTGTATGGACAGGGGAATCTTTCAGGTATACAGTCTGTACTTTATTGAATTCATAACATAACTGCATCAAATAAAGAAATAAAAATTTTATAGCTCCAGTTTCTACATACCTGTTCTCCCTTGAGTCCACGCCTTGCCTCTCCCATGTCTCCTTTGGGGCCAGGCAAACCATCAGCCCCTGGTAATCCCTACAACAAAATAAAATCTTTATCTCAAAAGATTACAACTAATATTCCATAATTATCAACTGTTTCCAAGATAATGTTACTATGAGAAATGACACCAGCTAGTATGGATTGAAACAAAGTTCAATTTGACAAGGAACACAGAGAATCAATTATGAAGATTATCAAGATAAAAATATTAAACTTTGGTTTTAAAAGAAACAAAATTTAACCATATCTGCTGTGACAGTGATATCGTGAATTTAACAAAATATTAATTAAAGTACCTGTAATCCAGGGTTACCCTCGTAACCTCGGTCTCCAGGCAACCCACGGTATCCAGGCTGGCCCTGTTTAACAAATATCAAGCAATTCATAATTAAAATAAATCGACATTTGTGACAATATCTATTAATATATCCTAACATTTATATTTTAACTTACTATTCAATATTGTATTCATATACTCTCCTCTTCATTAAACAAAATAAAAGCAATTAAACAAGTTCTGATTTACTGATTTACTTACATCCCTTAGCAGATTTATCTATTTTGTATGTGATTCATATTTCCTTGATATAATTCCTGAAATGGGCATTATCACCTCTAACCTCAGTTACAATTACTTCCCTTTGAAGTGCATTTCCCAATAGGTGCACTATCCTAAACTTTACCCTCTACCACAATTACAGTTACTTCCCTTGGCACATTTAGATACATTTCCTGATAGGCTCACTACTATCGTCAACTTTATCCTCTACCACAATTACAGTTACTTCCCTTGGCACATTTAGATACATTTCCTGATAGGCTCACTACTATCGTCAACTTTATCCTCTACCACAATTACAGTTACTTCCCTTGGCACATTTAGATACATTTCCTGATAGGCTCACTACTATCGTCAACTTTAACCTCCACCACAATTACAGTTACATCCCTTGGCACATTTAGATACATTTCCTGATAGGCTCACTACTATCGTCAACTTTATCCTCTACCACAATTACAGTTACTTCCCTTGGCACATTTAGATACATTTCCTGATAGGCTCACTACTATCGTCAACTTTAACCTCCACAACAATTACAGTTACTTCCCTTGGCACATTTAGATACATTTCCTGATAGGCTCACTACTATCGTCAACTCTAACCTCCACCACAATTACAGTTACTTCCCTTGGCACATTTAGATACATTTCCTGATAGGCTCACTACTATCGCCAACTTTAACCTCTACCACAATTACAGTTACTTCCCTTGGCACATTTAGATACATTTCCTGATAGGCTCACTACTATCGTCAACTTTAACCTCTACCACAATTACAGTTACTTCCCTTGGCACATTTAGATATATTTCCTGGTGCTTAGCACAGTAGTAAGTAGTGAACATTTAATGGCCTTTATGATATTTCTATAGTTGTTTTTTTCTATTTGAAATAACCAAGATTCTGTAAAATAGACTACAGGTTGTATATATAGTATGTTGTAAGCCACATGTTCTTACATCTTGTCCCGGTGGTCCTGGTTCTCCTGGGTCACCTTTAGGCCCAGGTGTTAATGTTTGTCCATCACCAGGCTCACCCTACAGAAACCAAAAGTTAGGCAAACTAGGTTAGATATATGAAAAAGAAATTATTCAATGCACTTGAATTAGTCATATGAATGCAATGCTTACACATAAGGTTCAAGATTCAAATCATATCAGCATCAGAATATATATTATTATTTTCAAGTACATTTCAAAATCTGGTTAAGATTACATAAAAAGAGCATTATTAACTCAGATAACTTGAACAAGAATTTTTTTCATATAAAGCATAAAATATCAAGTTAAGATTGAGAAGAATGTATTCTTTGGTAGACAAGGTATAAATCTACTGACCTTCAGTCCTGGAAGTCCATCGATACCTCGTCGTCCTTGGATTCCTGACTGACCAGGTCTACCAGGTTTACCAGGCTCTCCCTGTTGAAAATAGAACTCCACAAGATCAAATATCAAATATATCTTTTCCTAATCTTGTTTTTTTCCCTTTAATTTCAATCCTTTGTCCACCTTTAACAAATTAATTAATTTTAGCTTATAGTTCTAAACATGAAATACATGTAATTCTACTTATGAGTCTCTTCTCGTTTAGCAATGTACGATACTAACAAGTTAAAGACCAGATCATAGCTGTGATTAATATTTTTCATGATTAAACCTGAAGTATATAATATCCTAGGAATTTTTACAGTAACTATCCTACCGGTTGAATGTTACCTTCTCTCAAGATCATTTACTGGAGCCCTTATGGGAAAGGAACGTACGTACACATCGTTTGTATGGGATATTCAAACAATGAACACATGAACAATTTTTAAAATTTTATTTCTCAAAAACACTTTAATAATTTTTTATAGCATATTTGTATATAAATTGTATTATCTTTACATTGTAACTTTACTACAAATATCACTATTTTAAGTATCACATGATCGAGACATTTGAAATTATGTCCCAGTTTAGCCGAAATTCAAACCTTTAACAATATCTATATAGTTGTTCTGATGACGGCTGTCAACCTACAATAAAACCACGGAATCCTGATGTTGATACTCCAGCTTTTATCTACCTTTATTGATTGGGCTCTACTGAATACCCTAGTGTAACCATCTTTGATATCCTGCAACACCCGATCTACGACCAAAGACAATCAGGACACTGGTTCTCTCCTAATCTGACATGAGGTTTATGTATGTAGTAATAAAAATTTTGAAATCAATGTAGATTTTTTTTCATTATTTTATGATTAAAACATTAAGAGTAAAATCTGCAATCTTACCTTTGTACCATTGCATCCTGGGTAGCCTTGAGGTCCAACAGGACCTTCTAGTCCTTTCAGACCCTGGAAAAAATATCTTAGAATTGTAAAATGATGAAATTTTACCTTTATCAACTTTGACATATTTATTTTACTTTTCCTAGCTTATCTTACTAATATCTAGTTTAATTTTGGAATTAACATGTAAAAATGGTTAAAAAAAAAGACTAGAACTTGGATTTTTTAACCAAGTGAACAGTCAAAAGTTTTCATTGTATTAAGTCTGAAATCTGCAAAAAGGCTTGACATTTTACCTATATAAGGTCACAAAGATACTTACCGGTGCACCAGGGTTTCCATGGAATCCAGCAAGTCCCTCCTGACCCTGCCAACCACAGAATACTATTTATGTATCGCAATATAACAATGTATATATATACCTGATAAAAACAAACAAAACGTAAGAAGCAGTTTTGAAATAAAGTGCTGGGCCAATGACATACCTGTAGTAAACCAGCATATAACCTTATAAAGTACAACACTGAACTTACAACAGGCCTTGGGCAGTCTTTCTTTGAAACAAGTAATTTTTACAGTAGGCAATACAATATTTTTGTAACACTTGTAGCTGTAGAAAAGCCATAACATTATCACATGTACCCTGACTTGTATAGTGTTGCCCAAACAATAAGCCGGTGTCTGACAATTTTTTATTTAACAATATACTAGATACAGGTATTTGTTACATAATCTACATCCCGTGGATTTGCCAATGTGACATTTTTCAATGTGTCACAAGTGTAATATACCCTAGAGTACTTTTCATTGCCTGTGCCGGTCAGATATTGATGGTGATGTCACATAAGTTGAAATTGGTGCAAAATATTTACATCTGTTTGTCCTTTAAATTTTTAGTTAGAAAAAAACTAAATGTAACTTTACAGAGATCCATGATAAATAAATATTTCATAAGAAATTTTATGAAACCTGTCTCTAAGTTTTGACTTTTGCTCCTCAAAGATTTAAGTATGATATCTACAAGTCCTGAAGTTTTGTATGATGTCTACATGTTGTGTACTTTTGTATGATGTCTACAAATCCTGTACTTTTGTATGATGTCTACATGTCCTGGGCTTTTGTATGATGTCTACATATCCTGTACTTTTGTATGATGTCTACATGTCCTGTACTTTTGTATGATGTCTACATGTCCTGGGCTTTTGTATGTTGTCTACATGTCCTGTACTTTTGTATGATGTCTTCATGTCCTGTACTTTTGTATGATGTCTACATGTCGTGTACTTTTGTATGATGTCTACCTGTCGTGTACTTTTATATGATGTCTACATGTCCTGTACTTTTGTATGTTGTCTACACGTCCTGTACTTTTGTATGATGTCTACATGTCCTGGGCTTTTGTATGATGTCTACATGTCCTGGACTTTTGTATGATGTCTACATGTCCTGGGCTTTTGTATGATGTCTACATGTCCTGTACTTTTGTATGATGTCTACATGTCCTGGGCTTTTGTATGATGTCTACATGTCCTGTACTTTTGTATGATGTCTACATGTCCTGTACTTTTGTATGATGTCTACATGTCCTGGGCTTTTGTATGATGTCTACATGTCCTGTACTTCTGTATGATGTCTACATGTCCTGGACTTTTGTATGATGTCTACATGTCCTGGACTTCTGTATGATGTCTACATATCCTGTACTTCTGTATGATATCTATATGTCCTGAATGTTTGTATTATTTATACATTTGACTTGCTATACCTACCCTCAACCCTTTGGGTCCAATGGCCCCTTCTTGTCCTAAATCACCTTTACCACCTTTGGGGCCAGTTGGTCCTTCAGGTCCCAAAAATCCGGGCATTCCTGGAGGTCCTCGCACGCCCCTTAGGCCTGACTCACCCTGAAATAAGGATAACATCCAGCAAGTTTTAGTTCTGAAACAGATAAATAACTTTCACAAAAAAAAAAAAATAACACTGATTATTTACATTTGCATGAAAACTTAACTTAGGTACTGACATTAACAGTGTCAGTTAAATTGTCTCTTTTAATGCTGACGACATTGTGCTGTTGACCTCACCAGAGGAAAACCTCCAAACTTTTCTGGACCTCATGAATTGTATCATATTGGCACTCTCATTGGCAACAATTGGTAAACTCTAGGAAGACTTAGATTGTGAATTTCAGACACAGAGGTATAACGGCTACCCAACACACTTTCCATTGCCTTGTACGTTCTCTAGGACATACAAATTTTTAGAACTGGTTCGCCACCTGTGCTAATATGAATTTGGCCATGAAAGAACTACAAAAATCTGCTAGACAAGCCCTTCGACTTCATATTACTAAGTTGTGCTTTACTGTGTGTTTACTAGCTGAAAAATACATCCGATGTTAGCGTTATTGGTGATATGGGGATGGTTACCTACCTGTCGTAAACCAAGGATTTAAGTCTTTTGCCTGTAATGCTGTGCTAATTCTGTTCATCCTGAACATTTATTTTACAATATTTGCATTTGGTCAATGCAAAGACATAATTCATGGGATGTGGAAACAGTAAGAATCGGTGAGAAATATAATTTACATAATATTTTGGAGCACAATGTTAAACCCACTTCACACAGTATCACAGATCTAATGTTAGGCAGAAGGACAAAAGCCACTTGTTTGACTTTGACATGACCTTAGCCATGTAAATAGAAACAAATTGTGCACATATGGGAAATACAAGAAGGACTTAAAACCTGAACACTATATCAAATATCATAGGTCTGGATCTTACCATAGTGCTCTAACCATGCTAAGATGCGGTAGTGCCCCCTTAAGGATTAAAACTATTAAGACTGTTCGATATAGCAGACCCCCACCCCTCTTGTTCTATATGAGCGGTTTTGTATTTTTCGCACTAACTCGGTGGTGGTGGTGGTAAAGTCCACTTCTTGCGCTAATGTCCTTTGTATAGTGACCTAAGATTGAGTCTTTTCCACGATATGGAAAACTCCTGTGATATTCTTATATATAGTGATAATAATAAAAGAAATTATTAGTGGAAAACCAAGATATTCAGTTTTCATTAAACAGTGTAGATGTAGAGTAATTATATGACAATCAAACAATATATTGATTGATTGGCTAGCTATAGAGAGAAAACTTCATCTTGGTCAGTTGAATGATGGGCTAGTAACCCACAGGTCCTGGGTTAAAGCACAAGTGGAGACTTATAGCATGCAGGTAGGAGTATACATGTTGCTTACCTTGTAACCTTTCTGTCCTACACACACACATGGCGGAGCACAACCTTTACAAGCCTGAAATTGCACAAGATCAATTAACTAAAATCTGAAAACATGAAAGAATGTTACCACAGTGGTGTTGAATTTGTCAACACCATACGTATTAGTAAAAGTCTGAAGCCTGAAAAAACACCATCTTTATTGTGTACACTGCATATCAAAACCTAGCCTGGACCTGGTCTTTAGAATATGTAATTAATAAAAATTTAAGTCTTGCAGTTTTAATCTCTTAGAAAGCTTTAATCCTAATTTTCACATGAAGGGGAGATAAGCAAGTAGAAAAACGCAGCCAGGTATTTCTTTGACATTGAGGCAGTTGGCAGCCAGATTAACAAAACCTTTCTTTTTTGCAGTCATCTGTTAAGACTAGAAAAATAAAACACTGCATATTTCACTAATGATCAATAATTGTAATGCCTTCTGACTGAAAGCTTCGGGGATCATATCGTTTTCTGTGCTACCTGTTTGTCTGTTGTCCATGTTAACCTTGCCCATAACTATTGTGCTGTAAGAGATAAGACTTTCATATTTGACGTGTATTCCTCTTGACAAGACCTTTCTAATGCTTCCAAAATTTTTTACAATGTGACCTTTGACCTACATTTGAAAGTAAGAAAAATCATTACCACAATGAAGATTTAAGTGTTTCACAAAATGTGCATGCAATTAACACACGCCTTACATAGCAGTTTTAATGTCCTAATTCAGAATTCTGTTGCAACCGGGAACATAGTGTTACATAAACATATCTTTTTTAATTTGAAATTGATGTTTTACACAATTCAATTCCAATAAGCACAGCAAAGCATAATAACCACACAAAAGTGTAATTAAATATAGTAGTCAATATTATAAAAAGGGTCGTATGAGATGGGTTATGCTCCACGACTGGGACAAAATTTAAGTATGAAAAATAACAAAGGGCAATAAGAGAGTTATGATTCTTGTGCACTGCCCTCCTACTTGTTGAGACCTATCTACCTAGGAAGGTTCATGTTAATACATGCACCTCTAAGTTTTAGAGTAATGTTCCAGACAAAATCTAAGTATGAAAAATAACAAAGGGCAATAACTCCTGAATTATGCAAAAGAGAGTGGAATGCACTTCTCCATGTTGTGATCTATCTAACAATGAAGTTGTATGTTGATACCTCTTATAGTTTTTGTGTTTTACCAGATAGACAGACAATGCAGCGACTATATGCTCTCCCTTCAGAAGTCATAAAAAAGGTTCTTAAGTTAAAAATTTCAGAAACATTAAAATGTTAGCTAAGAACATATGTATGTTGGGAAGGGTAATGGTGACAGAGACAATACACAATTTAAATATCTTTTATATGTGAGTTTCAAGAATTATCCTGAATTAATTTCTTATTTCAAGAAATTTAGCATTTGCATATCTGGTATTTATATAACAGTATATGTCATTTGAAGAGAACCCAGTAAATGAGTACATAATTTGTATTTGAAGAAATGTAAAAAACATATATCAGTAGTGACAATATGTACAGATTGCATAATTATATAAATTATACATGCATTTTAAATTGGACATCCAATTGGTTCTAAAAAAAGTACAATGCACTTTGGGGGAAAAAAACAACACATCATTCATCCATACATAAGAAATATATTTTTTAATAAATAAAACCTTCAATTTCCACAAAACAGAAGGGAAACTTTTGTAAGTTGCTTCGTTTTCTGTTTAATTTTGATATCATCTGAAATGATCCCAAAAATATGATGATGATTAAGAAAGAAAAAACTCATTGCCAATGTATTCCATGACTATTAAGAAACTTCTAGATAATACATAGCAGTAGCTTTCTTATTCCACAAGCATAGGCGTGTTACAAATTCTTTATATACAAAGCAATATATAAAATTAATAAAAAAAATTAAATAAATCAAATTAATCATATTTTTTCCTAACTTTCTTTAATTAATCAAACTAAAACATTAAAATATGAGCATTGAAACACTAATTGATTTGTCCTATTGTACTGACCGTACATATTGACCCCTGAAAGCTCAAGATAGTGGACATAAAACCTGTTAAATAGACAATGATTAATCTACAGTATACATGTATTCACGAATCCACTTAGTAAAGAAGGTACCTGACAAAACCCCACCTCCCCCTCAACTTCATAGACTAATAGCAGCCAGTTAAGAAGAATGAAGAAGCATCTCTATAAAATATCTCAACATCTCCAATTTATCTCCCCCTCCCCCAAATTATCTCTCACTTATACAATAGACTATCAATTTCCTCTTTTCTTCAATCTAAGTAACAGGATGAGCCAAATCCCTCTCCCCCATCTGAACACAGCTGACAGGATCAGGTAATGCCCAGGGCATGTCACATTGTGTAATAGTAACAGTAGGGGGTCGGTCATAATGACACCTGGCAAAGTGGGGTCAAAGTTCAGCAACACTAAAGAATAGAGTTAAGACAAAATGCGAAAATTCTTTTCCTGATCAATTTTCTCTGATTTCTTACGACCAAGTTACAAGTCTGACTTGGCCTCACGTTAACAATTGTGCTTCCACGTCTTAGTAAATGTATAATATGCCCGTAGTTTATGGTTTCAAAGAAATTAATTCAGATTGAAGACTTGGAAATACTAAGATTTAAACCAGTCTTACATCAAACATACAAATTCATCTACCAGGAAAACTAGGATAGTCTCCTCATTCTTAATAAATATCGAAAAGAAAAGCTTCACATATGCGCTCAGATGGCACCGCTTCTTGCGGCTAGAATCGCTGCAGACATAGAAATTTGAAACAAACTATACTTACTGCTCCGGCGACTAAATCCAAAGAAACGGTAACTACGATCAGAAGAACGAATACAAAATTCCTAAATTTCATAATTTCATCAGGAAAACTGGTTCTGGTGAAGACGCCGGAGTACTGACGATGCTGGGAAGATATTTAAAAGACAGCACCGAGAGTTATACTCCTTTTTCGATACGTCTAAACTTTGTTGTCTTCACTTGGCCACCATCTTTTCCTAAGAAACTACTAACTCGCGTATGAACACCAACACACGCGCTACTTGATCCAGCCACTGAAACTTGTTGCACTGCACAAATTTCTCACGTTCTCGATTTCGGTAATATTTACTAAAAAATTCGATATTTTAAACAATCATCTTTAAGTTGATACTAATATTTTAAGAAATACTCATTTTAGTGTAAAGATTCCCGTCATATGAACAAAATTGGATGCACTTGATTGTGAAGCGGATTCATACAACTGTCCTTAGTCCCAAGTGGGTAGTCTTCCACACACGGAGCTGTCAATCAATGCAAATGAGTCTGTCCGCCATCGCAAGCTTTTGAAACAAAACTTTTAATATTTCACCAAAATGAAAAAGTCTTAACGTTGCACAACTCTTCTTGAAATTAGCACCTCATCTGGACCCGAACCTCGGCTCATTGCCTCTAACTTTTAAGAGAGGAATTATTTTTATCATTTATCAATGGATTACATATTTTTATCTACTCTGTAACCCCCAGAAGCAGTGACTGGACGTTAAGCTATTTTAAGTAATCTTGTTTGTTTAGTAAGTATTAAGTTGGACGGCCATTCAGCTTTAATATATAGACACTTTTGTTCTATAAGATTATTGTAATACAAACAATTTCCTGTAGTTGTTGTGTTACTTAGGGAGACGTCCCGTGCATTTTCCCTTGGTGTTACTTTACAGCCATAAGCACGCGCTAAGCCCCGCCCCTTCTGTCCATAACGGAATTCAGAAGTAAGCCTCCGAGTCGAGCAGTTACACCGAAACGGGGGTTTTGTTGTTTCTCTTCAAACAACTTACCTCTGATGGTGTTTAAAAATTTTAAAATCTGTTCAAGGTGATTGGAGTGGACTTCGGCTGGGTTGTGAACTCAGCGAAAGGGACATCGGCCGGTTTTCCCGGTGTTAAAGACTTTAGAAAAGTTATTTTCCAAATCACCGAAGACTAGACAGACGGGAGCTGAGCGGTTCGTCGTTTTTCATCATCTATCATCTTTTACCATCGTGCTTTCCGAGTGTGCTCACTTTATCTAGAGCCATGAATTCATGGTAAGTAAATCACTTCACTTTTCCTGTTTGTTCATTGAATTATAAAGTTCATTGAATTTTAGCATCATTTTTAAACATGCAAAAAGTTTTCTCTTTATTCCCGTAACACATTGCATGGAGTCTGGACTATAGTCTGTATCTGAAAAGTGATGTATTGTGGGAAGGGGTTCCTCTGAAGCCGTAGAAGTGCTCGACACCGTAGAGATTTCTTAATGAAAATGTTTCACGATTTGAATATCATAATTAAAGGATAGAATGAGAATACTGTAAAGTTCTGTTATTATTGATTATCACTAGATGTTGATGCTTATTGTCTGGGTTTATTTATAGGTTTGGTAGATTTATGTATATTTTTTTTCTGCCTTTCAGGCTGTTGTTAAGTTTGTTGTTCGTGTGTATATCAAGTTTCACATCTGCAGTAAGTATAAGCATGAGAAATGTTACTAACTGTTGTCCACCACACTTACTATAACAATACTGATCTTTAATACGCAGGTGCTCAACATTTTTTCTTAATGTGTTTTTTTTCCCTGGTTGTCAGATACAATTTTGATCGTGAATAATTAGAAAAAAACATAATTATAACTGAAGTCCCCTCCCTCCACCACATCTCCTTCAAATTTCATCTAAAAAAAAACTAACCATCCAATGATTTCCAATCTTGTAGAAATTCATAAAATGTTAATTTAAAATTGAAAGTTAAGGCAATACAGAAACTGAATTGTCCTTAAACAAATAAAAAAACCTTGGGATGGTAGAAAGGTATCACAGATCTTCAGCATATTGAAGAATTTTAGCTCCAACATGTCATATATCTTATAAGACATGTAGCAGAAAAGTTTCGATTATTCCAGAACACACCCTACAGCACACAAGCTAAATATCATGAGATTTGTTGTAACTTGCCATAGCCTACATCTTAGTACTACTTTAAGCCTGAGAATGTTCTAGTAAAATATCTAAGGTGGTGTCTTCATTTCATATTTGGGGCCTATATTCTGTTTATCACTGATTTCAGTCAATCTGAGAATATTCTAGTAAAATATTTAGGGTGGCGTCTTGTTTTCAAATTTTACTGTAATACCACCATGGCACGTTGTTGTTATTGTGTAAACAAGTTTCTGATGTACCAGTTTGCAGCAATTTGTAGGCCTAGGATGGTGCATGGCCACAGATTCCTCTACTGCATGCAAAAACATCTCTGGATTGCGGCCAACATGAGGAACTGTTTACATTGGACAAAATGTGGGTGAACATCAGTCTTAGAATAAATCAGTTGACATCCATAGCAACAGCTCAAACAAATCATACTATTGGTCTCGCGGTGGTCAAGAGCTTATGATTACAAGTCGGTCACTGTTGTCCAGAACCCACATACCTTGACAGTACAAAAGTGTACTGGTCCAGAATCTGATTATCTGTGTGGGCGGGTATATATACAAATGTGTGGTCCACTGTTGTTATAATGGTCTAGGGCCCAGATATACCGTATTTACACTTTAGTAAGCCCAGGGGCCAACACCTTACCCAAAGTCAGTGTGTAGGCATTAATGTCCTACCTATATTTGTTGGTAATTCTTTTGAACAGCAATATATATGGGTGGGCTTATTACCAGACATGACCACATTGATGCATAAATACAGTACCTAAACAGCAATAGATATGGGTGGGCTTATTACTAGACATGACCACATTGATGCATAAATACAGTACCTAAACAGCAATAGATATGGGTGGGCTTATTACCAGGTATGGACTTAATGTTGAACAAACATAAGGTATTCACTTTGTTACTTTTGTCAGTGAAATGTTTATGCTTATGTTTATCAAAGTTTTACATTTTGCTTTTCCTGAATCTACAGTATCTCTCCGGTATTAAAATGGGATACATGTAAACTTGTCCCAAATTTAACTAACTTTTTTATTTCAGAATATTCCATTGTACTAATGATACATGCATGCTCAATAATAGATATTTTGTTATATAAACCTTTTGAAAAAAGGTGTGGGAATATCAGAAAAGAAATATAGAAAGAGGAAGTTATATTTGCTAAAAGTAAAGATACTAAAATGCTACTTTTCAGGTTCTTACAAGCTGCTTATCATTGGGTAAAAAAGGGACACAGTTTCTAAAAACTGTTTCATGCCAAATATTTATATTTATAGAACTCAGGCTTAAGCACATATCATCTCTTTTTTACATTGTGAAAATAGTTTTCCAGTTCAAAAAATTTCATCTTTAAATATTCTTAAATTCTTATCAGTAAGTGACATTTGAAGAAAACATTTTTGTAGCTGTTAAATGTGAGTTGACTAGACATTTTAATGAAAGCCCTATGCTGTAGCAGCGGGCGTACAGCCAGTATAGGGCTTCTGCAATGGTAGCAAGCCTTTTGAGTCTCCCATTCTCACGAAGAAACACATGTTGTTACAAATTCTTTTAATCAGCCACAAAGTGTATGGTCATTGAAAGATTTATATGCATTCGTTACGAAAAATTCCATTTCCTGAACCATGTGTTTAATTGCTTGTTTTGATGAAGTACTAAAGAAACACACACACAAGCAATATTACAACATTTTATAACTTTAGTTAAAGCAAAGACCTGGAAAATAGATTATTTCATTTTTTATGTCTAAATCAGAAAAGTGGCTTTTATTTGTCTGTTATTAACTCTGAGAATTAATTTCTTAAACACCCCAAATGACGTCTAGTAATTCACCATTGGATTGCAAGGTGAACAATGAAACAAAATAAACTTTATGGGACCAACCCCCATTTTTCTATGAAATGCTACACTTAAGGAAATATACTTTGAATAACTCTCTATATATTACCATAAAATAGAGAATAGATTGGCTCCCTATGTACAACAGGCTAGCAATTCTCTATGAACTACACTCTAGTAATTATCCATGAACTACACTCTAGTAATTCTCCATGAACTACACTCTAGTAATTCTCCATGAACTACACTCTAGTAATTCTCCATGAACTACACTCCAGTAATTCTCCATGAACTACACTCCAGTAATTCTCCATGAACTACAGTCTAGTAATTCTCCATGAACTATACTCCAGTAATTCTCCATGAACTACACTCCAGTAATTCTCCATGAACTACACTCCAGTAATTCTCCATGAACTACACTTCAGTAATTCTCCATGAACTACACTCCAATAATTCTCCATGAACTACACTCCAGTAATTCTCCATGAACTACACTCCAGTAATTCTCTATGAACTACACTCTAGTAATTCTCCATGAACTTCACTCCAGTAATTCTCCATGAACTACACTTCAGTAATTCTCCATGAACTACACTCCAGTAATTCTCCATGAACTACACTCCAGTAATTCTCCATGAACTACACTCCAGTAATCCTCCATGAACTACACTCTAGTAATTGGCCATGAACTACATGCTAGTAATTCTCCATGAACTACAGTCTAGTCCGTGAACCTTACATAACTTCAGGAACCACTGTAGTTTCTCCAGATGAACTATACTTTAGAAACTTTCCATGAACTACATGAACTTGATTGCCCACATAAACTCCTACCTTACTGTAATGGTCTCATTAATCTTATACTAGATTGTACACAATTTCACCTGAAAATAAACATGTAGTCTTCAGACAATGAAGATTGATGATATCAGATAGCTGAAATCATACAGAGGAACTGTTTTTAATTAATTTGATAGGGTAAAGGTTGGGATGTATGTGATTTGTATATCACATCATAATTAATTGTAAGCATGGCAGCCTCCCTGGCACAGTGTTTCTTTAACCTCATCTAAAGGAACATAATTAGTGGTGGTTGATTACTTCATGGTGTGGTGTTAACGCCACACAAAGAGTCTGACATTGTCTACTGAAGGCATCAGGCATAATGTACATTTTGTGTCTTATGTCAGGAGTCTTGTGAGGGGGTTGGGGAAATGGGGTGAATTTTGTCAAGTCATGTTGTTCTAATGCAAAAAAACAATTTGACATTCCCTCTTTGTGTCACTTGCAGTTTCTTTTTGTTATAGGATGTTATCACTATGATGCGAAAACCCCAGCCAACACTACTGCTAACTCATGAGGAATCCATTACTGTTTGGCAAAAGTATTTACAACAATTTATAAAATTTTGACTTTTTATTATGTCTCACATGACATACAAATTTTATTGTTCATCAGGAAAACAGTTCTGGATTTAGGTGTTCTTGAGCTTCTCAGAGGGAAATAGTCTTTGTTATGTCCTGTTTGATTACAAGCTACCAAGTAAACACAGCAAATGATGTACAACCTTATTTATTTCAATTTCTATTTTCTTGAGTCCTGTCATTTGATTCTATCAGGAATCCTATCTGAAGGTCATTGAATCCTAAAGTGGGATTTTGGAGGTCAAAGGACAGTCTGCACTATATAAGTGGTAATTAACGTGTTAGCTGTGAAATAGAAGAGGAGTAATGAACATAACCATGCAAATCTACACATTATGAAATCAAAGGAAAGTTGGACAGTTGAAGTTTACGTCAAGAATTTGTGTGAAAAAATGTAGTTCATGATTGCGGTGGATAAGGTTAAGCTGATGTGTTCCAGTAGGGATCTGTACCTGTCTCATGTTCTGTGGTGTTTCCCCTTGGTTTGTTTGCTTCTGATAATTGTATTACAGATATTCCTTGAGACTTTAATACAGTTCTACAAATATCTGTGATAGACTATGTGAAACTCCAGGTTTTTTATAACCTAGTAACCTAAAATCTATCTCTGCCCTGTGTGATATATTTTTATAAGATAAACATGACGGTACAATCTGGAGGCTACCTTGACTGTTTAATCTGACACAGAACAGATACTCTGATCTTTATCTACATGATTGTTTATATCGCTGGGATCAATTCAACTTGTGAAAGAAATCTAGTTTATAAAGTTTACGCGGTAAGACATTACAGCACAAGGTTGCTCAACAACTAGCATTAGGTTTAAGGGAAGCTGTATTCACAATGTTTACTTTCCTTAAAGTCTGTTTATCCATTCCTGTTCCATGCAAGTTTACAGTTTTTCTTCCAGCTTTGGTTTTTTTTTTTTTACAAGTTCTGGCCTAAAATTGCGATGCTAATTACCCATATTTATTCAGCAGTTACATTTGTATCTGGTACTAAGCCCATGTAGATCTGTTTCAATTTCTTTACATGTGTCACCAAAGGTAACAGTAACCATGTAACCCAAGGTTACAGTAACCATGCCACCCAAGGTTACAGTAACCATGCCACCCAAGGTTACAGTAACCATGCCACCCAAGGTTACAGTAACCATGCCAGCCAAGGTTACAGTAACCATGCCACCCAAGGTTACAGTAACCATGCCACCCAAGGTTACAGTAACCATGCCACCCAAGGTTACAGTAACCATGCCACCCAAG